ACTCCAGCATCAAACCTAGTAATTACCAACACACATTTACATGTAATTGCTCTCTTATTTGCTACAAATGAAACTCGGTATACGTCCGTCAAAGCAATTGATTCTCAATCTTGTCACGGTTGATGAGTGGTCTGTCTAGTTTCTGCCAGGGGCGGGGAAGAAAGAATGAGTGAGCGGAAGCAATGGTTAAAAAAGAGAGGTGAAAGTTGATTGAAAAGTAAATCCAGTGGACAATAAGTATTCAATGGTGACCAAGGTAAACTATAGATAATAAATAGTGATAATAGTGTACCCGTGACAAGTTAACTATAGACTATGTTAGAGGTCTATTATTATTCTGGCTAATCTTAATGAAGGAGACATTCCAAACTTCTTTACTTCATTTATCAACAGTAATTTGAAACAATAGTTCACAGAACTTCAGAACTTGTACTATTTTAGATAACACGACATCACAAAATTTCAAAAAAGTATTCGGAAAAACGTATACTTTCTATCCTGTCTGTATGGAGAAGAGTACAAATACACTTCGCTTAAAAAATGTGACTTTCAAAGGTATATTGTCGTCTAAGGTACCGGAAAGAGCTTGATGCAGCTCAATTTCGACTTTCCACGTCAATATGTAAATCTGACGTTCGGTTCCTTCCACTGTACTTAAACCTTGGAGTAATGACTGACCAAGCTTAAACAAAAGCGTATCAAGAGATAACATTCGCACATTGTCTGCACAAGACTGGGAATTTACTTAAAGACCTGGAATTGACAATCTGAACTTCCGAAGATGATCTCTTTATTGTATTGAAGGCGAACTCAAAACTATATTTCAATTATACAAAGTGATACATCCTTTATCTTTATCCTTTTAAATTACAACTAACACCAGTTAACCAATCAGACGAAGCGAGTCTGTTGCTTTCATCATGATCGGCATAAAATATGGACAGACAAGACCCAAAGGCTGTTCAGAAAGATGCTGAAATCGCTTGAATCCTATAGATAAATCGCATAGCTATTGTGGTCTGACCAATTAAAAGAAACCGCTAATCTGTTTTCTATTGTATCAGTTTTAGTGCAGATTTAGAAAGAATTAAGAAGCAGTACCATTAGGAAATTACTTCTTTAAGCGTTTAATCGGTATTAAATATGTTCATGCATGCTGGCATTTACACTAAATAATATTTTATAATTCTACCAGCCTTCGTGGTCACATCCAGTTCAATGCATTTTGTGAAATCGTGCAAATAATTCAATGTTTTGCCTGTCATTTTGATTTATCTTAAATCAATTGTCAAAATATTATTTGGGCTGTTTCTGCCATGCCTTTGTGGATATAAAATGTAAGACAAAAAGTCGTTTAGACATATTTGGAAAAGTGTATTTGTAATGCACTCATTTGTTAAATTGTAATATCCGACAATGTTAATGAACTCGATTCGTTCGACTTTGCGACTGACGGAATTTACAACGAGCACCTGACAAGCTCTTCATGATATATCCATGGGTTTCGCACTTGCCATCAGTTGCTCATGTTCCACTATGTAAAAACAATTGTCACAGAACTGAGCTGTGGAAATCTGTGTCCATCCGGTTGAAGCAACTGGTAACAGTCTGGAAATACGTCGACGTGAATTCAACCAATCAGACGAGACGCTGTGAACTCCATAAAATTAAATTTCCTTCCTCCTTTCACTATATACTCATAAAATTTTTTGTCTCAGGTGCCCTTTACACGACACCAGTATAGAAAGCTTTGGATTTAATAGTGTTCATAGATTTGTGAACGAGAAACAGACGGTACAAGAAAATATGTAACAAGACAAATTCCTGACATATCTCGGCATATTTCTGGCCGTTGACTCTCTTTATATGAAGGTAGAAAGTTGGCAAGCACGCACCACATCAAAGGAACAGAAGAAATGTGAAAGAGAGGGTATTTGCAATTAAGCAAATAATCTATATTTGGGGTATTTTATAAAGAAAATCTACCCCTTTTCACCTTCGTGTCCACTTCCATAACAATTTTATATATAATATTCTTTTAAAAAGCTCACAAAATAATTAAAAGATAATTGGTTGCAAATTTCAATAAAATATGAATATTTTCAGTAAACTATTTTTTTTAAAATCTCTTTTGTTATCAGTTCTCTCCCTTCAACTGACCATTGGCGCAGTTTTCCCTTTTTTGTTGTTGATTGTTTTCTGATTTACAAGCACATCAGAATGTCGGATGGGAAACAGGAACGGTCCAAAAAGAAGTTATACAAATCCATCACCTTAAAAACCTCTTTTGAATCTCATAAATGGCTTATCGAGTTGACTATCTATCTTCACTACCCAGTGATTCTGTAAGATCCTGTGAATAGAGGCAGATAGATGTGATATTCTCGTATTGTCCATTGCAATTAGTAACTTTGTGATAGTAATTGTAATAAGATGCAATTAGAGTGTCTATGAGTCACAATGATCACCAATAAAAGGGACATAACTGTGTTAACAATAATAATCTCTAGACTACAGACCATTAAGGATTTGTTGGAATAGATCTAATAACCCCTTCTAATATTTTCTGCTACATTGTCGGAAAGGATAAAATAAGGGGGAAAAGGCTATTACTATCGATACTGATGTGGACAGATTTGATCTGTAAACTGTATTAGTAAAGCTGAGAATAAATTATGGACACTTATATATACACTTTATTTTATATTCCTTCTATAGCTTATTCAAATGAGGAATGAAGACGGGGAGAGGGAATATAGAGAGGAAAGTAGAACGTTAGAAGATATGTTAAGTGGAAGTGTGAGACGGGGAAAGGAAACAGAGTACTAAGTATACATCGGGAGGCTCGTGTAGTGAAGAAGGAGGTAAGAGCAAGATCACGAGAAGGAAGTTTGGAATATCAGACGTCTGTGGAAAGATAGGAGGTAGAATCAGGAATGGGCTGGTACTAGTCAGAGGATCAAATGGAAATTCTCTTACATTGAGAGGTACACAGTGTATACCTCCGTGCAATGCTTCGAATTACAGTACTCCGAACATTTATGTTTGACTTGCCTTATTACATCTCCCACCTGATATTTTAATTATGTGTATTAAATTAGATTTAATCCATTTTCATAACTAGCCTCAGTGGTCATATAAAATTTCAACAAAAATTTCTGAAGTTAAACGTATATAAAACGTTACTTTTTAAATTATAAATTTTGATGCATATATAAAGCAATTCAATATGTTCCGGTTGTAAACTACAGATTACTCTAGCGTACAATATAGTTCCCCTTGGTTTGAATAAAAGAGCGTTACCTAATTAAATGTTACTAGATTTGACAAGATAGGCTTACATACTCATCATGAAAATTATACACTTTGATTTGCAGATCGTCGTGATAAATTTTAATTTTGGCTAATCATAAGATATATCAAATCTCTTTAATAAAATCGAGTCTGCATGTTAAAGGCATTACGGAACACTGATTGTGCGATTTAATAATCCTGAGAATGGTAGAGGAAGAAAGTTGTGAACTTCTAATTTCAAAATTTCAATATTGTATAATTTTATCATTTGATATAAGGGACGTAACTACGTTAACAAAAGTAATCTCTCGACTCCAGACTATAATGGATTTCCAAGTCTGACATATTTCGTCATATAAGGCTGAAATAAGGGGGAAACGATATTAGTTTGCACTGAGGTAGGGCCTTAACCCCCTAAAACATGGCAGGATCGCCCCCTACTCCCCCATTGCCCGGGATATATTGTTGTGCTTAGCTATCTCAGGCTGAAATAGAGGCAGATGTTTTGATTGTAACAACAGGTAAGGTCAAAATCCCCTATCTGGTTTTCGTGATGAAAATGATATAATATAGCTGCATTGAGCAGCAAACAAAATTATATGAGGTCTGATTTAAATCATTCAATACTTGCGTCCCTTTTATTAATCCAAATATCAAATCAACTTTATCATTCAAATCAAAGTATACAGTATTACAGTTCTATGTTTAAATGTAATGAAACTTATTTTATTCTTTTTCTGTGGAAAAGTCGAATCTTTGTATTTACTGGTAATTTTATTTCATATCAAACGGCTCACAAACAACCCATTGTATACAGCACGAATTGTCTCATTTTAGTCATGTAATGGACAAATCGACTCATTGTCTTAAAGAGACTAGAAAATCAAAGCTACCTATTTATCAAGAGTTGTTGCCCGTACTACGCCATCTCTCGATTTCCAATACACGTCACTTGAAATGATCAAAAAGATTATGATTATGCTGAAAAATTAAACCATGTAGTTGTGTACAACACACTGTTTGTAATTTTATTTGTTAACTGGGGAATTTGTGCAGACATATCAAGCTAAAGGAGGTATGTTTTCCGAGTGTTTGGCATAGCAGTATGTGTCATCTGTCATTGAATAATTATTTATCCAGTTTACTTTCTTATATTTTCATTGACTTATTATAGACATAGATTCTAGATCTATTTCACTTCATAAGTTTGTCTTGAAAATTAGTCAATTTGGGAATTAGATTCAAATTACACCTACTTGTGATTTCATGTTGACTGCATTTTTCAGGCAATAAACATTTAACGTAATGGCTAAAAGGCAAATGAATTTTGAAGATGAGGCCTAGATTGGTTGTAATCGAGTCAATGACCCTACTCTTGACTTACGTTGTTGTGGTTATTGCTTACATCAATTAAGGCCTTGACCCTATTAAGCCTAGAGTCATATTTTTAAGATAAATTCCATCTTTCTTCGGAAAATTCTGTAATATCGGAATCACATAATAATACCAAACAGTTTGTTTATCTGTCTTTCATGTATTAACAAAAAGTCTCAGCAAATCATACTTTCTTTGAATGATGTTTTGTCCAATTACACCATACTCATGTGTCTACAGGTTTTCAATTATCAATATTTCGTGAGGGGCTTTATTCTTACAGACAACTTACCTGCAGTTTGATTTAATTTATTGATTTCTTTTCAGCAAAAATGAGTCCCCCCAATAGAATATACATAGTTCAAGGAGAAATATCTCTTGTTGTGACTGCTATGAAACGGTCTACAAGATGGAATTCTCATAGCACAGTTGTAAGTTTATTTTTTCAATTTACTTTTCTTAAACTAGAATTTCACAGTATTTACATTTTATGTCAGTTTTGTTGATTTCTGCTGCCCAATGAGTGTGATACTGCTTGGTGGACACTAACCCGAATGTTCAATCCCACAATAGGTCAAAAATTGATATATGATTTGGGATTTTTTGTTCCAATTTTTTTCCTGTAAGTGAAGCAGGAGTATAGTTGTTTATCTTGGACATTGATCCAACATTGTGCAGCAGACTGTATTAAAAACCCTTTGACAGTAGTAAAGAATAGCTTAATCTTGCTATCATTGCAAAATATATTGTAAACTGCATGATGATATCTGATGTTTTAAGTACAATAGAACAGTAAGCCTTTATTTCATGTTGAATATATTCTAGAAATTGTTATGATTTTTCAGGATGAAGATGGAGATCCATTATTGTCCGCCTTTTCACAACTTAAAGAGCTTTTAAATACAGCTCATGGTAAGATTTTCTATTATCATTTGTATTGTTACATTATTTGTGTACGGCTTAAGAAGTTGTTGATCAATATGTGTTTGTATTTATTTGGAGTTATAATCAAGGATAACTAAATAGTGATATTTTTTCGAGTGCTAAGCTAACTATAATGTAAATTTCAACAATGGTCAAAAAGTCAAACATTTGAGTTAACTAGAGAGGTAACATTTTTTTTTTTGGACAGATTTAGATGAGTTGGAACCAAATGGTTTTCTAACACCATTTTTGGAAGTGGTTCGTTCAGAAGATACTACAGGACCTATTACAGGACTAGCTTTGACTTCAATCAATAAATTCCTATCATATGGACTTGTTGGTAAGTAGTTTGATTATGCTTTATTTTGGAACAAATTTGTCACTGTTCAATGCAGAGCTTGATAAACAGCATTGTTTTTCTTTTAAAACCTTTTTGTCAAATTGTTTGGGTTTTTTCATTGTGATCATGGAAAACATACAACTTGTTCATACCATATTACAAAAATGTTGATTTAAAAGAAAACTGATCATATTAACTGTAAGATTAAAATATACCTATCAAAAATCAGTAAAATTTAATGTTAAATTAAGTTTGGCCAGACAATTAAGAGCTTTTATCAGACATGTCTAGCATTCAAAGCTACAAGTCTATTTATTATTCCTGTCTTGTCTATTTCAGATGTACAATGTGAATTATCACCAGCTGCTATAGAAAATATAGCTGATGCTGTAACTCATGCTAGGTTTGTAGGAACTGATCCTAGTACAGATGAAGTAGTCTTAATGAAAATTCTTTATGTAAGTACCAAATTAATTCCAATTCATTTTTCTGTCATTTTCAGAAGTTAATATCTAAACTTGGGGGAAAATATAGATATTTCACTGTGCAAGTATATTGTATGAACCCTTTCTGTATAGGACCCTTGTTTTATACACACAAATATACACTTATATTTGGAGAAGAAACTTTTGTTGTTCAAAAAACTTGATGCTTGCTATGATTAATGTGGTTTGTTTATTATTGTAAGATATTTTGTTTTTGTAGGTTTTAAGGACTTTGTTATTATGTCCTGCTGGTGTTTTATTAACTAATGAATCAGTTTGTGAAATTATGCAGTCATGTTTTAGAATTTGTTTTGAAATGAGACTTTCAGGTGTGTATTGATTAATGATATTAACTTCACTAACTATTTGTTAGAAGTGTAGAATGTTTATTTGCTGTCTTCTTTGAGATAATAGAGATATACCTTACTAGTTGTTGAGATGAGGTAAACAGGTGAACTAACCCTCCTAAACCTGGAAGGTTAGCCTGCCTCATAAGTGAGGTTGGACTGTTCATTTGAAGTTTTTATTTTTTTCTTGTAGAGTTTTTAAGAAAGTCTGCTGAACATACACTAATGGATATGGTACAGTTATTATTTACTAGATTACCTGTCTTCAAAGAAGATCCAAAATGGAGCGCTAGCATGAAAAAGGTAATATTACTTGTTGTTATAACAGTGTCATAATGTTTAATGTTGATTACAATGTATTGATTCAATGTTATATCTAGCAAGTTCAATTACAACATAGAATCAAGATAGTTTCTGATGCGTCTGTTTTTGTGTTTTTGTAGTTAAAAATGAGAGCAGGTGGGGTTGATCCCTCTAGATTAGGTAAAAGAAAAAGATCACCAAAACCCAGGAATAAGAAATTGAATCAGTCAACTCCAATACCAGATAAAACAGATAGATTAGTTGAAGAGAATATAGAACAGAATTCAGATGGTAGTCAGAATCCAGAGACTAATAGTTTTGAATATGTTACCTCAGATAGAATAGCTACTACTCCTGTATCTTCTGATTTAGGTGTTATTGATATTCATGAAAGTTTCCAGGTAAATTTAACTTATTTCATGAATCTTTTGGTATTGTAAAGAGGTTTTCTAGTTTTATGTGTATCAGGGACCACTTGCATCATTCTAGTTTTCTCTCAGATGTTTGTGATTTTGTAAGTATGCTTTACAAGTATATTATGTCACTATTACAAAAACTGCTTTTGATATCTAAGAGCTTTTAGGATAGATAGATCATAAAACACTTTGTTTAAGTGAAATTTCAAAAACCACTTATATCTGATTTAATATTGGAATAGTGCTATCAGTGTTTAGAAATTCTTCTTACATTAAAAAGTATTATAATTTTTTATATAATAAACTATTGTGGCTACATTTGGCTTGTTTAATAGCAAAATAAAGTCATATGATACTGATTTTATTTGCAAACTATAAATTGTAAACTTGATAAAAATGTTAAACATTGCTTTATTAGGCTGCTACTGATATACAAGATAGAACACCAACATCAGAACAACCCACAGATATAGATCAAGATGTTGAATCTGTACCTGTAGATTCAGAGCAGAATACTGTGGGTGATACTGACCCGAATGTTGATTCACCACCAGTTGAGCAGCCCAATACCACAGATAACCAGGATGATGATCAAAAGTTAGCTTCACTACCAGTAGTAACTCTTACAACTCCTGATGATCCTCAATTAAAGGTTGGTTACCTTACAGACTGATCTTATAAATCCCAAGTTCATTTGATTATACTTTATTGTTCTTTTTGATTGTAAAAGGTCTTTGCAAATCTTCGTAGATGATAGAAACTCCATTTTGGAAATTTCCTTAAGCACTATCTTACAGACTTACTTCAAGTGCTAGAATTTGATTCTTCTTGTGGAATATCTTTCCATAGGTAGCTTAAGGTGGTACATGTTTTTATTCAGAATTTCTGTCAGTCTGTCAACTGTGAGCAGAAGGCTAAGTAGGGGAAGTAACTCATCAGAGAATTCAATATAGTATATAAACTTATAATTGTAATTTATGTTTATCTTTTATATAGAAATCATCAAGTGAAACTGAGATCTCTGAAGTTAGTGAAAATTGTGATGATAATGAATCAGTACATTCTGTTGATACAGCCTCAGTCAATGATGGTGATTTTGTTAATCCTAGAGGTATCAGATTTACTCAACCACATTATCAACATAAAGAAGGTAAGACATAATACAATCTTTTATTTTATTTGCCATTACTTGAAGCTTTTAACTCTATAGACTCTGAACACTATTTGTAAATGGGAAACTGTATTTTCATGTAATAAAGGCAATCAAAGCAAGAAATATTCATATTTTTCTAGTATACTGATTATTAAATGACACAAAAATAACTTGTAGTATTAAAAATCCTTTCTTAAAGAAGGGTTCTCTTATTTTCATTTATGAAAATGCTAATACTTATATGAATAGAAAGTAGAGGTGTTCTTATGATTTGGAAAAATACCAGTTTTTCTCACATGTCCATAATTAATTCATAATTAACTAAATAAGAAGAGAATTTCCAGCAGAATTCCAATAAGTGACCGATAAAGAAAGGTCCAAAAGTCTTTTTTTGTTTATCCAGAATGTGCACACATGTAGATGTGTGATTGGTTAAAACTCTTAATTATATGCAATAAGATCATAATGATATGATTAAGAATACACAATAATTTATTAGAAACACCAATTTATCAAATATTGCTTAATTTGACACTAAAATATAAGGAAACCCATCTTTAAGTATTTAGAAGATTTCTCAATAAAATAATTGTGATTATTGATGGGTAGCCTGCTGTTGTAGTCATCAATATTCAACCCTACATTTAATGATAATATTAAGAATAATTTTTGTCTTGTATTGTAGGAAGTGGACCTTTGATTCCCTATGGATTACCATGTGTTAGAGAGTTATTAAGATTTGTTGTATCTCTATCTAATCCATTAGATAGGCATAATACTGATGTTATGATACATATGGGATTAAGTTTGATAACTGTAGCTCTAGAAGTAGGAGCTGACCATATTAGTTCCTTTAATAGTTTATTGTATTTGATTAAAGATGAAACCTGTAAAAATTTGTTATTGGTAAGTTTGGTTATGTTACGTTAAAATTATATACTTCTGGGATAGTTATTCAAGCAGTATGATTCTTCAGAATTTCCTGTTTTTAAGAACAGAAAAGATTGTTCTGTCTTTGTATGATTTTCGTACCTTGATTATATTTTGAATTTGATTATATTTTCAGATTTTATCTATGGATAGATTGTCATTATTTGCAGCATCTTTAAGAGTTTGTTTTTTATTGTTTGAATCTATGAGAGGTCATTTAAAATTTCAATTAGAGGTGAGTTCATCTTTTTATTGTATATACAATCATGTAACCCATGTCTCGCTTCTGTATTGTAATAAAATATTTAGATTTGAGTTTTACATGAAACGCTTTGATTGGTTAAAATAACATTATCGGGACAGGCTTTGGTAGAAAACTTGTTAGATTACAATGTAGACTTAAAATGTCAGAAAACAGGAAAAGATACGAAATTATAATCTAATTTGAATTAGATTGCATTAACCTGAACAGATAGAATTTCATATGATAATTAACATTTTATTGATACCAAAGGTATTGAATAAAAGTTTTTAATTTGAATTATGTTTTTTTTCTTGCAGATATTTCTGACGAAGCTAGCTGATATTATAGTATCAGAATCACCTAAAGTATCACATGATGAAACTAAAGAAGTGGCGTTGGAATGGTTGATACAGTTATGGAGAATACCAGGCTTGGTGACTGAGTTATATTTAAATTATGATTGTGATTTATATTGTTCTAATCTACTAGATGATATCACTAAATTAATATCAAAGGTAAAGTACTCTTTTCTTATGGTATAAGATAGCCATCCTAGAGCTTTTGATTTCATAAGGTTTTATTTCTGAAATGATTAAATTTTAGACGGTTTTGTCTTCTTTCTTAAAGGAATAGTTCCTCTTAGAATGAACATAAAATTTAGATTCTCAATCTTTACCATTAAGAGTAAATATTCATAAGTGAACTTACCTGGTGTTATAACTTATCAAACAAAGAAAGCAAAATAATTATCCATAAAACTAAATTTTTGAAAAATGCTATAAAATTTTTAATATGTATATGTAAATTAATATAAGATGTATATTATATTTATATTGTAGAATGCTTTTCCTGTATCTGGTTTATTTACAACACATCTACTATCATTAGATGTATTATTAACAATGGTAGACAGTATAGAACAACATTGTCATAGTCGTATTATTAGTTCTAGTAAAACACAGTTAGATAATCCTGATAAACTTGATGAAAAAACAGAAGGTGAGCCATAGACAATAATCTTTCAAATTAAAATTAAACGAGTTTTAGATGAACATAATCATCTATTTGTCATCTAGGCACCATGAGTAAAGTATTGATAGATTCCATGTTCTTTCAATTATGTAATAGCCAGTAGATGTCTTTAACGTCTCAGTGTGTATCATTTAACTCAAACTTTTTCATACTATACATCATTAAAATTATAATTCAATAAGCTATAATATTTTCACACATTTCTGAGAAGGGCCAGTTTTAAGCCCATTGTCTCACTTTTGGTCAAATGTTGGATGACATCACCTAGACTATTCCTTCATACTTCTTCAAATGAGGTCACCATTTTCTCAATAGATAATGAGACTTCTGTCCATGTTTCCAAGAAAAGAGACATGAACAAGGTCTCTTTGAAACTCTACTCTTAAGATTAATAATGTGTTGATATTGATCATGTGTTGATATTGATCATGTATTTAGATGTGTTGATATTGATCAGGTGTTGATATTGATCATGTGTTGATATTGATCATGTGTTTAGATGTGTTGATATTGATCATGTGTTGATATTAATCATGTGTTGATATTAATCATGTGTTGATATTGATAATGTGTTGATATTGATAATGTGTTGATATTAATAATGTGTTGATATTAATAATGTGTTGATATTAATCATGTGTTGATATTTATAATGTGTTGATATTAATCATGTGTTGATATTTATAATGTGTTGATATTAATCATGTGTTGATATTAATCATGTGTTGATATTAATCATGTGTTGATATTTATAATGTGTTGATATTAATCATGTGTTGATATTAATCATGTGTTGATATTGATTATGTGTTGATATTGATAATGTGTTAATATTGATAATGTGTTGATATTAATAATGTGTTGATATTATTGTAGGGAAAACAAGAAATGAAGTATCTACTAGTAGTTCAGATGGTGATTCAGACATCAATCATATTGGTCCTCCATCAACTGGTTACGGTATGGCTCAAAATCTACTCAAAAAATCAGATTTAACATTAGGTTGGTATATTATTATGCTTATCACACTCTTCAGAACATCAAGTTCAATCTTATCCATTGATCAGTTTACCATCAAGCTTAGAGTTATTGTTAGATATTGACACATTGCTGTGTATTAACACCATTTTATGTGCTATAATATTTTGCAAGGCTTACACCTTAGGCATAAGGTTTTATTTCTCATGATCTGTGGTCAACAAAAATATTCATATTGAGTTAACTGTAATAATGAGTTATCAGAACGATAGATATAGTGTGCTGGTTGTTTATTTTGACACCCCCTTGACTTTCTATTTAACTATTCCATTCATGCATATTAGCAATCAACCTGAGACAGTTTATGTATGATTGGCAGAGTTCATTTGAACTTACATATAGGGATTTCAATTCAAGAACACCCTATTCCTCTTCAGACCTAAAGAACTAATTCTGTTTGTAGATGTAAATAAAGCAGCTAAAGAAAGTAGAAAAGGACCACAAATTAAACCTAACAGAATGAAATCAAACTCACGAATTAAGACCTCAGAAGAGATAGCTGCTATTAAACATAAAAAAAGGGTATGTAGCTCTTTCTTTGAACATACTTAGCTTTTATTTCACCTAGTGCTTAAGCAAGATGACTAGTGTAGATGCACGACCGCTCAAAATTGATGCATAGACCGATTTCCTTGGTGATGTACACCGTGTCCACACATGACAGTAAGAAACTTACCACTTCCTAAAGGTTACAAATAGAATATTAAACCAGCTTAGTTTAATATAGCCAATGAAATCGTGCTCATGTGAACAGGGTTTAATTATTAAATATTGAATTTCCAGCTATATCATACTGGTACAGAACAGTTTAATATCAAACCAGCTAAAGGAATAGCTTTCCTACAAGAACAAGGTTTACTGAAAACACCATTAGATGTTCAAGAAGTGGTGACATTTTTAAGAGAAAATCCACGTTTAGATAAGAAGATGATTGGAGAATATATAGCCAACAGAAAACATGCAGCCATATTGTTGGCTTATGTCAAGTAAGCTTATGTATTTATTTGTTGCCTATAATTAAAATGGCAGTGAAAACCAATTTATAGTTAATTTTAAAAGGCTGTTTTTGCCAAATTAACCAAATTAAGTTCATAATGCAAGCATTACACATGCTGCGGACATTAATGGCAAAATGGATTTTTTTAACTAAAACCAACTTATTGTTGAACAATTGATTAAATGGTTTTGTCACAGTTACTGTTGTATAAAGGGGGTATACCTATTCTACCAGAAACAACCTTAAACATAGCTTCATTAGAGATTGCTGGGAAACTTGGAATGCTTACTAAGATAAGATCTTGGTTGATTTTCATATTGACAAACATTTATTCATTGACTGTTCGATTACAGCTCAATCATCAGCATTGCCTTGTTAGAAAAACAACTTGATGCCTGCTTATTAACATATTTGTATTTCAGATCATTCAATTTTGAAGATCAAAGAGTAGATGAATCATTAAGACAATATTTAGAAGCATTCCGTTTACCTGGTGAAGCTCCTGTTATATCTTATTTATTAGAACATTTTGCTGAACATTGGACGGTAATGAATGATATTTCTTCTGTTTTTTTAGGTCCAATTCTTTCTGGAATGACTAGGGAAAGGACATTGACTGTGCTTCTATGTAAAACTATGTAAAAATTATTGATGAGCTATTATGACATAAAAGGCTTTTATCTTTTCCACTTGATGTTTTCAAATGAATAGCACGTTCCAAAGCAGTGTGATGCATAATTCATTCTGTTGCAATGTAACAAATGTTGGTATTGTGAAGCAAACGGTTCCTCGATAGAACTTTCATGAATGTAATCAACCACAAATTGTTGCAATATGTATCAAATCTAAAACAAATTTGTAAATAAATGGTTATAAATTGTAATCTTTATATTGTAGATATCTAATGGTGAACCATTTGCTAATGTAGATGCTGCATTTACTCTAGCTTATGCTGTAATTATGTTAAATGTTGATCAACATAATCATAATGTTAGAAGACAAACAACTCCCATGTCTTTTGCAGTAAGTAAATTTGTACACAATTTCTAGTGCCAAATAACGGCCATAGAGAGTAGTCTAATGAGGCTATCCTGGCAATTTTTTCCTCACTGCACACTTCACGGCTTGGCTCATTTTCAGTATCTTATTCAGGTGCTGAAAATTTGATGTAAAACTTCATTTCAGTTTATTTCACTTACAATGTGTGCTTCATTATGCTTGCTTGATTGGGATCATAATGAGGTTAATTTTGTATCATTTTGTGACCTGCTTTGAGTTCAATAAGTTTTATGATCAATTAATTGTATTTTGATAGGAATTCAGAAAGAATTTAACTAAAACTAATGGTGGAAATGATTTTGAAGAAGATATGTTAGAAGAAATATATAATGCTATCAAGTGAGTTTAATATATGTTTTGGGTAATATACAAAAATATTGATTTGATTTGATTTGATTTGATTGACAGGAGTAAAACCCATATAATCTGAAACTTTTTGCTTCGTATTCTCAAATTCTTTGTTGATACAGCAGTGAAACCCATATAATCTGCCACTGTAACTCTCCTATAAGCAATGCATATCATGATTATATAGTTATATTAAGTTAAAGTTATCATTACCTGTATTGTTATTATATAGATAAACTGGTTTTTTTTTTAGAAATGATGAGATTGTGATGCCAGCTGAACAGACTGGACTTGTTAAAGAGAATTATATTTGGAAGGTATAAATTAAATTAAAGACTGTCTATTCAATAAGCTTATAAAGAGTTTTTAGATCAATTCACAAAAGAACAGATTTTAATAAAAAATTTCACAATTCAATTGGACTTTTTAGCCAAATGACTTGAATGTTATATATCCCATTTCAACATAGTGACAAAAACCACAAAATTTCGTTGTTTTTTGTTTTGTTTTGTAAATTTGAATTCTGTAAAATATGGTGTTCATTTTGCTCTATTTGCAGCAATCATTAAAGCGTGGAGCTACTAAAGAAGGTGTTTATATACATGCTCCTACTGGACTATTTGATCATGAGATATTTACTTTAATCTGGGGTCCTACAGTAGCTGCGTTAAGTTTTGTATTTGATAAGAGTGGTGATGAGGCCATGATACAGAAAGCTATCTCTGGATTTAGGTGAGTGAAAATTCTAATGATCAAAAATGCAAATGAAATGAACAAGATATTTTGATTTCAATTAAGCTGTCTTGGACACAAATTTAGGTTTGAAAGTATAGACTGGCATTTGGTGAGTTCTGCTAATTCAGAATTCATGGACTAAACCAAAGTTCAAAGTTAGATCAAGGTTTACAATGTGTTCCATGAATGAAATAGAAGAATGAAATTTACATCAGTCAACCTCCATTTTGAATGTTATGTCACAGGCTCCATACTGTTCGATTCACGCATAGAGTCGGAAGAGATGGAACCTGTTCAGTACAGCCAACTCACTGTCACCTAGGTTACATTTCAATTTCTCTGTATTTAAGCCATGCCATATTAGGGGGTCTGATAACGTGTCGTCTGTTGAGCTTTTGAATCCATCCAGAAGCAAGAAAACATGTCTCAGTGCTCAGGTTATATTATATTATCATAAACTTAAGTTTATCTCAATAAACTATTGTGAGAATCGTATGAGAATGTGTTATTTTTTCCCTGATCTTTAGGAAATGTGCTATGATATCAGCCCATTATGGTATTAGTGATGTGTTTGATAATTTAGGAATATCATTATGTAAATTTACTACATTACTCAGTTCTGTAGAGGTAAGAAATAATATATTCATAATATTCATAACAGCCAAGGTTATGTCTATATGATGAATAATGCTATTTTATTTTGTTTCATATCATTTGACCTTGAACTGGTACTGACAAACAAATTCTTATGGCTATATCATATGATACATTGATTATATGTTTTTATATTTATCAGATCACTTCATCAATTTTCTCCAATAAATTAAATTAATAACATTCAACATGTTTATGTATGTCTATAAATGTGCCTGACATGATATTAGTTGAAGCTGGTTTTGACTTTGACAATGAAATTAATCTAATTTTTCAATCCAATTCATAGATAAAATAAACCTCACTTAAAGAGATTGTGAGCATCGATTTGCATCATTCCAATTTTTCAATGTGTATATTGTTCTTGCAGGCACCAGAAAACATACCAGTATCATTTGGTATTAATTTTAAAGCTCAGTTAGCTGCTAGAACTGTGTTTGCTCTAGCACATAGACATGGTGATATATTACGTGAAGGCTGGAAGAATATATTAGATTGTATGTTACAGTTATATAGAGCTAAACTATTACCACAAAATATGATAGAGGTAAGAGAGTTTCTGAAATATATAGAATCAGTATTAGTGGGTATGTGAACTCTCTGAAAGGATGGTGAAGAGATAAAGCAGTAGTATAGTGACACCAGGCTAATCATGGATAATGACAACTGCGGCAGTTTAAATTGTTGCGTAGCAGAGTTGAAGTTTAATCTTAATAACTCAAAGCTAATTGTTTGATTTGACCAGCTAATACTTATAGAGAACTTCCTTTTCAAAATTAAAGATTCATTTGAAATAAATATTTTCACTTATTTGAATGGTTGTATTTTGTATAGGTGGAAGATTTTGCTGATCCTGCTGGTAAAATATGTATCATAAGAGAAGATAACACAACTAATCAAAGGTAATAGAAATTTATTGTCAAAGATATAAACATGTTCTTCTTTTCATTATGCTTTCTAGAATTGAGCTGAAAGTCCGAAAGTGTAGAATATTCTTGTTTTCTCCTCCTGGTCAGTGTTTGCTTTTTCTAGATTTTGATGAAATTTGATTATATATATGATCATAGAAAGGATAAGAAAGAAATTGAATTGAAACTATTATCTATTTACAGGTCAGAAGCTGGTGTATTTAGCAGTTTTTATTCATATTTCTCACTATCAGAAGCTTCCAATCAGAAAGGTCCAACATTAGAAGAACAAGATGCTGCTAAACAGGCACAGCAATGTATTGAAGCTTGTCATATAGATTTATTAATATTGGATAGTAAATTTCTACGTGAAGATTCTTTACAAGAATTAGTCAAGGTAAGAGCATGATTATCTCTGTCATTTTACAGTCAAGGATTTTTTTTTATATGATGAGGAAGTCTGGTCTTCATTTATCTAAAATACCCAATGAAATTTTCGTGTCCATGAATGTTAGAAATCTTTTTGCTAATATAGAATATGTCATGTTTTTTTCCATTGAAAATATTTCGAAATAAATTTAACCATCTTAGAAGACGTATATCCAGAGAGCTATTGTTTGCTGTTAAGTGAGCTATTTGTCCTCATTTTTGGTTCAGATAGATGTGTTTGCTTACATTAAATGTGATGTCTATATTCTAGGCTCTGATACTGGCTTGTCAAGGTAATGAAGATCAAACACAATTTGATGAAGATGCAGCTGTATTTTTCTTAGAGTTGTTGATAAAAACAGTCCTTCAAAATAGGTAAGCCATATGTCATGTAGGGTAAAATTGAATGTTGTGTATGAATAAAATTTATTAGTCATCATTTGTAAGCTTATATTATACAATTTAGTGTTTATGTATTTTGCTGTCTGACCTGTCTGTATGTCCATTCTTTTGTTCTGTCTGTCCATATTTCTTGTAGACAAGAGAGGCTGTAGTTTGCATCCAATCTTGATGAAACTTGGTATGCATGTATATATTGATGGTCAACTTTGAAGTTGCTAATTATTGGATGAACGGTTTTTGAGTTATTGCCCTTGAATTAGTAAAAGTCAATCAAATTACGTTAGTAGACAGCTGCCATTGGGTGTATGTTACCTTGCCTGGGAAGGTATCTTTTTTATCAATTTTAATGTCTTAAACTTTATATGGTCATTTTGTACAAAATGATTCAAAAGAAAAGGTGTTTGAAAAAGTTTTCCTTTGGCAAATTGATTAATTGTATGAATTATTTCTATTTGTAGGGATCGTGTATCATTGATATGGCAAGCTGTACGAGATCACCTCTATAATATTATAGTCAATGCTAATGAACAGTCATTTTTAGTTGAACGTGCTGTAGTGGGATTATTAAGACTAGCTATTAGATTGTTACGTCGTGAAGAAATAGCACCACAAGTTTTAACATCATTACGTATCTTATTAATGATGAAACCTGACGTTATCCATAATATCAGTCGACAAGTAGCATTTGGTTTACATGATTTATTACGTACAAATGCAGCTAATATACACTCTAGTCAAGACTGGTTCCCATTGTTCATGACTCTGGAAGTTGTTGGAGCTGGAGCCAATCCTCCTCCTCTAATGCAAGTTCATTCTGGTGTTGATGTTAAAGAATCATTATGTGATGCAGGTAAATTTCATGATATTTCTGTTCAATGCACAATGTGAATTATTATGCGAGTCATAACAGACATGTCTATTCACATGGAAAACTTGTTTTCTCTCTAATTGCTCAAGGGTTAGATGCTTGCTTGTTTATCTGGAAGTTCAGAGGTCAATTCCGAATAGATATTCTAACTTGGTTTTTGAGTTGGAAATTGAAAAAATACTACTGTCTTGGCAAAATTTCTCTCTTTGCATACTGCATCACATTGCCTGTCATCATTTTTCCAGAATTTTGTTTCATTATAAATTTATTTGTAGGAGCCCAGTCTGATAGTGAAATACAATGTAATAATTCTCAGACTAGTGATATTAGTGAAAGAGGTTATACTAGTGATAGTGAATTATATGATGTACAGAATAAACGTGTTGGTTCTGTTTCACCAGAATTACAGTTACGTCCTGTACCAGATAACGGTAGTTGGCTTTTGGTAAGTATACCCTAATCATATAAAATCATTGCAGGTTCAATAAGACTTAGTTTATACAATTCTCCAAATATTTGTTACCAAGCAATATAAGTGGACTAAATCTTTTTTTGGATTTTAATTTTTGCCAGATGAATGTAAATCTAAACTGTTACCATTATTATTAGACTTAGAGGGATTGTAAAGAGGTTTTCTTAACTTTTTATTTGTATCAGGGACGCTGACAACACAATTACATCTGTGGGTCTGGCAATTTCACTTAAGCTAAGCGTTTAATGACATCACTATCTCAAAATACCTTAAGATATTATGCGCAACTTTATACGATTAAGCATTTGTATAATAACAGAAACCACAGACTTTTGATGAAAAATTGGATTTATGCAAATAATGAAAAAAATGGTCCTAAAATGCATGAAAAATATTTTATGAAATCAGAAGGTGCCAAAAATGTTGTGTATTTTGAAATTAGATATATGTAAATAATATTTGTAGGTAAATAAAGAAGATCCTCCACCCAGTTCAAAACAAAGAAAAATCAACCAATTTACAATAGATTTAAATGAAGTACTACATTATTGTGATAGCAAAGCTTTGTTGAAATCTTCAGAGACTTTATCTTTCCTTGTTCGTGATGCAGCCCATATCACTCCACATAATTTTGAAAGTTGTGTTCATGCTATCAGGACTTTTGTAGAGGCCAGTTTAAATGGAGGTAAGCGAAATTTATTTTATGTGTTTATTCTCATGAATTTTTCACACTATATACCCATACCACTGGGTAAGATTTTCTGGACATTCTATATTTGGTCATTATCCCAAAGCCGTCATCAGAATAGCTGGCTTTGAATTACAATTAATATGATCAACATTTGGACTTGTACAGAACTATTGCGAACTATTTCAGACGTAAGTTTCATATTGTTAATTTAACATGCGCATTATACTTGCAATTATATGGTATTTAGAACTTTATTCCTCTGAATGGCCTCAAGGTATATATATACACACCATTCTAATAAGAACTTGATTTTAGATGTAATCTACTAATTTACTTGTACTCTGTCTTCAGGTCACTTAAAGACACAATTGAGAACAACATTAAAAGAGAAAAAGTCTCATCATAGAATACATCGTAGTAAAAAAGAGAGTAATAAAATGAAGAAATCTAGCTCCTCACCAAGTGTAACTAATATTAATAATTCTGATGATGATAGTGAACATGACAATATGGCTGCCAGTTTACATTCATTGTCTATCCAGCTATTAGACCTCATGCATACACTACATACTCGTGCTGCTAATATATTTAGCTCTTGGGCTAAAGTTGATAGTGAAGGTATTGATGCTGAAACCAGCTCATTGTGGGCTAAATGTTGGTGTCCATTGTTACAAGGTATGTAAGGATGATATTTATAAACTCTTTATTCTATGTAGGTGAGAATTCTTAAAACTTTTGTCTATTATTCCCAAGGCCAAAAGGCAATCCAAGTTCAATTGAGTTAAAGGAGTCCGGTGTGGATTTTTAAAAATGTAATTTAAAAAAACTTAGATTTTGGAAGTCAGGCATTTGCATTCGTAACTATAGCAACTGTATCTATTTTAAGATTTTGAAAATCAGTATGGGAGCAGAATTAGTCTGCTGAACACTATCTTTGTCATTTTGATAAAGTCTGTCTTGAAGAGCCATTTAATTTGTTTATGTATTGTTGTCAAAATCTTCAGCAAAGATTAAATTCCTCAAGTTCAATATTAGATATTAATATACTGATATATATATATATTTGTTACAGGTATAGCCAGATTATGTTGTGATTCTAGAAGACAAGTGAGAAGTCAAGCCTTAACCTATTTACAACGAGCTTTATTAGTTCATGACTTACAAACATTATCAGCTGTAGAATGGGAGGCTTGTTTTAATAAGGTATTATATACATATTAATTATATAGGTGGTCCAAAATTTGTATGAATAGTCAATATGAGTGAAACTCCAATTTAGACAATGAAATTTAGCTTCTTTTTAGCAAATGCTTTGCCCGGTCATTTTTATTGTCATTTGACAAAGCAGTGTTTATTTCTTCAGAACGATAACATAATCCACATTCATACCTTGAATTATTTCAATTACTTGCTTGGTTTTGAGAGAAACTGAAAATTTCTTTGTATTGTAAATTAACCTGCTTCTAAATTCTGCAGGTTCTATTTCCACTATTAACCAAATTACTAGAGAATATCAACTCACAAGATCCTGGTGGTATGGAAGAAACTAGAATGAGAGCTTCCACTTTACTTTGTAAGGTAGGTATAATTCAAGTATTGGACTGTTATGATGTCTAGTGATGCGTGTGAGTTAATTTCTTGCAATATTAAGAATCAGAAACATTTGGTATTGTTATCCTCATGTATTCCATTGAGAAGATTGTCATTCTGTGGACAAATGGTGGCTGTGGATTCTAATCTCTATCAGCATGTGAAAGTCTGATGACCTTGTGGCATCTTCATTCAATTCCAGCCGACCCAGCTGTGAAGGTTACGAAAGATCAATGCTATGAGGTTAGGCCAAGAAAAGGATCCTTTGTGAACCTAAGTTATTAACCTTGCAAAGTATATTTCTTTCTTTCTTTCTTTTTATTAAGCTCTAAAGCCAATTATTAGCTTTGATTGTCTTTTAGGTTTTCCTTCAACATTTAAGTCCTCTGTTATCATTAACAACATTTACAGCACTGTGGTTAACTATATTAGATTTTATGGAGAAATATATGCATGCTGATAGAAGTGATTTATTGGTAAGTTATAGTTTACTACTCATATTAGAGTAGTTTAATACATTCCCTTCTCTGGAGTCAATAATTCTACACCATGGACCTAGTTCTTGAAACATTAACTAACCATTCATCTGAAAATCAATTTTATTATCCAATCACGTCCTTCGAAACAGATCTGACAGTCATTTGTTACAGACATTCGTTAAGTTATAGAACATATTGAATTTCTTAAAATCTGGATTTTATTTGAGTTTTTTCGAGAATAAGGTACGAGGTTTTATGAATTTGTACCCTTCTAAATTTAGATTTCTTTAGTAGGGTTAAAAGTGTCATAAATATGTTTTTAAAACTTTTATCAAAGGAGGATCTATTAAACTTATATTTAATATATGATTATATGATATAAGCTTATGATTTTTCTATATTTTATTTAGTCGGAAGCCATACCAGAATCATTAAAGAATATGTTATTAGTTATGGAAACAGCTAGTATATTTCATACAGCTGATGGTATAGAATCACAGCTGTGGAAGTTAACCTGGGATAAAATTGATACATTCTTACCAAATTTAAAGGAGGAACTCTTCAAACCAGGTAATTATTCTTTGTAATCCACAGTAACATCCATCTGTAAAAGGATGACAACTTAAAGCTTATGCTTTGTCAGGCTTTCACTGCTATCTATTTTAGGATTATCTGTATTCTGTGTTGAATGGAGTAAAAAATGGCTTTGGCTATTTTTCATTCATCATTCAAGATGAGACAATGGATGAAACATTTTTAAACAATGAAATGATCTCTATTTTATCGCTTTTTAATGAAAATAGAATTCTACTAGTTGTTTCTTAGGCTTATATTTTGAAAGTGATGGATATATTTAACCATTCACAGTTGGATTTAAAGAAATGAGGAAAGACTACTGCAATGTTAATTTTGTTTATATTATAGAACCTAAGAATAAAGAAATAGAACGTAATGATGTTAGTAATGATACTAATAACAGTACTAATACAACTGATGTACAGCCAGATGTTCCTTTAGAAGGTGTTACTGTTATCAGAGGTAAATCATACATTACAATCTAATTAAAACTGGATTATGATTTCATTTTGTTAATATTCGATCTCCAGTTGTAATCTATACCAAGAATTATTGGATAGTGATACACCAAAGTAGAGCTATATGACCAGTGAGATTATGATATTGTTTGTAAAAGTGATTCTGATTGGCAGGAGAGTGCCGAAACTTCACCAGTACATGGAATAAATCTTGTTAGATTACGATGGAGATCGACAAAATCATAATCTTATTTCAATGAGATTGCAATTATGGAAACTTTTCCTGGAATGTTCTTGAAGTAGCTTGATTAAGTAACTATTTTGAGCAATTTAAAAACTTCCATTCAATCAAAAAATTCGTATTGACACATGTTGGACATGAAATTCATAATCATCAGTGAGAGGGCTATAATGAAAAGATTAAGAGATAGGAGGAAACTTTGTAAGCAAGAATGATATTAATTTATTATAGATGATAGATCACAATCTCCAGAAAGAGCTAGCAGTCCATTAATATCTCAAGAAGCACCTGGTACTAATTATATCTTACATCCACCATTACCTATAGTAACATCACTGAGTACCCAGCAAACACAACCTATATCAGTGGGTAGTTATACAGGTACATCATTTCCTTTATTATTACAATCAGTAAGTACATTCTCGCTTCTTAGCCTGCTTCTGTACAGGACTGGAGCATGCTAGGTGCAGAGAGATAGAAAGCATGGTTCTGCTTTTGTCTGTTGAATTCAACTTTGGTATGCCCAAGGTAGTACTTTTTTGTAACATGGCTCTTTTAGAATACATAACAAAATGCTTGCCTCCTGCATGTATTCTAGCTGTAATATAGAGGCCATGATTATGTTAGCTAATAAAATGGCTATATCTGTATGTACTCTGTTTGGCTTTCTTTTTATTTATATAGAACATTTTTCTATACTCCATTACTCCTATCTTTGCAAATTCACAAAAGTTTGGTTAAATTAGAACATGATTCAGACTGTTGTCATGGGCTTTTGTTATATTTTTATTTCATATTAGCAGACTATTTAAGCCTGTATATTTGCTTCATATATTGTTTGGAATGTATTGAGACCTTCCCTCTAGATATCTTGGAGCCGCGGTGGCTCAGTGAGTCACATGCTTGCTCACTAACCTGAAGGTCCAGGGTTTATTAGCCCATAAAGTGCAGAAAAGTAGGATGTGAAAATCCAATCCTTTCATTTTCTAAAGGTAATTCCTTCTGATAAATTTGAATATAATTTATCTATTACAGATCAATGTGGTGAAAACAAAACCAATACCAATGAAAGAAAATCAGCATCAGACACCAGTATATCCAAATCTTCCTCAATAATACATACTATATAAAACAATAATATAAACAACAATATCTTATAACACCTCTTATTGAGTATGCAACACACTGTGGTAGCTATAAAACATCCTCAATATTTATTCAATGCATTGTACAAATATTTTCAACTTGATGTTTAGTTACTTGGGATATATAGAAATACTTTTCTTTGTCTGATTTGAGTATTAAAGTTGGATTCCTACTCTTGAGTTTGTTAAAATGTATATAGATAGTTTGGATTGTTATTTTAAACTTGAGAAATGATTCATATTTGTAATTTCACGAAAGTTAGTATGGAATGAAATATCTTTAGGCTTAAAAGGCAGTCAGCTACTTTTCAGCTACAATCAGACGCGTCTGGCATAACAACCCAATTGGTAGTCCTGAATAAGTAATGGAGGGTGCATGAAATACATTGTTTTTGTAAATAGTTGACGCACATTATGTTGACAAGATCCCAACTAAAACAGGTCAGAAATTCAGGAAATATTCTCAAAACTTTTGCTTGCTCAGTGATATGGCAGTGTAAAGACAAAAGCTATAAGAGTATAATATATGAATATAATATTTATTGATGTAATATTATTATAGTTTGTTATTGTGATAGTGTATTATATTATACTAATATTAAAAGGATTTATTGGACTGGGGAACCAAATTAAATACCATAACATGTCCTTTGCATTTATAAGTAATGCATTCATAATAACAAATTTTCTTTTTGGTAAATACATCACTTTGAGAAATTATTTGTAAGTTAAAGAATGGCTTTGAATTTTTGTGTCAAAAATATATTTAAAAGACTTAGTGATTGTATCTGTGCCAATAGATTGCAATATGATACAAACTTGGCAATTGTATATATATATTATTTATAGATGTTATTATGTATATTGTTTGTACAGTTTAAGATTTATTTTATATGTAAATTACCAACTTTTATTGTACACTTTTAACTCTTATAAATGTATCTGTTCTAGTAAAAGTGTCATTAAATTGTTTCAAATCTTTGTAAATATTTTTGTTAGCCAAATCAAACAGGAAACATATTCAAGCACATTTGGGTTGATTCCAAATAATTATATGAGCAGTCCAATGTAATTTTAGGAAGGGAAGAACCAGGGTTCAATCAAAAAAAAATAAATACATAAATCAGATTTATATCAAATTTAAATTTTCAAACTTGGCCAATAAGACTATATAATATATTCATCAGTGGACCTACCTGGTGTTATAACTATACAACAGAATCCCCCTATAATCCAATAAATCTATAAAACTAGGTAATTTTACTTGTAACTACAGTCACTACTGTATCATTTGATAGACTAAACAAAAGTTTTGGAGTTATATTTTATTTATACAAAGAGAAATTGTCTACTGTTACAAAATTTGGTTTGGTCAAATGGTTTGATAATGGTTTTTCAGTTAAATATTTGTATATGTACAGTATCTTTAAGCAATCTTCAATCCAGCAATACTTTTCTCCAAACTCTGAAATTAAAAATATAATTCTTTAAAATATTGAAGAGCACAGTTACCCATGCACTACCTTATATACTTATAATGTACAAATATTGGGCCATCATTTGCCTCTTTTTTTCCCTCAAGATACAAAACTCATCTACAGACAAGGAACAGGTTCACTATCCATTTGATGAACATATCTTAGTCTCAGAAACTGGAATTTTTTTTTTAGTTAAGCTAGATTTAAGCCTTCAAATCCATGTTTGTCCATAAAATGATTTACATATATTCAAGACCCACATCTACTCCCGATAATGGTGAACCATGGACTTTAAAGTGGATAGCCCTAGTATGTCTATTTCACAATGGTATGAATTTCATATACAAGTATATATTCTAGTACCTAAGTTTAAATGATTAATTTACCTTGATATCCCAAATGATAATGTTTCCATCTACTCCAGATGTAGAAAACTTGGTACAATCAGCTTTAGTCCCTGAGTATATACCTATCTCACTGAAAGATAAATTAAATAGATATTTTTCAACCATTTTATCTTGAAAGACACAAAGTATATGATATAAATCAACAAAAACTCTTATCCTAACAAAACATGTCCTCAAATTAAGACATATCTATAATATTGGGAGATTAAATTGAAATCACCAAGCAGCCTCAATGAATGTGAGTGACAATGACATAAGTATAAGATAAGATATCTTACGTGATAGTATTTTGATGTTGTGTCTTTAGTTCACTAGTAGAATCACCTGATGTAGCTCTAGTATCGAAATTCTTGAATCTATTCATAGCACTGTAATGATAAATTAGATTTGAATTTGAAGCAAAATGAATATTATTTTTTTCTATGACTAAATAGCAGCTATTTTACATTTATTTACTCTGGCAATTTTCTCCAGGCCGAAGCTGAGACATGTAGCAGGGTCGCTACGGTCAGGCTGAAGCCTTGGACGCGGCTGCCGATCTTGGTGGTCACTTTCTGATAGCAATGGTAGTCTGATAGCCTTTCTAGTTCTTAGTTATTAAACAAACAAATCTATCTTAATGATAAAAGTATAGGTAATTGAACATCTTGAAATGTTAGTTATATTTTCTCATGAAAACAATAAGCAGCTTACACATGCTATTACATCAAACTTATCATATGGTAAATTTCATTTTGGGGAAGATCTGCTGTAAAGATTAAACTAGTTAGTTAACTACATGACGTGTCAAACTCAAATTCAATACAAGCCCTATGTTCTATCACATCATGCTCTTAAATCTCCTAATAAAATCATACAGTCAGATATTTTTAACTATTGAGGTGTTATTCAGGGAAAAGGGTACTCTGAAAAGAAAACATTTTCATGCTATCCACAAACCATGCAGATTTTAGCGTTAATTTTCTGTTAAATCTGTACTAAAACAAACATTAGAGCACGTCTCTGTTATGACATTTTTGTCATCATTCCATCCAACCTGTACATAGACCATTCTTCTTCTTCCTCTTCTTCTTCTTCTTCTTCAGAATTATTCTCTCTTTCACATTCTGATTTCTGAGAATTACAGCTTTCTTGTCTGCAAGAGGCAGTTTTTGTCAACATCTTAAGAATGAAATTGGCAATAAAGATGGAAATTAAGAATAAAAGATATTGTTAAAAAGTTTTCTAGTCTTTGTGAGTGTATTGGAGACACTGATAGCATTGATCTGCACCATTTCAATTTTTGTCTGACGTCGGAGTCAATTTATGACATAACTATCAGCAAGGGCCTTGAGTAATATTAGCAGCTTTTGCAATAACCATTTCATAAAATGCTCAGTTTTAGTTGAATTGCAAGAACCACTGACATCTGGAAATTGGAATGGTGCAAATTGATGCTATCAGTGTTCCGGATAGACTTCAAAGGTTAGAAAACCTCTAACAATCTCTTTAAGAATGAGACACAGGATAAAAATAGGCCTACCTCATTGTTCCAGCAGCTTTTTCTTGAGATTGATCCAGTTTATTTATCAAAGTTAACTTTCCGGCATCATCATAGGTAAATACTGTTGGATTACAATCATAACCCTAAAATATCAATTAAAGGCAGATTAACATATACTATTTTAAAGGGATACACAAGTATAAAGAGTTAACCAATTGATAAGAGCTCTGTTTCAGCAACAATTGTGCTAATCCAATTAAGGTGTTAACACTGGTATTACCAGATGATGCAAACATTTGAAAGATTTTAGAACATTTTTAACATTATTCTGAATTAATACTTACAGCAGCTACTAGACTGTTCTCTGTCACCCATGTTACACTTTTAAATGGCAGGAAATTTCCCTTTACACTAGTTAATCTGAAATATAGTTTATACAATATACACCAATCAAAAACCAAATAAAAGCATATGCCTAGCCCAAATTGTCTTTTAATGAAATAACCTATCATTGAGAACATGGACAACAAGAGATATCAATATCACTAATAATAATGACAAAATCCACTGCTCTATCATTTTTACAAACTTATTTTTATAAGGTAATATCTCATCAAATTTTCATTTGAATATTTCTTACAACTTTCTTGTCTCAAAAATTACTTACGTGGCCCCCTTGGCAGCATCTACTACATTAACACTGGAATCATGTCCTACCCAGACCAAACGGTCACCACTTGGTGAAAATGATACAGAATGTACCCATCCACCTGAAAGTAATACATAAAATGAAATAATAAGCCATGTGGAGTCTCAAAAAAGGATACAAGGACGACAATCCTGGTTACAAAACGTCAACAAGTGTTCAAGTTACAAGCACCTCAAATTTAATTGTAAGACCTGCAGTCAATCAAAGTCATTTACATAAAATAAAGTACTTACCACTACCATTGGAATGCTCAGCCATCAGAGCTCCCCATGGCATCTTTGATCCCCATGAACAGGCTTCTGGTTTAGGGTCATATTCTTTAATATAACCTGAGAAAACTCTACAATTTAAAATATTATACAACTTTAAACACCTACCCAAAGCCTAAAATAATACAAGAATAGATTAAAATATGAACTATATAGCTAATGAAAAATTAGTGTGTAAATTAAATTCTAAATACTGACCGTGCTTTAAAATCAGTTGAACCTGCTGCTATCAACACACTGTTAGGATGCCAATCTAAGCTAAAATAATAAAATTCATTTTTTTAAGACATGAATATGGCAGAGATAAAACTATCTTTCTATTTCTTCAAGGAATTAGATGCCAACAACTTACATTTTAAACCAAACATAACTACCCCACAGACAATGGACATAACTCGGCAACCACTAAGGGGCCAACAGGGGTTCAGTGAGTTAGACTCTTGTTGGCTAACCAGAAGATCAAGGGTTCAATTCTGGTGGTAAAGATCAAGATAATATGTTCAGATTTTTCAACCCTGTTTTCCTCTGTCAATGACCTGGATAAAGTGTCTAGTTGTTAGGATGGGACAATAAACTGAGACCTTGTGTGCTACAGACTATGCACATTAAAGATCCCTCACAGAAATATATCATATCCTCATTTAATGACTGTGATTACATATTACATAATATTATAACACACTCACCATGTTACAGTTGATCTAATGGGTTTTTTAATATGTTTACTAACCCACCAATTATTATCTTCTTCATAGTAAGATACAGATATTAATCTAGCCCCACTACCAACAGCAAATTTCTTCTCTAGAATACGAAATTTCAAATCAAAATTTACAGATCTTCATCTCTGTAGGCTAATAAACAATTCTATAAATTCTGGATATATAATGAGGTGTAGTCTGTGTAATCTAACAACCAATGGGCTCTTGAAATATATTGGATGATGGTGATTGTCGTAGTACTCAAAGTTCTTTACTTCACTATACCATCTGCTGCAAATTAAACCACTATTGCTATAAATAGCTCTGTGTCATATCATTAAGATTCACATTTCAAGGTATTCCCTATAAGGTTCCAAAGAAAGTATACACTTACCATTAGGGGACCATTTAACAAAAGTAGCAGCTCTATTAATTCTCAGAATAACCAAATTTGGTTTCCATGTACCATCAGAGTTCATAGTCCAAACATAAGCATTTCTATCCTATTACAAAGAAGTCAAAATAGTGCTCACTAAATAATCTTTTCATGACACAATATCAAAAGACAAAACTGACCTTAATACCACTGTATCTAATTACAGAAAACGTCCCTTCTGGACCATGATAAGCTTTGTGCACGTTACACACAAAAAAGCAAATAAACTTACTGCCCCACAAGTAACAATTTTATTACTATTAGCAGCCCAATCTATACTGGTGACCCTCTGACCATGTTCTTGTAATGATGATGTTGGCTGCCATTTACTTCCATTCTTCTTATAGATCTTGACTTCTGATGAATTCAGTGATAAAGCCAAGCCTATCAAATTGTAAAAAGAAACAACAACATTAGCGGAAAGATACCACTTCAGACCTACTGTAATGTTATAATTTTGTAAAATTAAGCTTCCAAGTATTAACCTTTGGAGTTTCCAAGTACCCAAAGACTAAGATTTTTTTCAGTAATATTCCAATTTATATAACATCAAATGGTCAAGATGGATTCTGAATATCTAAATATATTATTACCTGATCTATCTTTATTGAAAGTATGGCAGGTCACAGGTTGAATACCAAAGTTATGTTTTTCAGCCATTATGATGCTCTAAATAATCCTGAAAATATACAATTATCTCAATAAGAACAAAGAGACAATCTTAGAGGCAACATCAGTCATAAACTCATAATAAGTAGCCTAGGCCAAACATCAAGATTATTGTTCAGATTAACTAAGGCAGTAGCCTACTTGGTTATCAGTGTTATGCAAATCCCAAATGAATCTATTTCGAATTAATGTTTTTTTCAATTAGTAATTTTCATGAAGAGGTTAGCCAAAACTTGGCAGAAAGCTGTCCAAGCATTAAGTAAAACAGTTACAGCCTACACAGTCACAGGACAGGTGCTTAGAATAACTTTTTGCAGGCTTTCCTACTTCCTTTTTCCTTTTTAAGGAAGGTGAGTTATATGGTATAAACATCTTCTCTGAACCTAAAGTCTTATGATTCCACCTCTTACCTTAACTACAAGGGATGTTCTTAAACTACAGTACTTAAGAAATTCGCGGACTATGGTCAGTCTACACGAATTTCGCTTCCTTCTCGAATTTCTTCCTTTTACAGACTACCACGCCCACACAAAAATGAGCAATAAAATAGACTAGATTTATAAGGCTCAAAATTATCACCATTTTTTTGGAAAAAAAATCATTATGATACGGAATAATATCGATGTAATTCTGGTTACTCTCAACAAAGGGACGAAAAAGGCCCAAAAAATATCCCTATGCAATGCAATTCATAAACAGACACAATTTTCTTTTTAGAAAAACCACCATAATTTCGTGAAGATTTGACAGTTAAACTTCCGGTTGATGGTTCTAATAGTGTCTTATTAATCGAGACTCTAAACATAAACCAATGAAATCAGACCACATAAAAATAACAACAAATGCACATGGATACTTCCAATGTATAATTTCCTTGTTTAAATTATGCCCATTAGTTTTAGGTTGAAATTGTCATACTATGGCATTTATGTTTTTCCAGACACTGTTGATCATAGTATCTATAGGTTATCTGCATGCTGATGACAGTGATGGTGTACAAGAGGCAACTTTATGTGAAGGTATACAATAGTTTTCACATGATAAATAGAACTTGTGTTGAAAAAATCAAACTAGGACTAAGACTGTAGTATTTTGTAGGCCAGCTGGTAGTTGATATTGTATTAAAAATCTTTGTTTTTATGTTTAGTTTGTAGAATTTTGGCTGAGGAATTACAGTTAAGGCTAGATGAAACTGGTAAATCTAAAGAAGTCATAGAAACTGGTCATGGATTAGACACCAAGAAAAAGAAAAAATATAATTTTTCGTGAGTGGGCTAATCAAATTTAATCATTCATGGACGTTATAGGGTCTATGATTTAATATATGAAAAAAAGTGCTTAATTGATGTTTTGATTTATGAATAAGCTTATACTGTTGCAGATTTTTTCACAATTAATTTTTTCTTCTTAGCATTTTCAAACTTCAGTCAAGAGCTAAAACCCATCTTATTCTCTTCATTGTGCAATTATAATAAATATTGTAGCGGAAACTAAATGATTTTTATCAGTGTGAGTTAATTAGCTCTCATTAATTAGAATTCAAGAAATGAAATGATGCCTTGCCAGAACATTTCAGACATTTTTTACGTCTGTCCAATTGTATATTTCAGTGAATTAAGATTAATTGAAGCTTTACAAGAACCTAATATATGTGATAGAATTTTAGAATATAGTGTACATAAGGAGAAAACAGGAATTGAGAGATTTGCCAAAGGAAGATCCCAAACCATGGAAGCTTTACATGGTCTTGTGTAGGTATAATTTAAATCTAATGAAGCCAGATAATGCAGTATGCAGCAAGGGAAAGTTTGTAGATGAGGTGTATATTTAAGCTTTCTTATCATATTTCAGCTTGTTTAATTATTTCTCTTAAATAAGCAGCCTGTAGCGTACAGAGCTTAAATCTTTTTCATGGGTATCAACTTATTTTTCATCTGAAAAGTGAAAACTAAGTTAAGATAAATATGGTTATTATTTTAGAAATAAAGGAGTGAAGGTAGAATTAGGAATGCCACATGAAATGTGGGATAAACCATCTGTAGAAATCACACAGATGCAAAGAAAGGTAAATTGTATACCTACTGTTTTAATTGTAGGTCTGATCATAGCATCTTGATTGTGAACATGAATAAATTAATCATTGAATCAAATAATAATTTTTGATTTAACAATGCAGTCACCTTTTAACAACCTTTACTATTTAAACCTGCTGTATGGTTTACACTATTTGCGTTTCAGTGTTATGCTCTAGTAGAAGAATATGATGAAGATATAGAAGATTGGTATTATAATCATCAAGATCAACCATTCCTTGATTATTTCTGTAGAAATCTGGTTTTAAATCCGCAAAATAATGGTAAAATGTCAAGTTACTTATGGTCTCTTATTCTCAAAGTATTTTGTTAATTTTTAGATTGATGTTATGCCTTATTAATCTTTAAATTGCATTTTCCACTCTTTGGGGTAAATTAGAAACTGATAACTAGCTTCTTTTTAAAATAAATTTGAAATGAGTTAAATATGTTAATATGCAACCAATCATTGTTTTTTAGAATGTTTAGATGAAGACATGCGGTCACAAAATGAAGGGTCTAGTTCAGAAAGTAAGTACTAATCAAGAGGGTTTAAACTTAAAAAAAAACCTACAAGCAGATCGATCCAACTTTCTGTCAGGTGCTCTTAAGTGATTCATAATATGATAGTTTGCATGTATTTGTTGACCTACATGATGCATATGATGATTTAAATGTATTTGTTTACCGAGATGATACATGACATGATTGTTTACATGTTTTTATTGACCTAGATGATACATATGATGATTTACATGTATTTGTTGACTGAGATATATATTTGTTGACCTAGATGATGCATGATATGATGGTTTACATGTATTTATCTACAAGGTACAATATTAACTTTGTGGTTATTATTAATGATATGTAACTGTTTATTCTAGTGAAAGGTGATAAAGGTAAAAAGGAAGAGTTATGATATACTATAGGAAAGCTAGTACTACTACTTTCGTCAAGATTGAAGTATAAGTATAATAGTGATTATTGTAAAGTAATATCAATGTCATAAAAGTTGCATTTAATCAATATCCCAGAAGATCATGTAGACATTATTAATAAGTGAAATTTTTTCATCTTGAAGGATTCATTTCAAGCTACTACAAACTTCCTACTAATACCTTGACTGAAAAAGTCACCTTTCTTGTATCATGGAAGTTTGTAAATGAAGCTCTGCATCCTGTAATACAAGAATAGTGACTATTGCAGTAAATATTTAAGTACAAAGTTTGTAATCTCTGGACATTGTGAAGATAAATACAAATACACCATTTATTTCCATCATTTATGTTGTGTATTATTTGTGATAACTCCTAAATAAAATCTAGTAAAAGATCCTTTCATTTTTCTGAAAAATTAGATTATTGAACACTGCTGTGCACAAATCTACCATAAAAGAGATTAAAACTTAAGCATGTAAATGTTTGTGTTCCGGTTTCATTATCACATGTTGACAGAACAATTGGAATCTCCTCCTTTACTTGAGTTGCTCATCTTATGCTACTAATAATTGTTAACCATAAACAATCCTCATCAGGACAGCTAGATTTAAAAATGGGTGTTAACTTTCCAATGTTACTATGAAGTATTTCAAAAGGCCAAGATTTTCAACTCTTTTTATTTAATTCTTATGATGATAAGCTAAAATAGATAATGATCCCTTGAATTCTTTAAATCACATTCAATTTTCTCATTTCATAAATAAATACTCCATAATTGAATTCAAATTGACAATTAAACAAGACAAATACACATCAACAAACAAACATTACAGTAGTAACTATAACTGAAATAGTTATCACTGAAAAGAAGATGCTGAAATGAAAGGCTGAAAACTGAATAGAAACTGAAGAAAAAGCTTATTTTGTATTGTACAAACAAGACTATCTAAAAGCTACTTTACCTCACATACATAATTGCAAGAATTCACTTCAATCAATCAGAAATGACCACCATGTTTTTTTTTTACCATACAAGAATAATTACATTTTGTACATTAATAACTAAATGTTGTCATTTAAAAACTGTTACCTTTAACCAATGAACAAGTTAGAATAATGATGAGAGATATATCTGGATACATACATCATTTAACAAAACAGGGAAAAATAAATTTAATCATATAGTGCAGTAAGCATAAGATATATACCTGAGGCATTAATCATGCAGAATTATATTAGTCAGACAATTACTCAATTCAAAAACAGAAATTTTTTTTTAATTAAGTCCCCAACAAATTATAAGTAATTAGATAATAATTAAATGCTTTTTAAATAACTTTTTATATAAAAAAAATTATATTCTGTATTTTCCTAACCTATCCTGAAAATCTACTGATGTTTTCTATAAACTATGTTTGCTGGTTGTGCTTGGCACTAGTTTTCAAGAATGTATGAGAAATATGTTTTTAAAATAAACAAAAAAACTCTCACTAATGTGAAAAATGTGAGACAATATCAATACTCAGAATTTCATATTGATATACATAATGTTAGCATACTTATGTTGTTAGTAGTAATCATGTTCATATTATAGTACAAAATATATAATCAAAAAGTAAAACAACCTTAGTTTTTAGTTTTTTTTTGCTACCTGTTAAATGTTCTTATTTCAGATGATATGAGCTATGTGAAGCTAAAAAGGAATTCATAAAGCAGGCTACATATGACAAACATGACAATAAAATTAATCATACATTTTTAACTTATGGCAACGTAAAGTACACAAGACAGTCTATAAAAGAAATTAAAAAAACTTTCAACACAAACAAGCAAAAAAATCAACGTGATGAACCTATATATAGTAGTGCAGGTATCTGAAATGTGATTAAAATAAGCACTTTCACTTTTTCGGTTTTGTCATTAAAATACTAAACTAAATGAACCTGAAAGTTATCGGGGGTTTTGCCATCTCATTCCTGGAGGTCTAGAGAATCTATCTCCACCAAATCTTGGGTTCATTGGAGGTCGTGGACCTCTTGGACCACCAGGACCTCTTGGTCCACCAGGTCCTCTAGGCCCACCTGGACCACGTGGCCCACCAAATCCTCTTGGCCCACCTGGTCCTCTAGGCCCGCCAGGTCCTCTAGGACCCATTCCAGGAGGTCCTCTAGGTCCATTACCAAATGGTGGAGGAGGAGGTGGATGATTCCACTGACCTGGACCTTGAGGACCTGGCCCAAAATTTTGTGGGTTTCTTGGTCGGAAGTTTCTTGGAGGACCATCACTTCCAGGTCCAAATGGAGGAGGTGGAGGAGGTGGACCATGACCTGGAAATCTGTGACCTCCAGGAAATCCTCTAGGGGGGAAAGGTGGTCGGGGAGGCATGCCTGGGGGTGGACCTGACATGTCCATATTTGGGGGTGGTAGGGAGAAGTCTGGTTTTGGGACATTTTCAGAATCTTTTTCAGAAGAATCACCAGCATTCTTGGTTTCTGAATTCTGATGATCTTTACCAGCTTTTTCTAGTTTAGCAATAATAGCACTAAGATTTGCAGGGGTTTTGACCTGAATAGGTGGGACAGGAGGGCTATCATTAGCACCATCTTCACTAGGTATGTCCCATTTCGATTTTCGTTTCCTAACTCTACCGCTTTCTTGATTGTCTTTTACAACATGTCTATCATTATTACTACCAGCAGATACATCACCAGGTGATGGTCCATAACCTGAGCTACGATCACTACCTTGTCTATGATCAGAAAGAGAACTATCTCTCGAATCTGTCCTGAATGGTCTGTCTGATGATCTCTCTGGAAACCTAGAATCTGATCTGTCCTTAGAGCTATAACTAGAATCTCTAGAACTAGCATTATCTCTGTAATCTCTATCTCGGCTATAACCACTATCTCTAGATCCTGGTCTTGAAGAGTCATAGTGTGATTTACTCCTTGAATCTCTCCCATCATTATCATATGACCTGTTGCTGGATCGTCCAAACTGGTCATCCTTTTGGTTTGAACGATAGGAATCTCGGCCTTGTCTATCATCAATATCCTGCCTTCCACTATATCTACTCTGGTCATTGTTTCGATCATTTGATCGTCTATCATCTTGTCTTCCAGCAGAACTTTGACTTTGGTTTTCATATGGTTTTGACTGAGAGAATCCATGCTTTTGTTGAGCACCAGACTGTTGCCACTGATCACCTTTGCCTTTATCTTGATTCCAATTACCTTGTTGCCAATCACCAGAATTACCTTGTCCTTGGTTGCCTTGGTATCCTTGAAAATGACCCGTATCTTGTGGTTCAGATTTTACTGGCCATCCAGCTTCGGTATAGGGACTTCCTGTTTCTTTACCTGAAGGTGGCCAAACTGGTGGCTTCATTTGCGACATCTGTCTTAACATGTCCTGTGAAAGTTGCCCTTGTAATTGTATGGCATGGAATGGTGCCTGTTGAAGCTGACCAGGTTGAAAATGGAAGGCTGGCTGATTAAATATACTGTTACCACCATAAATATTTGTATCCCATTTTGGTTCTTCTTTCAAGGCTTTTTCTTCTTCAGCATACTCTTGCTTGATGAAGTCAAGAGCACTACCAGAATCTTGTTTCGATCTCTTAGATGGTGGTTCTCCAACATTACCTTGACCACCATATCTTCCTTGATATCCACCACTCTGTTGACCATAATATTGGTCTTGTGACTGGTACTGGTTACCACTTCCATACTGAAATATTCATGACCATCGTTAATTCAACCAATTTAACCAGCAAAACTATATCATAAGGTAAGGTAAGGGGATACACTCCTAAAACTTAGAGTTTCAAAATCATTTCCATGTCAGAACTTTTTCAAACACTTCTTTATGGCTGCATAACTTAAATTCCTACTGTTGGAGGTAAAATTCTAAAAGCTTACACAAAACATGTTTAATCATCAATTAATAAAAAAAGAAAGATTGCATTAAAGTTTTTAAAATTTGTATAAGTATCAGGGACATTGATAGAATCTATTCTAATTTATAGTCAGACGTCTGTGGTTCCACCTAAATTAAGTATTTTATTATGTCTTCTAGATATCAAAAACAGCTTTTGTTACAGCAGATGTACAATCAAGCATTTCTATGAATTGCAGGAACCACAGACATCACTGATGCAATAAGAAATACACATCCAGAAAACCTCCTTAAAATTCCCACAACATTATAGAGTAAATATTAACCCTTGTGTTGTGGATATCTTACCTGTCCCTTTTCCTGATTAGATCTACCACTATTACTGTAGTTCTTCTTCAAAGCTTTACATTCTTCATTATATCTGAAATATCATATATACCATCTAGCCAACAGCTCTATACATTGTTAATCATTAAACATTAAACACAAACACCCATTTACCATACCCTACAGCCCCTCTCTGATTACTCATAATATAAACACAAACATAAACAAAAAGCTAAAAAAACAAAATACTTTTTATAGCTGTTTTAGAGAATTTGATTTGACACAATAGACAAATAAAAAACATTCATATTCAAAGATAAGAAATGGTATTAGAAGAAATGTGCATAACTCGATATTTTGCATATTATTTTTTGATTAAATTCGAGACAACCTGCATGTTTAAAAAACAAAAGCATGAGGAGACTGTTTTTCACATAAAAAAGAATCATAAGATCAATATTTGTTTGTTAGTGGGATATTTCCTTTTTTGCAAGTCTTTTTAAAAAGAAAAATTGTCAGGAATGGTGAAAGAAAATAAACTGGCTGATTTGCTGGCTGAATGGAATAAAATAACATAAAACAAGTTTTATCAGAATTCCCAAACAATTCCTTATGTAACCCACCTCATGCAGTGAAATATAAATATTGACAGTTAGAAAAAAGATGAATAGATATATCCTTTCCATACACAATATCATAATGTGCTAAAATTGTTTGTGATTGAAAACTATTTGTTTGCTAAGCTAATATGTAAATAAAAACAATAGTGATTCCAGATGTAAAACAATTATCTATACTAATCTACTTCTAATGCTATTACAACATTTAAAATGAAAGAAATACTAGTAAAAAATATTGGGAATCAGTGATTAGCTGGGCATTACTTACTGTCGCACTAAAGGCTCGGCTAACTCTTTTGGTAATTCTATAAAATCTATCCTATCAAAAAGATTTTCCTCATATGTTGGAAGAGTGAAGTTAGCTTTCATATCCCGCACAGCATCCTCTGGCACAAATTTTCCTGCAATCATAGACTTTCATTCACATATCTTTTCATCAATAAGCCAGGAAGCTAAATTTCATGGCATAATCATATTAAATTTGCATATATATATATACATATGAAGCAGGCTTGAGAGCATTATCTTATTGATATATAATGAAGAATGCTGAAAAGAGCTGAAAAAAATACAGAAGTTGAAACCAATTTGACTTTCTATGAAACCTGTAAAAAAATCATTTTGATAGTAAAAGTTGCCTTATCTAAAATAACATGTTTTAACAATGCATTACATGAACATAATTTGAATGAATAGCACAATTTCGGTCAGAATAAATAATATATGTACTGTTATTAAAAAATGTTGGAGTATATTGAATCTTAAGTGCTTGCTTGAAGTTTAAAAAGTTTGTTCCTGAAATAAATCCATTTCACTTCTGATATAAATTCAGATTGATCCTAATGTAAATAAGGTTTTACCATGATATAAATAAGGCTCTATACTGATGCAAAGTTTTACCCTGATAAGGTTTTACCCTGATATAAACAAAGTTTTACCCTGATATAAATAAAGTTTTACTTTGATATAAATCGAGCTTGATCCTCATATCAATAAAGTTGTACACTGATATAAATAAAGTTCTTCCAGATATAAATAAGGTTTTACACAGATATAAATAAAGTTCTTCCAGATATAAATAAGGTTTTACACAGATATAAATAAAGTTCTTTTGGATATTAATAAGGTTTTACCCTGATATAAATAAAGTTTGATCCTGAGTGATATAAATTAAGTTTGATCCTGGTATAAAGTTTTACCCTGATATAAATAAGGTTTTATATTGATGTAAATAAAGTTTTACCCCGATAAAAAGTTTTTCTTGATATAAATAAAGTTCTTCCAGATATAAATAGGGTTTTACCCTGATAAAAATAAAGTTTTACCAAACAAATAAGGTTTTACCCTGATATAAAGTTTTACCATGATACAAATAAGGTTTTATATCAATGTAAAGTTTCACCCTGATATAAATAAAGTTTAAGCCTGATACTAATAAAGTTTTACCCTCGATATAAATAGAGCTTGATCCTGATATAAATAAAGTTTTATCCCGATAAAAGTAAAGTTCTTCCGAATAAAAAATAAGGTTTTACCATGATACAAATAAAGTTTGATCCTGAGTGATGTAAATTAAGTTTGATCCTGGTATAAATAAAGTTTTACTCTGATATAAATAAGGTTTTACAATGATATAAATAAAGTTTGATCCTGGTATAAATTAAGTTTTACTCTGATATAAATAAGGTTTTACAATGATATAAATAAAGTTTGATCCAGATATAGATAAAGTTTAATCCTGATATAAATAATGTCTTTCCCTGATATATATAATAAGGTTTTACCATGAAATAAATAAGGTTTTACCATGATATAAATAAGGTTTTACCATGATATAAATAAGGTTTTACCATGAAATAAATAAGGTTTTACCATGATATAAATAAGGTTTACCATATAAATAAAGTTTAATCCTGATGTAAATGAAGTTTAATCCTGATATAAAAAAGGTTTACCATGATACAAATACAGTTTGATCCTGGTATAAATTGAGTTTTACTCTGATATAAAAAAGGTTTTATATTGATATAAATAAAATTTAATCCTGATATAAATAAAATCCTTTCCTGATAAAAATATTTGTAAAAATTTTATCCTAATATTAATAAAGTTCTTTGCTGAAAAAGAATCTCTATACCATGTAGTCTACAAACTCAGCTCGATGAGCTCATTATCTTATTCAAACAAATACCAACAATAATTTTATTTTACGGCATATTACCATATCTATTTTAACTTCATTGTTGTCTTGCTAGTGGACAACTTACTATGTATGAATTACATCGTTTGGAACTTGAAGCACTCCTATAGAACATGTAACTATTATATTTGAGTTTCGAACTTTTGACAATTAAGAAACAATAGGAAGCAACACAAACAGAAAACAGTTATTTCACTTTTACTAGAATATTACATTGGCAAAAATATTCACCACCAGGGCTATTAATATAAGAGTAAATTTCCTAAAAATGTTTAATATATATTTTGCATTATGTTTCAAGCATATTAAATATAAACTGTTATATACCATCACCAACTGAAATGTAAACAGAATATGCACCATTTTGTTACAAATAACAACTGAACTGGAAAATCTAATAAGCTTATACAAGTATGACAAATAAAAAAAAAAATGTTTTATCACTCTGTCTGCAATTTACATGGATGGGTTCTAATCTATCCTTATCAGAACCTCACCAAATGCGTGGATATATACAATTCATTTTTTTTTCTCAAAAGATGGCAAAATGAACTTTTCACAAGATTACTGTTGAACTGATATTTAATGAACCTTACACTAATTAACATATTTTAGTATTTGGTTCACCTCTATCGCAATCCATTTTGGAAAATAAGCATCGAAGTTAAAAACAAACTGACAAATTAATAGATGAAATCATGGTACACTTTATCCAAATAGCTTGAATTTAACAAATCAAAACGAGAGTGTTCATATTTACAAAACAAACAGTATAAATGACTATATAGAAACGTATTTGAATTATTCCTGTCCTGAAGGTTTGAAGCTAATAAGATGAAAAACAAAATGTAATAGTAACTAAATTGTTAAGATGCAGGTTGAACAAAAAAAAAAGGTAAAGGTGAGAAAAAGATTGCCCTTAATAAAGAATATTCTGAAAATAAACTGGCTTTATCAGGGAGGACAATAGAGATAAATAATAAATAAAACAGGATTAGTAAAGAGGGAACTATCCTCATGGAGTAAAAGAGCATTGAATACTGTCTATGACAGTTATCTGTATCCAATTTGTCCCACATAATATATTATAGCCTATGATATGCCTATATATTTTTTAACCTTGATTTTCCTGAAATTTTGGCAAAAACACATAAAAAGACAAACAAGATAGCACAAAATACAGTTAAAATTTTTTTTACTTTTAAACTTCATATTATAGTTCAATAAAAGTTGTTTGAATCCTGTTTTCAAATGGGCTACAATTAAACTATTTTGAAGATAATAAAGCCTCCTTTAAACATTAGATCATGTACTTTATAATGAATATCACTCTATGAGTATTGGATATCATAAACAGCAATATATATTAATAATCTAATATCTACTGTTCCTTTAAATAAACAATCTTATCAAGCATCCTGTAAATCATAAAAATTGATAAAAATTCCAATTGTTCAGTACCAAGTTAAATGCATTAGACTGACTCCATCAAAAAGTAATTTATAAAAGGGAATTTGTGACATCAAAAGCCCTACCAATACTAAAGACAAAGATACTCCTTTCAAAATAAGTCACAACGCCTATTATACAATATTTTCTACTTTCAGATAGCTAATGGATCCCCAGATAATAATATGAGAATGAAAAAAGAGCTGAAAATGAATAGCTACAAGGAAATCTTAAAAGTAAAAATTTTAACTGAAATACTGAAATAAAAAATCTGAAAAAACTTTAAAATATTTAAGCTGAAATCAAATATTGTCAAATTTGTTCTCCAATGAGCTAATCAAATATGACACAATATCAAACTCAAAATGCACAATGCATAAATTCTGGTCAGTTTTTAAGATAAAATAAATTGTTAAAGCAGATAACTTAACAATATTTTAAACAATGACAGGAAAATCCCCTAATTTTACAATAAACTATTCCAATCATACATATACAACAATTACACTGATAGAAAGTATTCAAGTGAGGAAGAGCTTACTAAAAAAGTTGAGGGATGTCAAATAAATGACTTACTCAACATATTGCTAGCCTTGGAAAATATAATGCAATACCTTTTTGGATATCATTCTAACATTATCAAAACTAAAATAAAACTGGACAGCAGATCCAAATATGTACGTTTTGAAAAATAAACTTTTCTTAACCAATACAACAATGAATCAGATATTTTGAAATTGGCTAGCTTAGATTCAAACAATTTTTTCCCAGAAAATTTCAAAAACCCTGAAGATGTGAAGTTATTCAAAAGAATATCTCACAAAAATCATATTTATTTATTAGAAACAGAAAAGAGCGTGACAACAAGTCAACAATTGTACTGTGACAGAATTAAAGAGATTGGCGCAATCCATATGGCAATGTCCCACATTATATTTAAATACTGTCAAACTAAGTAAAGTTAAAATGTTATAGTCATTCAAAGACATCTATGCACATCAAGGATTCAAACAAAAAAAACAATATCCACCTTTTTATTGTGTAAATAGTAAAGAACATAGAATAGGTATGGCAGTTATACTTTCAAATGTAGTCTAAGGTATACTAATCTTATTTATTTTGCAAACCTCCTTGATGTGCTTAAATAAGTTTGTCTGACTAAAAGATTTGCTATATAATGAGTCTGGATGATATTTCTACCTACCGTCTTCATGAGTACGTTTATATGATCTCATTTCTAATTCAGTGTTATCTGGCTGTAAAACTGCAGCTATTCGGTAAAACTTTTGAAAATCTTTCATTTTGCGTTTTCTCGCTGATGCATAAACATTGGTTTGATCTAATATATAATTCCTCTTTTTCTTACAAGCTATAAATTATAAATATAAATAATTTTGAAGGGACACGTTTGCCATCCAGTTGACCAATTGGACTTAAATTTCAGAGACATGATTTTTTTGTAAGCTAATCAGTAATATTTCATCGTTGAAATTTGAGCCTTAAACCCATGTATGTAATCTTACAATTCTTGCTATTTACTTATATTCAAGATCTAAATCAACTCTTGAAAATTGTGAATGGTGGCCATGAATTATTAAATTAAAAAAAAAAGAATCCCAAAATGATAGAGAAAGAGAAGTCCAAAACACTGACCTATTCTAAATAATCTATTTAAACATTTCATAGATTTATCAATTAGAACTTCCCATCTACCATGATAGTTGCGTTTCCTAGGTAACCCCATGACTTTCATTCTGTCTATCAATGTATCAGAACCAATAATATTATACCGTTTCTCGGGATGTTTCTTCTCCATGTTAATACCCCATGATGTTTTACCTGCTCCAGGCAGACCAACTATCATGATCATCTGAAATATCATTGGTATATTAAACTAAGTATAAAGTTGGATATATAGTTAATAGTGAAAACATTTTAAAATGGAGTAAAAAAATATTAACAGAAATTCTTCACACTATAAAACACTGTTGAAAGATAGCTTGCCAGGCAAGGTAACATACGCCCACTGGCAGCTGTCAGAAATGATTAAACAGTCTTTAGTGACTACAAGGTTGCACAATATAGCTAATAGAGTGAAACGTCAAGTCAGACACGATATTTAGGTGAAATATTATCCGATCATCGCGAAAATCGATAGGGATCATCTTCATAATGACATTGACACACAAAATAAAAATCAAAAGAATCTGTAAACAATTGTAGCCTGTAGAGTGAGCACGAGTTGCACAATATAGCTAATAGAGTAAAACGTCAGGTCAGACACGATATTTCGGTGAAAAATTATCCGATCATCATGAAAATCGATAGATCAACATGAAAATCAATAGGGATCATCTTCATAACGACATAGACATACAAAATAAAAATCAAAAGAATCCGTAAAAAATTGTAGCCTGTAAAGTGAGCACGAGTTGCACAATATAGCTAATAGAGTAAAACATCAAGTCAGACACGATATTTCGGTGAAAAATTATCCGATCATCACGAAAATCAATAGGGATCATCTTCATAACAACATTGACATACAAAATAAAAATCAAAAGAATCCATAAAGAACTGTAGCCTGTAGAGTGAGCACGAGCCAAATGTGAACAGACGGACGGACCGACGGGGTGATTACAATATACGCCCATCTTACGTGTGGGCGTATAAAAAGGATTTAAACACAATGCATGTTATGAAGCTAGAGTACATACTCTCAATCAAAAGATGGATGAAATGTAGTAAAACGTATGTATTTAGTCATTGTTTTTTTATTGAGAAACGGTCAATATATATTATACCAACCTCACAATCTTCAAATCTATCTGGTTCTTGTAAACCTCTAACTCGTTGATAAGTTGGTAGTTTATCTATATAGGTATAACCTCTAGGTGGTGGAAACCATGGGTCTATCTGACCAAAATTGACTCTAAACCTAATAATATAGTACACAGATACAATAAATATTTGTTTGTCAGTATGTCAAATGATCTTAGTGTAGCTAAGTGTAAGGAATTCTGGCATATTCTTGTTAGCTTATTTTCACCAATCATACTTTAGTCTCAGAAACGGGAATTTTTTTCGCTAAGCTGTGTTCAAAGCTCACCGTCGAAATTTCAGCCTTCTGTGTGTTCAGAATTATCCACGATTGAATGTTAAAATGACGACTCGACAAGTTAAGATTCTTGTCTAATCACATCAGATACCAACAGATAATCTTCTTAATTTTATTTAGCTTTGCTGTGCTACATGAGATGCATTCTATGCCTGCTACTGTCTCCATTCTTTTGTTTTGAAGAGAAAGATATTTCATCTTGTTTGAATGTTTATCTGAGTTTGGAATTTCAATATATTATATTTGATAGAATAAAATATAATGTCTGGGTTTTCGAGGCTGAATTTCATTTATCAAGTCACAAGTTACTTACCTTGAGTTTTTGGATAAAATGTGAGGAAACAATGCCATTTTATCATTGCCAACTTGATAATCATGTATTGGCATTGCTACTCCTAACCATGTTCCATTCTTCATATAGGATATAGTAGCAGGGGAAGAATCTAAATCTAACATGGCACCAATCACATCACCAGCACCAAATGATTCACCATAAACACTAAATTTACTATTAACAGAAAATCTACCAGTTCCACCATAACCATAGGACATTGGTTCTTCACCTAAAATTATTCCAAGTTTGTGATGGGGAATTAGATCAGTCTTTTCTCTCCTTAATCTGGGGCTTTGAATGCCCATCCTTTAGAATTGGAAACTGTTCAAATTTAATGTCAGATATATCTAGTAAAATCCAAGCAATAATCCATGAACGCTATTTAGAATCTTAGTAATCTCAACATTTTAAAGACCTCAATACGTCATATTGCTGCGAGTATACCAAACATATTTTTGCAACGATTTCAGTTTTTATTCCAGAGAGCAAGACCAATTCTGATTAAAAAGAACAATGAACACATACCTAATTGAAATGAACTGGAATCAACAGACCAACCAACTCGTAAAACATGAGGATTGGTTTCATTATGATCATGTCCAAAATTAACAGGTAAATTTTCAGTGATGTGTACTTCATAGAAAACCTGAAAACAACATCATTAAGTATATTATTTATGATACATATATATAGGAATTGGTGCCTCATCTCCATCAAGGACTTAAAAGTGATAGGGGTCTCCATAATATTAATTTTTTTCTAAAGAATTAAACTGCATCAAATGTGCTCAATACAATACTCAGAGTTAAAGTTAAGTTTGAAATCACTCAGTTTAATTGTCTTTCTAAACCTAGTTGGTTTTTATATTCCATCTGTCAAATCTTCTAAAATAACCCTTATAAAAGTAACTTCAGACATTCAAAACAGAAAAAGAAAATATCTTTTGGATAGGCAATTTGTGATGCCTCAGGTCAAAGGAGAAAATCGGTTTTGATAAACAGATGAAAGGAAATAATTAAAGGTAATTGTTACAATTGAGCAATGGCACAGAGGAAAAGTGATGTTTAAAATAAGAAATTAGCCATCTTACCTTTCCTGTACAGACACCATGGGTAGACCTAGCACCAGCCCAGGTGAAACAAAATCCTGGTGGGTCTGTAAATGGACAAGCTCCATAGCTAAATAGAAATATGTCATTATTCAGAAAACTTAAACCTTTTTTACAATCATGAAACATTGTATATTTTTCTCCTTAGTTTCACTAAAAAAAAACAGAACCAATTGAGACAAATACCAGAACTAGACTATGACCATCCTCAATGCAGGTGATGAGGTGAACCTGATTTCACAGGTTTTGATTGGAAAAATAAATCAACAGCCTCTATTGACAACTTACCCATCATCATCTATCTCTAAATGAAGATCTGAGTTATAGGAATCAAGATTAAGGGGTTTATTATCCTCTACACTACTTTCTGTTTTGACAGCACCCATCAACCCAACTTGTTGTAATTCTGCACCAGCATACCTACAAAATATGAAAATATGATATAAAAAATTGTAACAACAATTTCCAATTTTCCCAAAAGACTGATATAAGTGAAAAATTAAGTTATGTTAAATGCATTTTAATCAATAAAGAAACACTCTCACTTACCTACTTGGGTCTTCTGCACCGAGCATACCTCGCTTCATATCAATCAGATTAGCCATTCCTCCCATTCCTGCCATGGCCAATGTTCCTGGTGGCATTTGTAAGCCTGCATGTGTCATGGTTGGTGTTAGAGCTGAAGCCATACCAGGTACCATACCTTGTGTTAGACCTTGAGCAATTCCAGACGACAGTCCAGGAGTCATGCCGGGAGCCATTCCTGGTGTCATTCCAGGCGTCAATCCAGGCATCCCAGGCATACCAGCGGCCACCATTGGCATCGTACTAGCTGTTGTAACAGCATTACCTTGTCCAGAAACGGCTAATTGTGCAGCTGCAAGTTGAGGATTCATCATTTGAAGGGAAGGGTGTTGTAAGACACCTGGTGCCACTCCAGTCATACCACCCATTCCAGTCATGCCTTGTGGTGCCATTTGTAATGCATTTGCAGGCATAGCCACCATGTAAGGTCGTGGCATAACCATGGGAACAAATGCTGGATATTGATTCATTTTGTGAAGTTATATACTTAACACGATACTGTTAACATTCTCTGAAAGTAATGAAAGCGACATACAGGTATAAACTTATAAAAGCTCTAATATATAAACTTAAAAAAAAAGAAATGAAGGCCAGGCTATATAGGACCTATTATTGTAAATGGTTTTGCTTTGTGTTTAAAACACAACTGAGAAGAATCCAAACCAGATTAACTAGGTCTAACAACTCTAACCACTCTGTTTTCACATTTTGCTATTTACTTAAATTGTAAGAATTTAGACTCTTAGTCTTACTGTCTTACTTGGGTTGATAAAGTAAAATATTATTTTAGTTTTAGGTTTAGAAATTTGCACTAACACAGGCCTTCATGAGAAATTTCAATTCTAAGATCACTGTGGTCAGAGATTTATCTACATAGAACGGGATTTTAAAAATAATCAGAAAGCAACCTCTCCAATCAGTTTAGCAATCCATTTTTAAGCCTCAAATTCTATTTTTTTTCATTAGTTTCAAGATGAAATTTCAACAAAATGGCGTCGGTATTGAATTTATTTGATTCACCATCAGGAGAGTAAAATCAAGGGGGATAATCGGTAAAGTCAAACAACAGTAAAACCAACAATCATAGAAAGTTAAATCTTTTCTCTTAATCTCTTATTAATCAAACACATTTTTTTCGAATTTAAAGGATCAGAATACATATAGGCCTACTATTGATCAGTTTAAGTAAGGCCTTCATGGAATTTTCATTTCTTGCTATTTTTTGTGGTAGCTTCTGACGCTTTGCAGTACTTAGACAAACCCAATGAACGAATAGTTTCTTTATGAATATTATGATCTTGATAATGTTACCGGAAGCTGTCATCTTCTCTTATTTTAATTGGATAGAAGTCAGCTATCAGCCAATAACTATGTATAAACTTTTAACTAAATGGAACTCACTTTGAATCAAACACATCTCTATTCCTGGGAATTCCCGGGTTATTATTACTAAATATTACTCATTTTACTGGTCGGTTGTTACTAAATTGTACATTTTGAAGTAAACAGTGTTAAATTAAAGGAATCTTATACATTAGTTAGAAATATCAGTTTATTTTTTTCTAGCAGTAGAACACATTTTGACATCATAATAAACCGATTTTACGGTATAACATTAGTGAAAATGCTCAAATTGTCAAAATAACATTAAGACTTGACTGTGTTGTAATTTTGGTAGTGTAGTTTTTATGGAAGACCATAACGCCATAATTACGTTTCTGAGATTTTCTTCGCAGTTACGTTGTGATTTGTGGCTTTTAAAACAGTTAATATTAACCCATGATGTACAGTAATCTTCTACAGTTTTCTATTCCATAAATAGGTATGGTGAAAGACATCATCCTCATATTTATAAAGAGCAGAATTAGTATGAAATGACTTAAAACTCGACAAATCAGTCGACACTTTCATCATCATGATCTGTTGTTACCCCTATCTAGGTCGTGGATCTGTACATTAGTCATTAGCACTAATTCTACTGTGCTAGCATGGGCACTGTTGCAGTTTCAACACCTTTCCCTCCTGTTGAGCTATTGATTTGAAACTTGGCAGAGGGGTACTTATGTCCTGAATATTCACAGCAAATTTTAGACAGTTCCAACTTTCCTTCCATCTTAAATTAAATTTCAAAGTGATGTACTGACTGAAATATTTCCCGATTATGGCGAAATGGCAGGGGGACGAAACTCTTTTGTTTAGTCGTACTTGCTTTGCCGAAAGGGGTCGAAACTGCAACAGTGCCCTGGCATGATATACCGAAGAATCAATGTATCAGACATGTCATGCCACGATTGTGAATCATTATCGCAAGGTACATGACAATACTTCTCATTCCATAATAAATTGGAGTTTTTTTTAAAACGGCAAATGGAATCAAAAATTTGTCTCATTGAACTGACTATAATGGTTGGTAACTATTTATATGACGTTGGACATTAACCACTATTTTCATTTACATTTCCAGTTATAAAGTTTATGAATCAATAAATATTGAAACTTTCAAGATAAGGTGTTCAATTTTATTCCATAATCCAACATTGCGAATTTGCAATACATATCTTATCGTGACTCTTGTATCGCAATATGTAGTTCTTTCAGTTTTTTTAATAACAAGACCAATGTAGTGATTGTTTGGCCCAATTCAGTAATGTATAATGCAAGCAATATTGCTTTGTTTACATTTCTATCTATAAATTAAAGGCATAATCTGGGGTACTAGTATTTATGTACATGCCATACAAAAAAAAAAATGAAACAAAATGGTATTTAAATGCCATGTTCCTTGAATCTTGTGGGTACAAAATTATTAAATTTAAAAGGATTTTTATCAGAAGACTGACTATTCCTTTTACTGTACTGGACTAAGAAGCAAGTTACACTTACAAAATCCATTCATCAGCATGCTGATATAAGCTTACATGATATTTTGAAAAAGAGAACAAATACTATTGAATCTGTCGTATATATTTGGTGTAAAAATAGAATATTTCTAGAACTAGCATTAAAATTACACAGATTTTGAAATATAATTTGGTCTTCTTATTAAAATGACAAAAAGTAAGAACTTTGCTTTAAATGAAATAAAATGCATTTGGGAATAAAAAAATAGGAACTAAATTAACAATTTTCATCTTGAATATAAGACAAATATATCTTTAAAGTAAAATTTTACTGGATAAGCTTCATGTTGGTATTGTTTGAAATAGGAGATTCAAGGTCCACTGCAGACAGAATTTTGAATCTGATAATTTTTATCACTATTTTCAGATATTGTAGTATTACTGGTACATAAAGATGAATAAAGATCAGTTACTTATTAATGAGAGTGGCTGGAGACCACCTGAAGGATTATTGCCAAATGGTAATTATTTTATTTTTATTCATCTTTAAAAGATATTTTTGAATTCTCTTCCATAGCTTTCAATGAACAAGGTAGGGTAAGGTAAATGTTCAAACACTGATCATACCAACAAGTTATTGTTGTGTTTTTTAGGTTTTAGTCCTCGTGTCAATCATGAGGTTCCAGTATACTATGCAAGAAGATCTAATAAAATTGAAAGTGCTGGTAAAAAGAAAGTTACAAGTGCGCCCTATGATGTAGCCAACAAGAAAATAAAAAAAGGCAGATCTTGTAAAGGGTTAGTATATCACTTAATTTCTTAAAAATATTCAATTGGGAGTCTCAAATATTTGAAATTTCTGTTGAATGAGTTTACAGACCTTATATTTTCTTGATAATTCTAAAAGATAATATATATACTGTGAAAGTAAGTGACATTGATATCTCTTTCTTCTTGTATAGCTCGAAAAGTATACCATCAATAGAAGAGCTTGGTATTGAGTTAAGAGATGAAGAAGAAGAACTTGAAGAATATGAAGAATTTGAAAATGAAGATGTCAAAAAAGTTCAAGATGATTTTGAAAAAGGGTAAGGAATACCAATACAATTCGCTATTTCACCAACAGAGTTGTGTGGACAATTTAACTTTATATACATACACTGTTGTCATTCATATTTTAGATTCTTATAACCAGAAAGAAAACTAATGTTTGAACTAAAATTTGAATGATTGTGAGTCAGGGCCTTAACTACGGTCTTTTTTCTTTGAGGCAAAAATCCTGTTGTCTTTGAAGTCAGTTTTGTCGTTCATCGCAATGCTTTCAGCAGGCTTCAAACTGTCAGTTAGACTGAATTATATATGTATATGGTTTATAATTTTAGCCATGTGGTGTATGGTAAAACAGAAGCCTTTACAAGTATACTCAAGCAGTATAAAACATTAGATGGTATCCAAGGTGTGATCAGCAGTAATGTTATGGTTTGTACATCTATTATTTCATACTCACTTGGTATACCAAGCCTAATGCTATATGTTATATATACGTTACAATATTAATCATATTAAAATAGCTTTTATAGACCGGTTTATTTTCAACGTAAAGAATTATGCTGCTAGTTATGCATGAAACTATATCTAAACCCTTTAATATAGTTTCTATAAATTTACCTGGCCAATGAAGAATTGTTTAAAACATCAAATTTGGAGTTTCCTATTATAATTTTTACGAGGCCAGTGTTTTCTCGTGAATGATTTATTATCATCTGGGAAAGGAATTCCGAGAATATGGACATGCGCAGAAGATTTTGCTCACAATTTTCGATTAGAAAAATAAAAATTAACTTTGTTTGTGTACTGATCCGATTGTTACATGTAAATTATGGATTAGTATCATTAAAGCAAAATTCACAAAATCACAATAATGAGAAATGAAAATAACGAAGTTAATCGATACTTTTATTTTCTATCGCGTCTTCCAGTCGGAAATATGTGTAGTTAATGCTAAATAATTAAATCACGATTCCGTTTATAAGATATCACGCAATTTGATTGGATAACAGCGGTCGCGTGAATTCGGTTTATATCTGTGTAAACGGAATGTAAATATAAGCTCTGCCCCTTAACGGACTATTTTTATCATTGAGTTTGATTGACTTTGCCACGACACAGCTTCGATGTCTTTCCTTCGAACGTCACCAAAAATCTACACTTTACTGAATGATTACGTTATTTTCCAAATTCCCTCGAATGTGCATTCTCCAAATATCAACAAAATCATGATTTTTGAACTTATTTCGAACCTTGGCTTTCAATAATTGAACTTTGAATGTGGCCGCTCCGTCAATTTTCAAGCAGTAGACAGTAGGCTATAAATAGGTGACCTACAGCTGATTGGCTGTTCTCTATGACGTCTCTATTGTTAGAATCAGTTCATTAACGTTAAGTTAAAATTTTGTGCCCTAGTTTGTTGCTATTTTAGATAAATATTTAAACACTTATTCGAGTTGATTTAATTATAAGGAATGACCTGAGCATTTTTTCAGTTTATCGATGTATACCCTGCTACCCTGATTTATACAGTGTACACAGGTTTTTTCTGTTTATACATCGATAAACTGAAAAAATGTTCAGGTCATTCCTTAATTAGTCTAATCAAAGATGAGTTGTCATAATCGCTTTTTTCCAGAACCGTGAGATTTAAAATACTTACATAACCGTTTAAGAATTATTTTATTGATTGTGACTTCACATTGAAACTTTCACAAAAGGCAATGGGCATCTTCCTCTATGTGAAAAGATTATATGATTAAATGTCTACATTTTAGGATGAGATTTGTATATCACCTAGGAAATTGTATGATGTCAATAAAAACTTCACTAGAGGTGATCTTCTAGGAGAAGGTGGTGTTGGAAAAGTACACTATGTTACTGATAACTTATCAAAGGAAAAGTTTGTTGAGAAAACAGTAAGATCTTATAAGATACTTTTAATTGTCATCTTCACAATGTCAAGCTATTACAAACTTTGTCTTGACTGCAATACCTACCTTTCTTATATCACGGAGTTTTAAATGCAGCAATTTGATGGGATTGTACATTAGTGAAGCCATAATGTCTACAGTCTTTTTGTCGAGAACTCTGATTGGCTGTATTCACTGATCTATAATCCAATCAATTGGCTGCATTCTATGATACAAGAAAGGTGACAAGTGCAGTTTAACATATAAGACACAGTGTGTAATAGTTTGACATTGTGAAGATGATTGTAATATTGATGTTATACTATTTTGTTATCTGGTTTGCATGTACAGGAAACACAGGACACGAGAACCATGTAGTATGATGGTGCTGCCCCTGACAATTTTCTCTAATTTACACTTTACTATCTTTGTTAGCCCAAGTTGCTGGAAAGTAGGATGATTATTTATATTGCATTAAAAAGTTGGAATGAAGGGGCAAATCAAAAAGGATTTTTAATTGGTAAAAACATTGATTACAGATAAAGAAAGAAAAATTTGCTAGGAAAGAAGTTGAAGTCCTTCTAAGTTTACAACATAGAAACATAACAGAATTTTATGGTTTGATAGTAAATGAAGAGTCTATTAGTGTATTCATGTCTTTTGCTGGTAAATATATTGATATTTTACATAATGCATGCCTTTTGGAATGAAAGATATCATAGATGAAAAATTTGTGGAACTATATAATTCGGAACAGAAGAAATATCACCAAACTAAAAAAAAACAATCAAAGAAAATGATGAGGAACTGAATTATTTAATTTTCTATGCAAACCGTTAAGCATTAGCAGAAAGATAAGAAAAAATGGCTGCTCTACGGTAGTTTGTTTAGGACATGTTTATTTTTTTTTATTTACTTTTTTTCATTTTTGTCCGCTGAATTATATTCAGTAGACAAAAATGATAATTCAGTAAACAAAAATAAAAAATAAGTAGAATTCAATCATAATTAAAAAAAATTAAACATGTCCTACACAAACCACCGTACTGCCCTCATGCTTGTTTTGATATCATTTGTCTCAACTGATGCCCACCAACCTTTTGTATAATTTGCGAAGCGAATTGATAGTTAGTTCTATTAGTCATAGAATAAACTTAATGTAATGTTATTCATCTAGGTACAAGTTTAGAAACACTAATTATCAGAAACAAAATGATCTTCAGTGAAGATGAAGTGATTTGTTTATCTATACAAGCTATGTCTGCCTTAGCATATATGCATCAATATAGCTTGGTACATATGGATATTAAACGTAAGTGTTCAACCTTTTTTATGTCCAATGTTCATTGTAATGTTGCCTCTGTTTATAAGTGCGTTCGTAGGTTTATAACCACTAGAAGAATTTTGAGTATGGTTTAACAAAAAATGACAGACTTACATATTTAAACGTGGCTTGTGAAGGTCATAGAGGTCACAGTTTTTGTTAAAATTTTTAATAATTAATGTGTTGGATTATATCCACAAGATTTCAGATAAGTTCAAATTTGAGTACAGTATAACTTTGATTTCAAACAAAAACCTCCAAGATATTGTTATATGGAATTCAAAATATGTTTTTTTTTTAGCCCAGAATATATGTATCAAACCAGAAACTGGACATTTGAGTCTGACTGATTTCGGATCAAGTTTGACCCCACAAGATAATTTAGAATTTGCTGGGGTTACTCCAGAGTATATGAGTCCAGAATTATGTCGACTGTTTGTTGATGGTTATCGTAAACAACGTGGTAAAGGACCCCAGTACCTGATAACTAGAGATACAATAAGTGGCAAAAATGATGTCTATGCCTGGGCTTGCACTATGTTGTTTTTCTTTCTACGAAACCATGCAGCCTTAATGTTTGTGGACCCAAAAAAATGTGAAGATTTCCGCTATCTTTTCCTTTTTCAGGTATGTATATTAGAATATTTTTCAAATTTACTTGGATTTCTAATGCCCATGACTGATATAAATTATTGGCATCCATGTCCATCTCAGTTACAATGGCGTATTTAGAAGGCAATAAAAAATGAAAAATTTATTCTACTTTCACTTTCAAAATCGTGTTAGATGTAGGCTATTCTCCAGCTTCCCACATTAGACAATTTTCCAGGAGGAAAAGGGGAAGTTTTAAAGTTACATGCCAGTCATATTGCTTTGTTTACAATTCTATCTTCAAAGTCATAATCTGTTACATTTGCATTCAATATCAAAATGGCAGCCTCCATGAACTGGGAGGTCAAAAGTTATTTTGTTAATTCTGTTGAAAATTGAAACATCATTATACGCCCACACGTAAGATGGGCGTATATTGTAATCACCCCGTCGGTCCGTTCACATTTGGCTCGTGCTCACTCTACAGGCTACAGTTCTTTATGGATTCTTTTGATTTTTATTTTGTATGTCAATGATGTTATGAAGATGATCCCTATTGATTTTCGTGATGATCGGATAATTTTTCACCGAAATATCGTGTATGACTTGACATTTTTCTCTATTAGCTATATTGTGCAACTCGTGCTCACTCTACAGGCTACAATTTTTTACAGATTCTTTTGATTTTTATTTTGTGTGTCAATGTCATTATGAAGATGATCCCTATTGATTTTCGTGATGATCGGATAATTTTTCACCGAAATATCGTGTCTGACTTGACGTTTTTCTCTATTAGCTATATTGTGCAACTCGTGCTCACTCTACAGGCTACAATTTTTTACAGATTCTTTTAATTTTTTTTTTTGTGTCAATGTCATTATGAAGATGATCCCTATTGATTTTCGTGATGATCGGATAATTTTTCACCGAAATATCGTGTCTGACTTGACGTTTTTCTCTATTAGCTATATTGTGCAACTCGTGCTCACTCTATAGGCTACAATTTTTTACAGATTCTTTTGATTTTTATTTTGTGTGTCAATGTCATTATGAAGATGATCCCTATTGATTTTCGTGATGATCGGATCATTTTTCACCGAAATATCGTGTCTGACTTGACGTTTTTCTCTATTAGCTATATTGTGCAACTGGTGCTCACTCTATAGGCTACAATTTTTTACAGATTCTTTTGATTTTTATTTTGTGTGTCATTATGAAGATGATCCCTATTGATTTTCGTGATGATCGGATAATTTTTCACCGAAATATCGTGTCTGACTTGATGTTTTACTCTATTAGCTATATTGTGCAACTCGTGCTCACTCTACAGGCTACAATTCTTTACAGATTCTTTTGATTTTAATTTTTTGTATGTCTATGTCGTTATGAAGATGATCCCTATTGATTTTCATGATGATCTATCGATTTTCATGATGATCAGATAATTTTTCACTGAAATATCGTGTCTGACCTGACGTTTTACTTTATTAGCTATATTGTGCAACTGGTTCTCACTCTACAGGCTACAATTGTTTACAGATTCTTTTGATTTTTATTTTGTATGTCAATGTCATTATGAAGATGATCCCTATCGATTTTTGCGATGATCGGATAATATTTCACCGAAATATGGTGTCTGACTTGACGTTTCACTCTATTAGCTATATTTTGCAACCTTGTAGTCACTAAAGACTGTTTAATCATTCCTGACAGCTGCCAGTGGGCGTATGTTACCTTGCCTGGCAAGCTATCTTTTTTTTTTGTGAAGGTTTTCTACTAGAAAACTTGAATTTCGTCATAAGGCTTACTATTCCCTTTAAGCCTATTAATCATTATAGTGATATGTATATATCCATTGGTATAATTATAGGTAGCCAATCAACCACAAATGATGAGAATATGTGTCCCAGGGACTATTAAAGCAGATTTAAAAAGTATTGTTGTTGATCTGTTAAATGGAGAAGTAGAAAAAAGACCGTCTGCTGAACAGGGAAAATGCATACTTGAAGGTTATTTTACTTGATAGATCAATGAAAATGATGACAAATTAATATAACTTCTACACAGTGTTAGAAATTCACACATTCAACTTGTCATTTGTATGTAGCTGATAATATAAAACTGAGTAGATACTAGTTGACACCTAATCCACTAATTCTACTGACTCATTATATAAAATATCAATCTTATCACTATCTTGTCCAGAATTTAGGAAAATATTTTGATTTTTTACAGGAATTAAGCAAAGACGATGCAGCAATGAGCAGACTTATCGACCATTAGAAAGTCGAGATGAGAAACATGCAAGTATCAAGTTGAAGTTAAAAGAGAAGATAGAAAATAAAATGCGTACTGATGGTTCATCTGCTACCAGACAACCAGACAGTAAACCAACAGTTGACACAACTAAAGATGAATCATCAGAGACCACTGGAACCCAAAACATTCCTAATTTTGATTCACTGTTTTAAATTGACTTTAAGATTTGAAAACAGAATCAACATCGTCACATTTATCTGTTGCATTTCACAATGTTTATCTTATTGCATCTTTAGTGCTTCTTTAATGCTAGTATAATCTTCTCTTTTTTTGCTGATTTTCTGTTATATAGTAGATGTATTTTCATACTTTTGATAGGTATTATGTGATGAAATTTCTCGTTGTCCTATTATTGTCATAGCATTTTAGAGCAGGAAAATACTTGAAATTCTCGGTATTTTAGATTTACATTGTTTTTATAGATAAAGAACAGTTCTTTTAGATTGCTTGGACTACTACATAAAATTGTGCCTTTATAGCAGATAGACTATATTTTAAAATATTATCTGGAAAGAATGCACATGAAATATAACTTAAAGGGATAACAAAAAATGGGGCATCCTTCTTCTTATTATTCATTAGTGGAGAATCTAAGAAGTAATATTCTGTAAATAGTAACTGATACTTTTTTCGTTGAAATGTGTGTGCTCTGGCAGAGTGCAGTATATAAAATATACAAACATCTTGTGGACATATTCATAATATCATACTTAGTTTAACATGTTAAACATGGAAACCTTATGTTCGCTGTATTTCTGTAGATCTTTGGTTTGATTTTGTGTCACTTGATTCTCAGATACTTTTGGAACTTTGGAAAATACTCTGTCTTTTGGAACACAGATCTGTGAAAATTCCATAGAAAATTAGAAATTGTTTCAAATTGTTGCTATATTCTCTTTCCCACTTTACACACTGCCTTGCGTTGCTCATTTTCATTGGATTGTCTAGCTTTTCCATTCGATTTCATTTCCATGTTATAACAAAGTTATTTCATCATGTTTTTAAATTTTCATGTTGTCTCAGACACGATTAGATTAAAAGTAAGTTTAGTAGCACATTCATCACTGCACTAGACATATCATTCAATGGGAACTTGTTCTCTGCGAATTTTAATTGCATGAATTAACATGCTTTAGTTGGGACCAAATAATGTATTGAGGCAGAAAATATAATAAAATTAATATTTAATCATGATCTGGCTCAATGGAATCATTATAGATTCTACATCATTAAAGTTATTTCAATATGTATTTTGTGATTATTTTTGTTGTTTTTTGAACAAAAAAATTATTGGTTTATGTTAAAAAAAAAATGTATTGTTTTGTTAAGAAAAAAATGTCTTTTATATCTTCTCGCTATATGATGTGATTCTGTATTTTCAGAATCATTAATAAAATAGGGCTTCTTTTTTTGCATAAAATTAAATTATTTTAAGTCAAGTATTATAGTATTATATAATACATGATCAAATTATAATTTTCTTTTGGATTTGATTGTTTAAAATGTAAACTGTGTACACAATATGATTGTTTTATTGAATTGATTAAAATTATTTGATTTTATTGAAGCAATTTTCAAAATTTTGTCTCTTAATTGTAAATATGAAGCTATTTTCTCTGCGCTTGTAGTTTCTGCTTTGTAAAATAAAAAAAAAATAAAAAAATTAATTGTCTTGCTTTCAAAGTTTTATTTTATGAAAAATCTGGGAATGGTTGACAAAAGTGCAGCATACTTTTCAACTTGGACAAAGGTATTAGTTCGTGAATAAAAAAAAAATGCTTGCAGCATGACTTACAGTAAAAAAAATGTTTGCATCAGTTATATACTGAAAAAGATATAAAGCATTTCTTGAAGGGATTGTAGAGATATTTGAGGACACTCATGGCTTGATTTGAACCATTACATTTTTGAGTCATATGTATGGATCTTAAAATTCAGTTTTCTAAACAAAACATATTACGATGCAGAGGTCCTTAGACAATATTACCAGCTTCTGTGATAACTATGTCATATACAGTTAAGTATTTCTGTAATTACAGAAACTGCAGTATGATAAACAACTTTCTTATAGACATAAAAAGGCAAGAAAAATTCTTTACAACCCATATTCAGTATCAAAAATATCTCTTTTAAGATTAACAAAACAAGAAAATATTTCCCAACCTTGCAAAACTTTTAATATACAAAACAAGAAAATATTTCCCAGCCTTGCAAAACTTTCATTATACAAAACAAGAAAATATTTCCCAGCCTTGCAAAACTTTCATTATACAAAACAAGAAAATATTTGCAAGCCTTGCAAAACTTTCATTATACAAAACAAGAAAATATTTCCCAGCCTTTGAAAAATTTTCATTAAACAAAACAAGAAAATATTTTCCAACCTAGCAAAATTTTCATTATACAAAACAAGAAAATATTTGCAAGCCTTGCAAAACTTTTAATATACAAAACAAGAAAATATTTCCCAGCCTTTCAAAACTTTAATTATACAAAACAAGAAAATATTTGCAAGCCTTGCAAAACTTTCATTATACAAAACAAGAAAATATTCCCAGCCTTCGAAAAATTTTCATTTAATCAGAGAACATACATGGAACATTCTACCAACTTGCCATTTTATCTTAATACATACACTGTAAATATACCAAGTTCAGTCTAAGATGAAACCTGATACTCTACTGTCTAAAAATAGATTCATGCAACTTGTTTACACTTCAACAGGAAGCTAGCAAGATAAAGGAATTAAAAATAAAGTAAGTTGATGAATTGAATTATAGCTTATATCCTAGACATAGGCATTACTCTTACTATTACAAATTTATAACTTGACATTTGACATAAAAATATATCAAAGCTCTTACTATTACAAATTTATAACTTGATAATTGACATAAAAATATATCAAAGATAAGTCAGCCAGAAAAACTAACTGGCTAGCATGATTTGAGACCATTAAAACTTGTAATTGTGCATGCAGTTAGGCTTAGGTAATTTTCTTGGAAAAAAAATCAAAATCAAATTAATGAAAAAGGGGTGTGGTGATGGTTTATTCATTTAAACTTTATGCGTATGATACAAAAAGTTATATGAAAAGTTTAAGTAGGCCATTTTAACATGGTCAAGAATTATGAGTGAACTTCCACAAGGAAGAAATAAAACCTACTCTATAGCACACAGTTTGAATTATGTTCATTTTATTGCTGCAGGTGCAAATCTGATTTATAAGTTTTATTATCACCATAGAAACTTTTTACAACTTTTAAATTTCAGATGAATCAATTTACTGTTGAAAACTTAAAGAAGTTTATTGGAACAAGTTGGTTTAAATATCTCTTACTATTTATATCATTATCTATAGTTATTTATGTGTGTATAAGTGGCGTTCATTTCACCAATGGTAAACACCACTCAACTCAGAAATTTAAAATAGTGACTACATCAAAAAAAGATATTATGGTAGTGACTAAAAAATATGATGATTTGATAGTGACTCCAAAGCATAATGATGCTATAGTAGTGACACCAGTGTATAATGAAACTTCTGAAGCCTTTCTTGCTTATGAAGATCGCTATAGCACAAGCACACATTTAAATACTTTTAAATTTCATATACATAAAAACACAAATTTTCTGCAGCAATCGTCTTATTATTCTCTACAAAAATACAAAATTAATTCTGAAAATTATCAATACCTCATCCAACCACGAAACTTTTGCAAAGAAAATCCATATCTGATCATTCTGGTGCCCTCAATTCATACTAATAAAATGGTACGAGATAGTATTAGAAGAACATGGGGAAGTCAAGAATGGCCTAGTGGAATTTTAAACAATGTTAAGTTACTTTTTCTATTCGGAGTTCATCTTCATAAAGAAATTGAATTCATTATACAAGAAGAAAGTGAAATCTTTAATGATATTATTCAAGGTGATTATTTAGATTCATATTATAACCTAACTGTCAAGGTATTAAATGGTTTAAGATGGGTCTCAAACCAATGCGCAGGAGTTAAATATGTCTTAAAAGCAGATGAAGATACTTTTACCAATATTCCATTACTTTTGGAATTCTTACAGACATCTGGAATGCCAGAAACTGTTTATGGACATCTCCATGTTGATTCCAATGTTAAAAGAGTTGGAAAATGGGCTGTTTCTAAATCAGATTTTCCTTTTCCTACATATCCTGATTATATGGCTGGGAACACTTATGTCATATCTGGAGATCTTTTATCTAAATTAGTGAAAACAAGTGAATATGTGAAATATTTACATATTGAAGACGTGTATATAACTGGTATTTTAATAAGGATATTAAAAATAACACATATTGATGTTGAAGGGTTTACTCAATGGTATTCTAGCAAGCCTACAGTGTGTGATATAATCAATAGATATATAATAACAGGTAATAATATAGATAGCCAATATGCTCAAACTATATGGAACACTTTAAATAATCATTCTCAAACTGACTGTAAATAAAACCAAATGTTTAGATTAAATCCTTCTTTGTTGTAACCGGTTTTGTGTCGATTTATTTTCAAGTACCCAATGGCTTTATTTTTCAACAAAACTACACAAACTATGATCTAATCGTTGTACAAAGAGTTTGAAATGGGAGAATTTTAAGTGCAAAAATTTGTCCAGAAGGGTAACATTTGGTTCTCTTTTTTGATGGTACTTCGTGACATTGCATGAATGGGTCAAATAATATAAGCAAATGTTGACTTATAGTCTTTAAATGGCATTTAGCAAATTGTAAGTAAGATACATGTGTCTGAGGACCACAGGGAGACACGTTGCATAAAATTTATCCAGTGACTGTTGTTCCATATCTATATAAAAGTTGCCTTGTTTCACCATTGAATAATTTTATGCGTATTGGGGACACTGATAGCAACAATTTGCATTCCACAAAAAGTGATTGATAAAGTCACTAATTGAAAATATGCTTTATCACATAAGGCCCTTTGCAATTAGTGACTTCGTCATTAGTGGAATTGCAGGAACCACAGACATCTGATTGAAAAATTGAATCGTGCAAATTGATGCTATCAGTGTTCCCAATGCACATAAAAATGTTAGAAAACCTCCTCACAATCCCTTTAAGACTGTAGATCATCACCTTGAAAATAGATGGGTATCATTAAAGCCTTACAAACGAAGAAACCCAACATGGTGTCTGATTATACAAGCTAAATGTGATTCACACAAAAGAATATTGGCACATACAAAGAGCATAAATTAAGTTTCATGTTTATTCATAATTTGATTGAAAAATATTACATCAGTAAAGTAAAAATGATATCTATGTCTAAGACAGTTTACATACAAGGAAATGCTGATCAAGTTGCTGCCTTGGATTAGGTTACCAAGTCAATTTTCATCATATTTTATCTATTTTTTTTTAAACTGTTTGCAGTATTTCTAGCTTTTTATGTTTGGTTTCTATTTGCACCATTCCAATTTTCCTTCAAATGTCTGTTTTTTATGTAATTTTAGAAATATATGAAGTCAATATTACAAGAGCTGCAAAAACATTTGCCATAGTTCCAATGAAATCACAGACTGAAAATTGGTAAAAATTGTCCCCGAATCAAACAAAAAATTTAGAATACCACATTACAAACCTTTTTATCAATTATTACATGATTTGCAGCAACATTAATCAATAAATGAAAAAAATTTGTGATGGGTGATGTCCAAAAATTATAGATATAACCAATATAACTATATAGCATAGTGATTTCATTATGGATTTCTGTAGATGAATCTGTAAGTTTATATTGAGACATCTGTTAATAAATAATGATTCTTCACATTAGTTATATTATATTATCACTTTAAGTACCTGCCATTTTAAATTTTACCAGAATTCAACAATATATACATAAGTCTTAAAATATATACAATAATTCATCTGTATTTACATTTTGTATAAATGTTATATATCACATATAAGTAACAAGGATTCCACTAAATAATAATAGAAAAAGTTTAAAATAGTTTGTCTGAGGTGAAATCAAATGGGATTTCAATTTCCATTTTTAGGAATTTTAATGAGTCATTAAAAAAAAGTGAAGCTCAAAAAAGTTATAAAAGAAAGAATAGAGTGATTATCAGTTTCCCATTTTATCAGAACTCTAGTGATATTTAATTTATATCAGAATTTTATAAATAAAATCAAAATAAAGGTGAAAAGTATTTAATATCAATCAAATTATTTAATATCGTTGTTCCAACATAGGTTTAGTCAGAAATATTATCACTTTAAAGGGAATGTAAAGAAGTTTCTTTACTGTTAACAGACATTAAGGACACTGACAGTATCAATTTGCACCATTCAGATTTCTTAATACACATAAAAAGATTAGAAATCTTCTTTACAGTCCCTTTAAATTAGAGAACAGGTTCTCAGGATGTATGGTGGCTGATTTTGGACACATTAATAAATGCATATGATCTGGAGCCTGAGTAAGTAGGTTTATTCAGGTAAACACGACTTGAGATCATGTTAATAGTTCGAATTCCACACATTCTAATTTATAGGTTTGTGAAATTTCCCTGCAGTCTGACTCAAATCTCAAATATGCTGGTAATATCATACTATGAATTTGATTGCAAGATGTGTCCCCAAACAACCACCATAGAATTGGACGGACAATACAAAGTTAATATTTATATATATACAAAGTCAAATCCATTATCTGTTATCATATAAGATTACATTTAAATTTGTCCTTTCCTTATTGATGTGGTAAGAAATAGGTTGAATTTGTGTATCCAAATCTATTCAAAAAACACTGTGGCTATAATCTAATCAGGAATTTGTCATGAAATTTAGGACCTGTTTTATAATTTGTCATATCCTATACTATATTATTGTGAGAATACTGTATATAAAAGCAAACTGGCAAGATTAGCAAAAGCACTCAATCAGAGTAAAGATTAGATTTGGATAGTTTGTTTTCCCCTATCAAGTTACTCCACTCATATAAAGACTGGACAAAAATCTTCTCTTAGTCTAAGTTCAGTTGACCTTTGAAACATAGTTTACATTTACCAATGAAATCCACTGTTTAAAGAGGATTAATAATAATATAAGTCAATGTTTTGTGAGGTTCTATATCACAGTCGGTTAGAGTATTGGTTTATTACATGACGTCATTTGCTTGGTTACATCAGCTGTGGGTTCCGATCTCAATGGGCGTGTGAAACTCTGATGACCTTAAATAAGTAAATGGGTATGGTTAATCTGAGAAAGATCAATGCCAAGAGATTTGGCCAAGGACCAGCTAGGACCTTAACTGTGTTATAAATATAGTTGTTTCTTTCTTTCTTTTCCTTTTTAAGTATTGAATATACTCACAGTGATTAATCTTTTTGAAGACAAGAGCATTTTGATTGGTTGAGTTTTCATACGCCTTCAATCCAATAGCATCGGATCATAGATGACAAGTGAAGTCCTCCCAAGAAAGTTATCTTGGTGAACATTTTAATCATAATGTTAGTAGTTGTTATAAAAATTGATTCAATGAGTTCAGAGATCAGAGGAGAAATAAGCTGATAGCTCTGCTGCGAGTGGTCAAAACTGTCCAATAGGTCATTTAGCATCACGTACACCATCAGATATTTTTAGTTTCAATTATAAAACAATACATTTCAGTTCCATTAGATATACATGGTTAGTGGAGCATAGCACATGCCAACTCTTCCAGTATTTTTAGTCATTGTGTCATAAAATTCTACATGTTACCGATTTAACATAATTACCACTATACAATAAAAAACAAATTAAAACCTTAATAAAACAGACAAAATAAATACAAAAGATACAGAATATTCGTTTTTAGATGGAATCTATCTCATCTAATGATATAGAATTAATATTACCACCTTCATGAACCTGGGCTTTGATCCTTGCTGCAGCTTCAGCTCTGACATTTTCATCTTCTGGAGCATTTTCTATTTTAATTACTTTATTATAACCACGCCATCTTAAACACAACTGAAAATACATCTTACACTGGACATACATAAATACGAGTCCACCTGTAAAACCTATAGCAACTACGATTAGTTTAGTCCAGAACGGCCAATCTAAATTACCATTTGACACTTCTTCAGTGGTTCGATCAATTAAAACATAAAGAGACCATATAACACAAGTTATAGCTATAATATGGAATGTAACTGAGCAAATGATCTTTCTTCTTTCTGCTGAGGTCATTTCTAATTTCTCCCACTGAAAAATACCACAAAAATATATATTGGCTGAAATAGTTAGCTAAGGGGTCAGAACGTGAAATTACAAAGATGTAGTTTCAAGTAATTTGACCTGTCATAATAATAATGACTATAATGGAGACCATAGAAAGCTGTTCCATGCATAGTATGAAAAATCTATTCAATCCTGACAATATTGATAATATGGCTACAATTTGGCACATTATATTTTATGTGCATTAATATTGATCAGATGTGTTTTATGCTATCTGAAAGGCCCTTAATATTAGCAGCTTTTGCAAAGGTGACATATTATGTTTAAGCTTTCTATAATTACAGGAAACAGACTTCTGAAAAAAAAATTTAATGATGCCAATAGAAACCATATAAGGCCCTACACACAGAGGAGTTAGAAAACCTTGTCACTTCGAACAGCTAATAAATCATAATGGTCATACAGGACAACTGTTACTCAATGTTACAAATGATGGATGACCATATTGGGGTTAAGGACATATAATATAATAAGGTGATATTAGTTTCAGAATAAATGAGGTTGATGTCTGTCATACACACCCTCTATATTACGTTTTATTCTAACACATAAATAACGGAAGAATTATAAAATAATGTATAAAAAATGTAATGCTTCCGATATTTGTGTGCAATAAAATAACTTGTTATAGTGACGTATGTGACAGACATCAACCTCATTTATTCTGAAACTACTATAAATTTTCCCCTGTGGCGAAAAAGATCACATCAAGGAAAAAAGGTAACCCAACTTTAGGCAACCCATAAACATGTACAATGTAGATATAAGTAAAACAGACTAACCTGACCGAAAGGTTTGGTCTGAGTTGTCATAATAAATTCGAATTTACATAATTCACAACTGCGTTTCTCTGAACTTTTGATCCATTTCTGTAGGCACGATGAGTGAACATATTTCAAACTTCCCGAACACAAACAAGGGGAGATAAGTAAATTGTTTGTTTCTGATTCACAATGACATATTCTACAGATATCCCCATTGCCTGATAATGTTGACATCTGAGATTCACATTGATCTCTTGGAATAATGGTTCCATGATCTATCTGTACAGTCTCCTGAAATTATAAATTAAACCTTATAAATTTGGAGACCAATTAAGGGCTGGGAGTGTCTAATCTAATGTTCCTCAGAACATACAATTTGTTCGCATCACAAAATCACAGCCTTGGAGAAAGAAGAAATTTCATCGGCTGGCAGAATCATCAAATGGTTGAATGTTCATGAGTCGCATCTTTAGATCCTAACTAAGTGGCCAAATCAAAAATAAAATTTTTACTAAGAAGGAGAATTTTGCAGAGACTATTTCTCTAACTAATCAGAATATCTTGGTTTTTACCCATCATTTAATACACAATATATCTGTGACCAAACTATTTTGCCCAAAGGAATAGATTGATATATATATTTCTTTGATACAATCAGTTATATACCTAGATAGCTGCCCGAAATATAGGTAGAATCTTAGCGAAGTATGAAACAAGGATTCTGGCCTCAGGGCAAGGTTTTTAATGCCCTGTCAACATCAATACATAGAATAGAAAGAAGGTATTTATGGAGTCTGTACTATAAATGTAGCAAACAATGTGCCTTTAGAACCTTACCATATGACAATGACCTATAAATCATAATACTGTTATGAAAGTCATGAAATATACAGCACATACAATTGGTATATATATATCAAATTATAAAGGATCAGCTTTATTATGGGAACTCTGATTGACAATATCAAATGGTATTAAAGGGGATCTCATATGAGTGGATAATGAATATGTGTCTAATTCAAATCTAGACTTATTAAAACTGTAAAGAAAATGTTAATGACATGTCAAAGCTTATATAATTATGTACTGATATCATGACGTATAAAAGTCAGTCAAATCAACAATTCAATTGGTAGATTTAGGTCAACCATCAAAAGGGTCAAAAAAGGTCCAATAAAGAGTAAACAACTTTTTTTTTCATTTAGAGCTCTTATCAAATGAATAACACCAATCCAACCTAACCACCAATAGCAAAGTTGTATTGTGTGCCAATTTACACTTACAGGACATACTTTAAAATATTTTTGTTATTATGACAAAATGGAAATGATATGAATGGAGTCCTACTGTTCTGCACCTTATGGGCTAATGCAGAAAGGCAACACCATACAGTGTGCAATGAAGGATATTTTAACAGGACAGCTGCATAAGCGTAATATTTTTTGATTTACAACTGATGGGAGATCTCTAATGTACACAGACTGAAGCATGTGGGGGCTTGGTTTTATGTCCCATCCAAATGACTAGACACTATTTCAATATCAGTTCCTTCGACCTGCACCACTGACAGGGGGGAAACTATGTTGAAAAATCTGAAGGTCTATCTCGACCTATGTCAAAATTGGGAAATAAACTCAGATAAATATCCTTTGAGTACTTGTTCGCTTTTTTGAGTATTTTTGAGATTTCTCAAGATTTTTTAGTTCGATATCTCTTGGTGCTTTTTACAATAAAAATTATCAATAAATGATTGACAAAAGATTTTTCTCGCATTGTTACTTTAATTGCAGTTTTTGAAAAGCAAAATAAAATACAATGAACTCGACTATACTGTTACTGGGTTCATTTTTTTAAACGCTATAACCTACAATGAACCCGACTGTAATTTATTCCTGGGTTAATTATTTTAAACGTTATAACCTTCAATGAACCTGACTAAGCCATATTACTGGGATAATTTTTTTTATAAATTATAACCTACAAAGAACCTAACTTTGCCATAATACTATTAAAGTTATAACCTACAATGAACTCGACTTATACCACATATTACTGGGTTAATTTTTTGAAACGTTATAACCTACAATGAACTCAACAACGTTAAACCTATCTCAGAATGGCACTAATAAATGTAAAACTTACATTTGTACTGTCTTGAGGCTTCATTAGGCTAGGAGCCTCTTTCATCTCTTTTTCAACATCTTGAAGTGGTTGAACAGCAATTTGTTGTGTTGGCATGTCTTATCCTAACTCCATAAACAGGCCATTTTAATTTTTTATTGTTGAATAGAAGTTATTCCCTACATTGACAAACATTAATCAAAACATCCCCTTTCATTTCCTCTTCATCACTGTATATATCTATAATACACAATAACAAACTACATTAATTACTATAGCTGAAAAGAAAAAAAGAACACAGTAGGAGTAAATTAAAGAAAAAATAAAAGGAAATAAAAAGTAAAATATGATTAACCAGTAATTCAAACAAGCTTTATAATTAGTAGGATTATAAAAACTAAATAATGACAGTAAAGCTGCTCCTAATTTTAACCACTAATTGTTTTATAAACCTTTTTATACTATACTTGTAATAATATATATAATATGTATATTCAGTATTCATTAACAATTTAAAGGTTTACTAACTCTTAAAATGAACTTTAAATATAAATTCTATAACATGGAAGGATTTCTTTAGAAGATGAAAAATAAAAAGACCGTATCTCATTTGACATAATATGAAGGTGTTTCCTGTTGTTTAAAAATATGAAAAAGATTTTAAAGCAAATGCTCAATTTACAATGAAACAAAAAGTTTAATGAATGGAGTTTTACATCCTACTTTTCTGCATCTTTAGCTAATGAAGACTGGCAAAGCCATGCAGTGTGCAATGAGGGCTACTTTTTTTAATTTCCAAATGTCGAGGGATCTTTAACGTGTAGTCTGTAGTAAACAGGGCCTCAGTTTATTTCCCATCCGAGCGACTAGATGCTTTTTCCATGACAGTCCCTCCTACCTGCATCACTGACATGAGAAACCTAGTTGAAAAATCCAAAGTTTTATCTCGACCTAGACTTAGCAAACATCTAACTCACTGAGTTACCAGACAAAAAGTCGAAACTCTTGAAACTGTTTATTGTCTATCAATAGTAGTGCCCTACTAGTAGTCACTAATAGCAAATATACTTCATAATGTAGATTTATACCAACAAGCTCATAATGTGTACACTGTTATATTTGTTTTGAAAAAATACAGTCAAAACCTGTTTAGAAAGGAAAAGAAATGAAATGAATGGAGTTTAACGTCCTACTTTTCTGCACGTAATGGGCTAATGAAGACCTCTTTATGCAAGATACCATACAATAACAACTATTATACTCTTATTATAGATACTTTTTGAATATAGATTTTTACTGGAAATGATACTTTGTGCTAAAAATACCAGTATGCACAAATTTATTTCAAAAAATTAGTAATTAACTTTCATATCCTATTGTAGGCTAAATGAATGTAGGAATATAAATAAAATGAAATGAATGGAGTTTTATGTCCTACTCTTCTGCAGCTAATTGGGCTAATGAAAGAGCAACACAATACAGTGTGCCATGAGGGGAATTTTGCCAGAACATCATCATTTTTTTGCGATATACAACTGTAGAGGGATCTTTAACATGCATACCCTGTGCAGAGGACCTCGGTTTATTTTCCCATCCGAACTACTAGATGCTTTCCCTGTCAGCTCCAATCTGACGGGAGAAACCTCGTTGAAAAATCTAAAGGTATTATCTTGACTTGATTGAAGCTGTGACTTTCAGGTTAGCAGACAAGACTCTGACTCACTGTGGCTTCTTGAAGGAATATAAGACAGAGTTGTATGATTGAGTACCAACCAGTGTCACTTGTGTAACCAGTTAAAATACCACACATGCAATTTGAACTATTTTAATGTGCATGAACTTAAATAAGTCAATGGTTCACACAGCATCAATTTAACACACAATTGGAGGCAAGTTTAGTTTTATCAACATTTAGAATCAATTTCAAACCACTTGACTGAACGAGACATATTATCATCTTTAAACATATTCATAACTTTTGAATTCCAAGTTTTGAAGGATATATATTGATTCAAGCTGTTTTTCTGTGATTTTACGTGTAAGCCTATAGTAATCCTATGTAGTATATTTTACAAACTGCAGTAACATTGAAATGCTTATAATTAATTTCTATTAAGCCTTAACTGGTAATGGTTTTATGGTCCATGTGGTATTCCAAGCATATCTCTTTGAAATATCAGCTTATTGGTAAATAATTCTGTATCAACACTGATGAAAAATATTAAAAATTGATGACATGGGGTAATTATTATCAGACTTAATTAGCCAGATGAGACCAATAACAATGGGAATATCCAGGATGATTAAATATTGATAGATTACAATTATTAAGTTTTGAACACCTTTAATTTACATGATATTGAGTTTTAAATAAATTGCAACATTAATGAAGTCTGAAACATTTCTATTTGACTCTTTTCAACAATGGGCATTTGCTAGATAGTACAAAGGGGATCTCCGCCAGATACGCCTAATAGGGCAGATCGGCCATGATGTCATAGAGGTGGTTTGCTTATCACATGATGCGCAATTTTAACAGTTGTAAGAGTTGTTTGTCCTACCAATCGTCATACTCAAGTCATGCATGTGTTCTATTTTTAGCATATCACAGCTAAGCTTATTTCTCCTATTCTTCAAACAGTTGGTTTCAGAAAAAACTTTCAACTATGACTTGCTAAACATGAATTCATTGAGGAAGTATGTACACATGAACGCAGGAGATTCTATTTACCAAGCTTATAGTACACAATCGAGTACCGGTATTATGATTATGCAAATAATTGTTTTGATGTATGGCACATAATTAATTTGAAGGAAATCATTATCATCAACAACCTGGAAAAGGACATATGTAAGACTTGCAGAAAAAAAATATCAGCTTGATTGAAACAGCTCTGGATGCATTCTGATTATTGACACTTTCATTGCCAACTGCAGAGGTCGTGAATGCATGTGAATTATTTACCATTCTGTAGTTCCACAAACTTGTACAATTTTATAAATACAAACACTACCCAACCAGAAATTTCATGTGAAAATGATCCACCTTCCACATACCCAATTTTCAGACTGAGATTTTCGCTGAAATGTCAGTAAATTCATATTTTCCAGAATCATGAGCATAATAAATTTTTCAATGATGACATTTTCCTATTTTTCAAAAATATATATTTTCCTAAATTTTGAGGTTGATATCTAAATTCATACAAAATTAATTGCAAAATATGATTTTGTTTTTAAAAACGTAGTCAGTTGGCTAGGCCCTTTTTCTACTGTATTCACACATAGGCTACATTTCAGACTGTAACCTCAACCTGTCAGTTTGTAAATTTACAGACATACAATCTTCTAATTATTGTAACTAATCGAAATAATATACCGTCCAAAGTGCCACACATCACGACAGGCCATTGACACTTTAAAATTGCACAACAATTGGCAAAAAAATAATAAAGGCCAAGACTTAAAGTTACCAGTCTACCTACCTGTCAAAATTTTGCAGGTGCTTGTCTAATACAGCGCCCTCTTTCTGTGTGACGTAAATAAACAAAACAGACCGGCGCGTTCGAATCTTAGTTCTTCACACTTCCATTAACTTAAGCCAATTTTTTATGATGACAGTACCCTGGTATGTACTTGTCATTGCACCAAATTAATTTTTTTTGCGACACAAAATCGTGTCGTTGATATTGAAAATCTTTGTTAATTAAGCTTTAATATAAATAATAAATTGTATGGTGGCCTATGAATGCAATGAATCAATGATATACTCCTATCAGTTTTATGTAAGCATTTGTAACTGCGTTACAACAAAGCGAATAAAAAAAAGAACCAAACTTATCTATACTGTAGGCCTACCTATCTGGGATTCTGATGATAGCAATTCTGATAAATGTATCAGTAGACGTATGGTAATCAACAAGTGATTATTTATGTATGGTGGCCCAGTAGAGCCATAATTCACCTTAGCTTCTCCATAGTTTTACATCAAGTGATCGATAATACAAACTCCAATACTCTTATGGATGCTTAATTTCTTTTAATTCTGGAGTTAAACTCAATGCTTCTTCCATAGCCAATTTGTCCAAAATTGTAGGCTGCTTTAATCAATCAAAGGGAAGTAACCAAAAAAAAAAAAATTCATGTTCATCAAAATAATCCCACATCCAACTAGTTATGTCTAGTTCTAAGGCAAAATACCACAAATATTCTATTAATTTGTCTCGCATAGGCTCAAATCACAGATTTCTAAGATTTGGAATTACCAAAATTTATCATATAGCAGACTATTCAGACAATGTTTTTTCTCCTTGATTGAATTAGCTAATGCAAGTTAGATCTTAAACATAGAAGACATAAAAGACATATAATTCTGAATAAGACTAAGGACCATATATTATTCCAGGATCGGTTCCATACAAACTGAACTTAATAGGATGATTTGATTGAGGACCATATAATACACAGGGGCCAATGTCACTGAATCTGCTTGGTCAACCACTACCAGTACCCATTGATTTTAAATTTTCCTTGTTAAACAATCAGATAACTAATTTATTTAAAATCCATCAAACAAGGCTTAGAAAATAAAATATCTTATAAAAAATAAATAAAATATAAAAACTGATGAAGAATTCAAATCTATTTTTCAGCAAAGTTTTGATTTCAGTCCTTGATGTGTCCGCTTAATTGTCTCTCTTCTGAACTTTCAGTAAATATTTATGAAATTTAGAAGAATTCTTTTCATTATTCAGCAACATGTTTCTTACAGCTCGTGCTTCATCTAAGCCTTGCCAGTACATTTCTATCCAACCCATTTTCTTCCAGCTGAAAGAAAAAAACACTTCTTGAAAAACTATTTTTCAGAAGGCCAAGATAATAAAAGTTCCATCGCAGATTGAAAGAAGATGGAAGTAGATCAGAATTTAGGTAAAGGAACCAATATATAATTTTATAACATCGTAATATTGGTATACATTGAGTCCTATAGGCTAAGTACCTGTCGGAATAGCCAGTCTCTTCACAACAGATTTTTATAGAATTTTAATATGTTAATACGAAACTGGTTAATTTCAAATTTTCACTCATATGATTTTTTATTTTTATCATGAGCCAAATAGGACCCATAGTCAGTTTTCATTACATTATGATATTCCTTCGTAAAATGACACAAAGAATATTTCTAGAAATGATCAATAGTAATTTCTATACACAATATATGAGAAATTATGGCTGAATGATCTCTTTCATTGCTTCATTCCAATACAAACATGTTACATAGTGTGATTTTTCATATCAAATACTTATACAAGTGTTACTGACCTATCTTTTCTGTCAGATATATCTTCTGGAGTACCAAGAGAAGTAAATGGTTGTGGACATCCTAGATGAGAAGCATTGGCCATTTTAGGTGGTAACAATTCAACATCTGGATTCAGATTATGTTCTTTTTCATTTTCATATCTCTCTGTTACTTTATCACATAAATAGCATTCAAAAGCAGGGAAAAACTCCATATTTCCAGCACGACTAACTTGCCATTTTCTTTTGTTAAGATGTTCCTGTAGGTTTTTGTTTGTTATACCATCTTTTTTAAATGTGAGATATTTTTCATATTCTTCATCATTTTCATCTAAATATTGAATAAACTCAGCTAACTGTTCAGGAGATGTAAAATCATCTACCATTATCACAGAATGATTATTTGGCATCCAGTCTACAGCATCAGGTGATCCTCTGTAAATAGGTACAGAGCCTACATGCAGAGGTCTCATTAACTTTTCAGTCATATAGTCTTTACATATGGCATTTTCAAAAGCCAAATGGAATTTGTAGGACGATATAAGTTCCAGGAATTCATCGATTTCATAATTTGGTACTGGATCTTGGAGATGTGGAGGTAAATCTTTATTATGAAGACATTCACCATAGGAATCAATATCTATATATTTCATTAATTCTGCTACATATCTATCTCTATCTGATGGAACCTCACAATGGGTCTGAACATATAAAATTGGTGCCAATTTCTCTTTTTTCCTCTTTTCATTTTTGACAGCAAGTGGAATCGGTTTTCTTTCAGTAAAAAAATGTGGATGATAAATATTTTGAGTTGTTAAAGGAAAATCGGAATGTCTGCTAAAAGTTGCTGTATGATTTATCAATTTGAGAAATACGTCATGACTTAATATATAGTTATTCAATGGTGATTCCTCGTGAAACAAAGCCCATTCATGGTGAGAATATCTAGGTAATGGTAAATCAGAGGGTTCAATATCTGTACCATAAAACATAACACCTCTTGTTCTAGGATCTGAGAGATATTTTCTCTGGAATGATGAGTAACATTTAACATTTCCACAATCAACTAAAGACAGATCTGCATTGGTATGAGGATAGATTTGCTTCGTCCACCACATAATCAGTGGTATTTGTAAATTACGATTTTTAGGATGAGGATTAGAGTGATAATTGGCATCACTACTGGCATCAAAAACTTGTGTATATACTGAATGGTTGATGTCTTCATCATGCTCAGATTCATCATGTATACAGTTGATAGTTGTTATATATAGAACATATATAAGATAAAACACACTGCTTTCATAATACTTCATTTTAATTTGATCACAGCTAAGCTAATAATACTATTTGGTATTAAGATTGGTCAGGACCTGAAATATAAAGCACTGCATTATTTTCACTAAGTAAAAACTTCTGTCAGATTACTTTTAAATTGGTAAATCAAACTTTGTCGACTATTGGAATATAAGTTTCAAAATAGTGTTGGCAGTGTTTTAAGTGAAAATAACTGAAAATGGAGAAAAGCAAGTTTGTGCTTTGTTCCTACATATAGACATATGGCAAGAGTCAACTGGCATTTTACACCAACCTTTTCAGCTAAGTGAGAATGATATGACACTTTCGATAATACCGAACATTTCTGACAGTATACAGTTCTATGTACCGAATGCCTTTTCAGAGAGTGACATTTCGTTTATTATGAATAATAGCATAGGGAACGTGAGATAGAAGTGAAATGAAATTAGTACATGGCAATATTGTGGTTTCTTGTCAATATTTTTCCATTTTTTTAGTAAAATTCTGGAACTGTATTATTTTTTGTTTACATGCATTTTGTCTACTTCCTGTAGACGTGGCATCAATGCGCAGAACCGGAAGCACAAGTCGGTTATCCGTACGTGGCAAAAAGTACGGTGTGAAATTTTACTTTTAATATTGTCCACAAACTAGCTTATAATTCATTCTTTTGGTTAAAAATTGTAATTTCTTAACAGGTAAATATGTCTTGATTAAATGTTGCCAGTTTTAAGGTTAATGCCAATAATTGGATAGAGTTTACGATGGGTTTCTGTTGTTGTGGTATGCGTGTCAGAACAGCGATTGATGAACAGACATGGTCAGAAATTTGTAAAAAATTCATAACAACACATACTGAGGTTTGAAATTCAATTCCTTCCTTGTTTCAAGGATGGGTATGTGTTCACATTGTCATTGTCAAAAGTAATCCATTGCTGTACTTAGTGTAGAAAAGAATAACTACACCACACTGATTATATTAACATTGGATTTGGGAATGGCATAGGCCCTAATCCAAATGACAAAATTTGACTAGGCCCACTCAATGAATCAATGAGTTGATATCTTGAGATCTACTATGTTATATAATATGATAAACCGTAGATAAATCTCTCTGTCCTTGATGATTTTTGTTCATTTCAAATTTACCGGTATGAAATATGAATACCGGTACGGAGATCTAATTTCATGTACTAAGCCCTAGACCTACATATAAAGAACATATAACATAATTACATATTACATTATGCCTTTATGGTACTGCTATGCTAGTTAATGATATTGCTGATAGGGGAAATTAAGACCTTTCTTAAACAATACAATAACTTTCTAAGATCTACATAATTTTGAAATATGTGGCCCATTTTCCAGAAGTAGAGTAGAAAGTGAGTTTTGAATAGATCCACACAACTTTTATAAGCTTACCTAATCCGTACAAACTAAACAGCTATGGTAGTTCTACCACTCGTCCACTTAATTAACAAGAGCTTATGTTTGCCTGTGATGTATGTACCTAAAGGAACAGATGCACCGTATTTTTGAACAATCGTAAAGTATCACCTTATATGAATAGAAAGTTTCATCCTCTATTTGATTTTTTTATTATTATTTAGATGTGGTTTTCCATTAACATATTGAATATTAACATTAAAGAATGAGTTCCCAATATCCAGGGAGTTATGGACAACCCCCTCAAGGTGGCTATGGAGGACCACCATCAGGACCCCCTGGTCAGAATTTTAATAAACCTCCAGGTAATAAGTTAAAGAAAACGACTTTTTAAATATACGTAAGCTTATGTATCTTTATGGAGCTTCCTGATCATTTCTTCATAAAACAATGAAATGTAAATTATCTTCATGCATCCATGATGAAACATTTGGTTTGTATGGTTGCAGACATTTCTATTTTTGAGTGCTTAGAATGAATTAATATTTTTACTATTTATTGATTGATTTTGAAGTGCCCTATGATATTTTTGATGGTCAGTTGATTAGATATGTTTGATTTGTAGGCCAATTCACACCAAATCCAGGAGTTAAACCTGGTATGTTTAATCCAAATATGGTTCAAAATGGTCCACAGGGCGGTGTGCCACCAGGTCCTCAAGGTGATACAAGATATGGCCCTCCATCAGGACCAAGGTAAGTTTCAACTATTGCTTGATAATAAGTTTTAGATCGAGTGCATTTAGTATAATCCCACTTTTCATGAGATGTGTTTGTTTGGGGCTGAAGTCTGACGAGGAAGGAATAATGTCTCCATGGAGAATTCAAGGGTGTAAGAGAATATAGACCACGAGTGCCATAGTTTTATGACCATTCTAGTATAGTTGTGTAATAATTTGTTTTGCTTTTTGTAGAGGTCCAGTTCCAGGACAACCTCCAGTGGGTACATTTAATGGAGTAGGTGGTGCCCCTCCACAAAGAGGTCCTCCACCACCAGGCAACATGCCACCCAATTCACAGCCTCCTAATGCACAGGTGAGTGTGTTAAGTTTATTCATTTCTGTAAGCTTTTATATTCTAACTAAATGTAAAAAAAGAAATCCAAAAAGTTCTCTGGACATCATAAAGGACAGGTATGCCATCTGTTTGACCAATCGTACCTTAGTCAAAGAAACCATGTGTGTCATTCAAGATTCGCATTGGTGACAAAAATTGGCGACAAAGACTGTTTGTGTGCCTGTAGCTTTGAATGGCGACTTGTCTTTAATTAGACTCCACAATATTAAACTACATAAATAGATATAGAAAGTGAAACTTCTGGTTCTAGTATATATGAAGGGATAATGCCACTTTCAAGCAGTTGTAGTACTTCTGAAGACTATTTACATATATTCAAAACCAAAATCAACCCACAAAAAAGGTGAACAATGGCCTTTAAGAATATGTATTGATACCTAATTGTTCACTTAATTTTTTCAGTTTTCTGGAATGAAGATAAATGATGGTCCTCCCAGTCAAAGTTTTCCTCCTCCTACTAGTAATACATCACCACCCATGGGTCAGCTCCCCAATATGGGAGGAATGAGACCACCAGCACAAGGAATGCCAAATGCACCTCCACAGAGAATGGGAGGCCCTCCAACTAGTATGGCACCACAATATGGAATGGGACCCCCTACTGGTGGCATGGGCCCTCCACCGCCAAGCATGAACCAGATGGGACCTCCACCAACAAGCATAAACCAAATGGGGTCTACACCATCAAGCATGGGCCCTCCACCATCCAGCACAGGACCCCCAGGCAGTGGCTTTGGTCAACCACCCAACAATATGGGACCTCCTTCTAGTATGGGACAGCCACCATTCGGCCCTCCATCAAATATGGGTCAGCCACAGCACAGAATGGGTCCTCCACAAGGTAACATGGGCCCACCACCAACAAGTATGGGTCAGGCTCCTAATAGCATGGGATCTCCACCCGGTCAAACTCAACCAAACAGCATGGGGATGACACAACCCCCAAACATGGGTCATCAGAGCGTTGGTCCACCAGGTTCTCAAACGATGGGAATGCCTCCTCAACAACCAGGGTTTTATCAACAGACACCAGGGCCTGGAGGATTTCCACCACCACCTGGGCATGGTCCACCACCAACCAGTATGGGTGGTATGGGAACTGTACCACCTCCTTCTAGTCAGTATAATTCATTTGGTGGTGGTGCTCCACCACAGCCTGATCAATTTGGTCAACCATCATATAATCAGTACAGTAATCAGAGACCAGCACCTCAACCACAACAGCCAAGAAAATTAGATCCTGATCAAATGCCTAGTCCTGTAAGTCTGATTTCATATTTTCTGAAGTTGATTTTGTTTTATTTTATTTTGTTTCCAATAATAGATCATTGTGAATATATGATAAAAATACCATATAATGTGTGCATTTCTTTACAGATTCAAGTAATAGAAGAAGACAGGAGAAATAGGGAGGAATTATTTGTAACAAATGCTAGAGGTGCTGTACCACCATTAGTTTCAACAGATTTTTCAGTACAGGATCAAGGTGTGTAATTAAATCAGACTATGAGAAAACTGGTAAAGATTATAACTATATCTGTGCCTGTCTCTTTAAGGTGATTTAAGTCTATATTGTGAGTTACTGATAATGAAGTTTTGATGAAAATATATTTTATAATTACAGGCAATTGTAATCCGAGATTTATGAGATCTACTATGTATAATATACCTTGTACATCAGATATAATAAAAAATAGTCATATACCATTCTCTCTAACCATCACACCCTTTGCTAAATTAAAGCCTCAAGAAGTAAGTATTTTTCCTTTTATACCATATTTCCTCTATACTCTGAAGGAAAGAGCAACCTTTGTTTCTGATATTTTATATACTCTCATTATGTGAAAGCATTACAAACACTATGTTCTTCCTCATTCAAAAGTGGAATTTTTCAGTAGATGAAATTTCTCTGATTGCCCCTTTTTGGAATATATGATATTGAAATATAGAATTCTCTCTGGAATCCATGGCTTCTTATCTTATAGATTAAGTTTCTCAATCCAATTTTCTATGATTAGCCAAAATTAGAATCAAATCAAATTGTTTTTTTTAAGAGTTTTTTGCCAACTCTAGAAATATACAGCAGTTCAGCATAACCTAAATATGTCTAATAGAAAACTTCTACAAAAATGTTATGAAATGCAAATCAAAGTCTAATTTGAACCCTGTCTTGCTTAGTTATTTATCATGTAATATTGATATTTTAAGCATGGTTTCTGTGATATACTTACATTATGTTTGATATGTGTTATTTCAGCCGGCACCACCCTTAGTAGATTTTGGGGAACTAGGTCCAGTAAGATGTAAAAGATGTAAGGCTTATATCAATCCACATATGCAATTTATAGATGGTGGTAGAAGATTTCAATGTGTATATTGTGGATGTGCTACTGATGGTAAGATTTTTCTACAATTTCAATTCTTTTAATTAGTCACATGGTTAGAGAAATATTATAGGTCAAAATGCAACTGAGATACTTTTGCTGGTCAAAACCACCAAGTTTGATGAAATATCTGCAATCATTTCGTTTTAAGTTAGGTTCTGGAGCATGCTTTGTGGCCCTTGTATGTTATGATTTCATAATTCTCCATGGTTGTTTACTTATTTACAATAGTTTTCATTTTCTTCTTTACTATTTACATTTATGATTTCAGTATATAATATTTTGTTTATTTTGGCATTTCAGTACCAAATGAATATTTTGCCCATTTAGACCACACTGGACGTCGTACTGATTGTTATAATAGAGCTGAACTATGTTTAGGTTCATATGAAATGACTGCTACCAAAGATTACTGTAAGGTTAGTATTTTCTGTACATAACTTCAAATTGAAGGCTTTTTTCCAAAAAATTTTCTATATTATTATCATTGAATGATGATATCAGTGTGATGCATTTCCTTACAGAACGGGGAATAGCAGTGGCACAGTTAGCTTTCTCGCTAACCTGCAGGTCCAGGATTCAATCCTAGCATAGGTCAAAATAGTACCTTTGATTTTCAATCTGATTTCTTCCACTCAGTGATGTATGTTGATGGAGGTGTGCTACAAACTTTTAAATCGAGAAAGAGTACGCTTTTTGCACACTCTATGGGGTTGTCTGTCTTCATGAGCACAATCAGGAGCAGGAAAGTAGGATGTTAATATCCTCTTCATTTCATTTTCTTTTCAGAATGGTGTGGAGCCAAAAGAACCAGCTTTTATATTTTTAATTGATGTATCATATAACAGTGTTAAAAGTGGTTTGGTACAACTGATCTGTGAAAGATTAAAAGATGATATTCTGGTTAATTTACCCAAGTAAGTTAACTTGATTGTTTGTCACATGTCTCATATTTTTTTTTCATTTAATTGACTTCAGTTGAATTTTTGTAAGGCAAATATTTCAGGACTTCTTTGTATGAAGACTGTATATTGAAATTTCTGCATAGAACAGAAAGTATAATTAAAGGTCTAACATTAGAATATTTTATGATTATAGAGAAGAAGGTGTAGAAGAATCAGAAATAAGAGTAGGTTTTGCTACCTATGGTAAAGAATTACACTTCTATAATGTTAAAGTATGTATATAGATTTTTTTTTAAATTATTACTATTAAGTCAATGAATTTGCTTTATTAAAGGGGTTGTTAAGAGGTATTGGGGACACTGAAAGCATCAATTTGCACTATTCTAATTTTCAATCAGGCATCTGTGGTTCATGCAATTCCACTATAACTAAGCGTATTATGTCATGCAAAATCTGCTTATATTATCGAGGGCCTTTGTGATAGCTACATTAGGGCCTGTGCCTGTTTCTTTTAAATATATGTATATAATATATAATCTCCTATATTGCCAAATTTTTGCATACTGATGAAATGCATGTGTTTTATTCAATGATAATTATTATATTTGTATCAAATATTTCTATTATGTTGTTTATAGGGGGCATTAGCTCAACCTCAGATGTTGGTGGTATCGGATTTAGAAGATGTATTTGTACCCTTATTAGATGGTTTCTTAGTCAAATTATCAGAATCAGCAGCAGTTATTGACAGGTTAGTTTATAATGTTTTAAATGAATTTTACCCACTGTTAGTATGTTCAGGTATTACAAACTTGGATCTCATGCTTTGATATCATTAGACACATTACACAGATGAACTCTTAAAGGTTTGCTGTCCAACTCTCTAGGCCAGCTCTCAAAATCATCTGTTGGATCCTGTGGCCGACTGTTGAAAGCAATGGCACAAGCATATGATTTTTCTTACCTTAAGGAGGATTCAAACCTATGACACCTAATCAACTAGCACTACTGACTGAGCTACTCCACTGGATCCTGTGGATAGAGTTAGAGTTTCTCAAGTCTTATCCTAGTCATGCTTGTTAGACTGTTACAATTCAAGCTTGTCCCTCAAGAATTTAAAATTAGTGAGTTATTGCCTAAGCTTATACAATATATATTTCCCATTTCAGTTTATTAGCACAGATACCACAGATGTTTGCTGAATCACGTGAAACAGAATTAGTATTAGGACCAGTAATACAGGCTGGATTAGATGCTCTGAAATCAGCCGAGAGATCTGGTAAATTGTTTATATTTCATACATCATTACCTATAGCTGAAGCACCTGGTAAATTAAAGAACAGAGATGATAGAAAACTACTTGGTACTGATAAAGAGAAGGTATGTACAGAGTTTCATTTGGGTGGCACAATGGCTCAGTGAGTTGGACGCTTGCTTGCTAAACCGAAATCCCAGAATTTAATCCCTGCATAAATCAAGACTCCATGTCCTAGAGTTTCTGCCAATAGATTCTTCAACTGTTGGAAATCGAAGAAAAGATTTTTGTCATTAGCACTTCATTGCATCACACGTCTTCATTAACTCAAACCGGTGTAGAAAAGTAGGATGTAAAACTCCATTCATTACATTTTCTATCAAGACTTTCAAAAATCTTCACATGACATTCTTATTTAAACTTGAATTAAAATGTGATATGAACTTTTTCATTTCAGACACTACTCTCACCACAGAATAATTTCTATACTAAATTAGGACAGGAATGTGTAGCTGCTGGGTGCTGTGTGGAATTATTTTTATTCCCCAATTCTTATCTAGATATAGCTAGTATTGGAGAAGTCTGTCGTCTAACTGGTGGAAATATGTATAAGTATAGTTATTTTCAGGTAATTATGTTTTTATAATGTTTCATATTACAATAGCTAAATATCTTCATTGTAACAATAGTGCTTGATACAGTTAAGGGATATTAAAACAGAACCTGAAACATGTTGTTTGGATATTTTATTGAGTTCATTTTTAATGCTACTTCCATCCCAAAATTGTCCATTTTATATCTTTTTCATCATGATATTTCCACACAGAAAGACAAAATGTAGAGAGTCTTGCTAGCTAGCATAAGAGCTTGATAAGAATATGCTATGTTGTATTATTATTATGAATAATTTATGAACAGGCTGATATTGATGGTGACAGATTTTTAGAAGATTTATCACGTCAAGTTAAACATTCTTCAGCATTTGATGTTATATTGAGAGTTCGTACTAGTACAGGTATTTAACTTTATAATTCCTTTATCACGTCTTACTTTATAGTTTCCTTCTGTCAGTGATGCAAGTAAGAGGGGCTGACATTGAAAAAGCGTCTAGTCATTCAGATGATACAATAAACCAAGGCACTACAGAATATGCACATGAAAGATCCCTCAGAGTAGGCTAATGCCACAATCCTGACAAAATTTCCCTCATAGCACGCTTCATTAGCCCAAACAGATGCAGAAAACTTAAGATAGGTTAGATATAGTCCATATTGACCTTAAGCTCACACATCTCTTTAAGAAAACATGCTTTCTTACAGGTATACGACCAGTAGATTTCTATGGTAATTTCTATATGGCTAATACAACAGATGTAGAATTAGCTGCTCTAGACTGTGATCAAGCTATTAATGTGGAAATCAAACATGACGATAAACTATCAGAAACAGATGGTGCTTATGTACAGGTAAGGTTGTGGATAAACATCATTATAGTATTGTATTTTAGTCTAATATGTAATCTAGGACCGTTTGCATGTAGGGAAAGACATTTTCTTTTTTTCATTATAAATTAATGATCTTGTCCATGTTTATCTGAAAATCTCGGAAACATTTCAAGAGGATATGTTGAAAAGCTCAGATGATAATAACATACATGGATTACAAATTTGATAACATCAATATTAAACTAAGGCTTACATCCACTTCAGTATCATGCATTTGGTTAAAATAGGTTCTAGAGTGTTATCATGGAAATATGAAGGGGCAGACAAATAGACATGGATGTCGACTATATACGTCCACATAAAAAGATAGCATTAATAAATTGTATTTTATTACAGGTTGCTGTATTATTTACCAGTGTAAGTGGACAGAGAAGATTGAGAATACATAATTTATCATTTAATTGTTGTACACAGATGGCTGATTTATTCCGTAGCTGTGAACTTGATACATTAGTCAACTATTTCTCTAAACAAGGTACAATATTTACAAAAATATATTAACAAAAAATTCAACATTTTATTCTCTTGAACCACTGTTTTATCAGATATACTAATACACAGAAATTTTATGGCAAAGCAATGAACCAAAGGGTAATTGAATCTTCTAGATTAGTTGGTTGGTAGATGAAAAGTTAACATCTGCTCCCAGACAACAGACTTAAGATCCTTCTAGTCCATTAGACTCCAAATATAATATGTGCAGAGAATTTAATGATTGTTTAGATTAAATATGTTTGACATGATAAAATAAAATGCATTTAGACATTGGATCAAATGAAACTATGTTGAAAAAATTGAAAATTTGACATAAACAATTACAACAATATGAAAGGTTTGAATGATTTTGTGATCAATCCCCCTTGATTTCTATTTTTAGCTATAAGAAATATATTAAACACCAACCCTAAACAGGTGCGAGAACATATAATGAACGAGGTATCACAGATATTAGCCTGTTATAGAAAGAATTGTGCTAATCCCTCATCAGCCGGTCAGTTAATACTGCCAGAGTGTATGAAGTTATTACCACTATATGGTAACTGTGTTATTAAAAATGATGGTATACAAGGAGGTATGTACAACTTATAACTTCTATCATAGCTAAATGGACTTCTTCAAAAGGGATATCTCTTTCTCCCCTTAAGTGATGCAGATTTGGAGTAGCTGACATGGAGATAAACTGAGACCTTATATGCTACAGGATGTGTATGTTGAAAATCTGCAACTGTTGAAATTGAAAACTGATGTGGTTTCCAGGCAAAATGTGCCATATTGCACTTATTAGCCCATACAAGGTGTTGAAAAATAGGTTATAAATCCTCTTTTGAAATTTCTTTCCACTGTTTTGTTTTTCATGGCCTGTCCTAGAATTTTGTATGTATTTTGTATATTTTAGGTTCAGAAATATCTACAGATGATAGAAGTTATCTAACACATCTCATTAACAGTATGTCTGTAGAATCTTCTAGTGTATTCTTCTATCCTAGACTCTTACCATTGGTACGTATGAACACTGGCTTCTTGCTAAAGCTTATCTTAATTTGCAGACACAAATTGTAAATGGAGGTCAAGAGCAAACTGACAAAAAAAGGTTGGTACCAACCAACAGATCTTTTATGCAGGGAGCAGTAAAAAGTAGTATATTTTGGCTCGAGAATATGGTGGGCTAAATTACAAATTTACTTGATCTACAAACACCAAATGAGTGAAGCCATTATACCAATTTTTTCTATATTTGATAATTTCAGCATACATTAGATCCTGATACTAAAGAGTTTCCATCAGCTATAAGATGTTCTACAGAAAGATTACAAGATGATGGTGTATATCTATTAGGTAGCTTATTCTAAAATCACTCTTTTATCTAACTTTGAAACACTCTTTTAAATATTTGTTTAATGTCTAGTTTGAATTAATTAGAAAGAGTTAGAACTGTAATCACTATCAATGCTACAGACTGTAGGTAAGATCCCTTGACATTTGGAAATCCAAAAGAGTAAGCTGTTAATGAGTTCAGTACCAATAAGTTGGCCTGTTAACCAGTTGGTAGAACAGAACCATGAGAATTGAGCTGTCCTTAGCTGGATGTTTTTTTTATTTAAAGAATTAAATATTATTTTATCTTGTAGAAAATGGACTATCAATGTTTATGTGGATTGGTCATAATGTGTCTAGTAAATGGGTATCTAGTGTATTTGGTGTAAATAGTGCTGCCCAAATTGACATTGATAAGGTACGATTTGTTCTTCAAAAATATAATGTAAACAACAGTGAGACAACAAAGCGAAAGATAAAAATCATTTAAATTTATAAAGTGGTACATTCGTTGTGACTTTAAATATAAAGTTGTTTTTTTTGTATTTAACTCAGCTGTTAGATCTGAACTAATCTGAAGAAAAAGAAATTAGTTTCACTGAGTGTAATAGTCAGACTTTTGGTAATTAATTTTTTTTTTTATATTGATAGGGTCAGTTACTAGCTCTAGATAATCCTGTTTCACATCGAGTTATGGAAATTATATCAGAGATTAGAAATGAAAGACATAGATATCTGAAGGTAAGTAAATCAAAGAACAGAGAGGTTTAATATTAAACACATGTAATTGAAACTAGCACAGCATCTAGCACAGGAAGTTATCTAAGAAAAATTCATACCATACTTATGGACAAATGTTTTCTCATCAAATCAAATGCACTATGGGACTATCACATTGCCAACCTCAAGAATAAAGATAACTGGCTACGACCAACAGTTCGCTTGCATGTATTAAAGTTTCTTCATTTAATTTGTTATTATATTAAATTTTCAGTTAACTATTGTAAGACAGAGAGACAAGTTAGAATCCTGGTTCAATCATTTCTTAGTAGAGGATAAAGGATTAAATGGAAGTGCCTCTTATGTTGATTTTCTGTGTCATATACATAAAGAAATACGTAATATTCTCAGTTAAAATACTGGTGCTGAATTTATTTCAATAACTATTATTAATACGGTCATTGTGTCAATAATAATATATAATATAGGTGAAAGTAATAACAGCTAATTAAAGTAATAGTCAGAAAGGACTATTTTGGACTTAATGACAAAAAAGGAGCAATATTGAATAATATTAACAATAGGCCTGGCATGAAACATGTTGCAATGTTCACAGTTGTTCTCAACCTTTCTCTGTGGCCAACTATATGCTGGACATGACTTTACTGGCTAAATTTTAACTGTAACATCATTAAAGGTGCAGTAAAGAGATTTTTAATTTTTTATGTGTATCAGGGGCTTTATTCTCAAAATCTGTCTTAAAACAAATTAAAATCCAAATTTTAATACAGAAATCAGATTGGATGATAGAACTAAAGTCAATATCAGTGATTGGCCAATCAAAGGATAACGATCACTTAAGCCTTCAGAAGTTCAGTTTTGGAGACAGTAAGTAACATAATTTCAATTTTCCTAGAAAGGCTTAACTATATGTGAAGTCTATTGCAAACTCTGCCAAAAATAGGAGTGTTCCTGATACACATAAAAAGTTTAGAAAGCCTCTTTACAATCCCTTTAACATATTTTCAACCCCATTCATAATGGTAATATGATTGAATAGATTCAATTAACATGTGTCAAATTTATGGAAAGGTTTATTGCAATCCTTGCCAATGTTAAATACTGTAGATAAACTATATTTGCTAAATGATTTTATGTTGTTTTTGTTATGTATATATGTAAATTTTGATTGTGTGTTATAACTCTCTAAACATTTTTCTTTTAGTTACAATAACTATATATGTATTTATTATAATTAAGTTTCATGGCTTGGATATATCTCATTTCATCTACCTTGTTTTTGGTTAGAAACTTCAAATTTTATCATTACTGTAGAATTCTTTCTGATTTAGCATGGTACAAAGTTCATTGCTAATGTTCTATTCATTTATGTGAATAAAAATAATCTGAAATGATCATCTTGATGTCTCACTTTTATTCCCCACATTATCAAGTAATTTGCCCATTTTAGGGTGTTCACATTGGACATTTTTCTTGACGCTGAAAATGCAATTTGATTGGATTGTTCGCTGACAAATACAGCCAATCAGATCTCTCGACAGATAAACAATTTGGCTGGGCATCTCCGCCATTAGTTCTCATCTGCCATTATAGAGGCCATCTTTATTGTGCCATTTATAACTCTAACAGTAGATCATAATATTGACACGAGACTCTTGTACAATTAATATTACCTGATGTTTATAATGTTCCTAAGTCTCTCATCAATTGTAATTGTACAGAATGATAAGAAACAAATATAGATGTAAAATGTATTTTTGTACAAATTATAATGTTGCAAGTAGTTTACAAAATAAAATCATTAAAATGTTTTCAAATAAATACATAAATACAACATCTAATTCACATATCTTCAATTAAAATATGAATGGAATTTTCACCCACGCCATGATCAGCTTATTAATAAAATAAATTTGATTCCAAGTTAATAATATATAGAAATAATGCCGTCACCAACAACTTAAAAATCTTGATATCCTAATGTTAGCCAGTAAGAAAAATTGTATCTGATTGTAAAAAGTGAGGATGCAGAAACACTAAATTGATACTGTTTCAATCTAAACTTTTATCAAGGTATGACAACGTTGATCTCTTCAAACCAAATCCAATATTATCAAAATGATGATGAAATCTGAAAAATAAAACCATCACATAATAATTTACTCCACCAACCTGAGCAATTTGTGTCCTTGTTCAAATTTCTGCGACCTGAATAAGTTTTTTTTGACTTAAGCAATGGACAAGCACAAATTCTGGACTATTAATATTTATGTCTGACAACTGGCGTGAGAAGTGCTATGGAAAGCTGAAATTGAGCTCTTATCAGCATGCATAGCAAATATTTTAACAACTGTACCCGTTTAACAAAAGAACTGAAAATATTGATAAGCTCATACCTTCTTTTAGCCTTTTCTATTTTTTTAAGACATTCAGTTTGATGTATGGTACGAAGATAAGGTATATAGTCTAGAGAAACATTACGTCTAGCAGAGGAAGGAGGTAGTGTTGATATTATATTATCATGAGCTTCACTAATACCCTTTTCATGTTTCCTATAATAACAAATACATATACAGTCTTCAAAACAGTGTTAAAGGGACAGATTCACCATTTTCAAGGGTTGATTTAGGTCTCGAATATGTATGACTAGAGGGTACACTAGGAATTTGTCTTTATATATGTCTTTTCTACATATGGCAGCATCTCAAGAAACGACAAGTCATCATATGTGGATAATTTTGGATACACATGGATTCAAACAGTGAGATATGGAAATTATTACTGATTAGCTTAGATAAAAATTTCACTTTTCTGACACTAATGAATGATTTGTCAAATGGATGGTGAAACTGTCACTTTAAGCTTCAAAGGCATGGGTAATTCACTGCATTGCTTCCAGACAAATGAAAATTGTATTTCAGTGATAAAATTTAATCTCATGAATTAATATCATAAATGACCTTTATAGATCATAATAAGTAAAATCTTAGTAGTTAAGAAGTGGGTGGAGGGAGCTTTATAATCTAACTCTACCTGTCAGTCAAAATGTCACATAATTGTGAAATTCTTAACAAGTGAGCCACTTACCCCATGCTGATTGAATGAAAAAGTGAATTAGGTTCTTAATAAATATGTATTCAGTTAATAAAACACTCAACACGCCAATTTTCGACTCAATAATTTTTGTTGAGAAAATTATTATTTTCAGCTTACTTCTTTTCCAAATAGGTATCTATTACTAGTGACTAAATGGTTGTCAAAGATATCAATGGGTATTCAAAAACATAAGATCTACAGCAGTTATAAATATTTACCTGTGTTTGTGTGAAACTTGAAATTTAGTAGCACCATTTTCAACTGGTAATGATAGTTTATCTAGAAAGCTTTCATCATGTTTGGTATTCTTCTTCTCTATATCTAGATATATATCTTGTATTTCTTCACATAGCATCTGACAACTTCTAGCTTCAATATGGTTCATAATGTCTGTATGACTATTATGTAACCAGCTATAGGAATTCTGATACGTCGTTTGTACATCGATTAACGAAGGCTCATGAACGTCTTTAATCCGGGTGGTGTGAACGGGATTATCTAAATCTTTCAGATTAAAACTAGTCTGTAGATTATCTAATAAACACATATTATCATAGTACGTCGAAAAACTTGATAAACATTTTGAAATATATCGTTTTTCTTTTTTACTTTCATTAGATTTAGGCCGACTCTGTTTTTTGACAGTTTCTGGAGGTTCGTTGTTTGATGTTTCACTATCATAATCTTCGCTATCTAAGATACGTCTATGTTTTATAACTGTAGAGTTAACAGGTGTAGGTTTATATTTAGTCAGACATGTTTGAGGTAAGGGAACTAGATGTAATATATTATGATGTAAGAGATTAAACCGTAATGTCCGTAATAATTCACAGCAATATAATGTAGAATTCAATTTTTCCACACTAAAATTTTCCTGAAAAAAAAAAAAATAATATTACAGATTTAAAAATGTTTAAGTTCAACATTATCTGATGAATATAAAAAAGATCATAACTAACTCATGGTGGTTAGCACAGCACATCTTCACAATGTCAAGCTATTACGAACTTTATACAGCAACAGTCACCTTTCTTATACCATGAAAGTTTGTTCAACATAGTATACTTAAGACTTACCTGAAGAAAAGATGATACATGTGTATCAATACACGTATGTAATTTATTAGTTAAGCCTAATACAGATTCAAAACATAAACTATGTATCAATGGTGTATCTTTATCCACTGTTGAACTATTGGATTCATCATCATCTAGAATTCTACGATTAGATCTAGGTTTAGATTGTACAAAGTCTTCTTCATCTGAATCTATATGATGAGATGTAATAGTGTTTCCAGCTGATTTTATTTTATGTTGATATTGATGTTGTATAGGACTAGCACCACTCTCTAACCAGAGCTGTACAGCTAATATACATCTTCTAACATCATTATTATAATACCGTACTAAATATAATAAATCTTTATATTGACACCGCACTCCCTCTACTAAACATATAGTCTGCAGATGACTTGCTATTAATCTCTAAAAGTATAATATGAAAAACGTAAATAAAAATGAAATGATTTTCTACACCTGAATAAGTTTATAAAACTAGCAACATTATGAAGTATGCAATAAAGTAAATTTTGCATTTTCAGCTTCAATTTCTATCAACAGTCAACTTCTATCAAGCTTAGGCTATTAACTCATCATAAAAAGACTACATAAATACTTATTCCAATCTCATCCACTAAGCTTGAACTTTCTGTTTAAAAACGTTGAATATCTTACCTGTGTTGGAGGATAAAACTGTATAATTTCTAATCTAGCTTGGATTAAATTAGCTACATTTTTATTAGTTGTAGTTAAAATAATAGGAATCTTAGTTGTACTCATAAAATACTGTATAGCTGACATAAAACCTTGGTCTTTATCAAACACTAGATCTACCTAAAAAAATACATAAAATATATAATCATGATAATGTATATATTCAACTTAAATGCAATGAGAATTGTAACTCTAGAATAATGAAGAGATTAGTCAAACCATCAAGGTAAATATCAATACTATGTTTTGTTTCATGTTTTTTCTGTAGGTTACTTACTACACTTGATATTCATGATCTGACAAGATTCCTGCTCTGTGGAATTTTATATTATAACATCAAAAGTTGGCATAACCAATCAAAACACTGTTAAAAATGGCAACACAATATTTTTAGATAAGAAAATTGTTTTTCTACACCACAGCATTTGATTGGTTGAATAATAAAAGACCTAGAACAAGAGATAAATAAAATTTTCGTCTGATCATGGATGGCAAGTGGAGTTATCTGAAATTTTTTAGAATTGCATTTTAATGAGTTTGTTGTAAATTCTTAATTCAAAAGATACCAATATAAATATATATATATATATACCTCATCGAATAAGATAACAGATGTAGATGTTAAATTTAAACCACCAGCTTGATTAGAATCATCTTTATGGTATAACTGACTCATTCTTTCTAAATGATCATCAACATCAATCTTCTTCTTAGCTTTCTTTTCAACTTGACTTTCTGAAATTATCATTTTATTTTAGAGTTACATTATATTTTTCTATTCAATGCATCATACATCATTCTGATTAGGGGAAATTCTAAAAGGGAAATATAACCATAACAAACTTTATAATGACAGCTATTTTATGAATGCACCATAATTTCCCTTGAATCACACAACTATAGTCTGAAGGAATTCCACATGGTGATAGACTCAGTAAAGACCCATTATAATCATATCATAGATTGACTCAATATATGTCTCTCCAATTTCAATGAGGGAGCCGTGGTGGGTCAGTGAGTTAGACGCTTGCTCGCTAACCTGAAGGTCCAGGGTTCAATCCCGGCATATGTCGAGATAATACCTTCCGATTTTTCCACCTAGTTTCCCCCTGTCAGTGATGCAGGTAAGGGGCTGACATGGAAAAAGCGTCTAGTCGTTCGGATGGGACAATAAACCAAGGCCCTGTGTGCTACAGACTGTGCATGTTAACGATCCCTCGACAGTTGGAAATCGAAAAAGGGTAGGCTAATGCCGCTGTCCTGGCAAAATTTCCCTCATTGCACCCTGCATGGCGTTGCCTGTCTTCATTAGCCCACATGGTGCAGAAAAGTAGGACGTAAAACTCCATTCATTTTATCGTATTTCTATGAGTGTAAATTAAAAATAAAGTTTCTTTACTTTTTTGGAAGTAGCTAGTTGATCTGATTGTAGTGTCTATTTTGATTTATTTCACTTTCAACATATTCTAATATGAACAAAGTTAGATATCTTTGGACAGTTTTCATTTTTCTCATTTTAATTTCAAAATCTCTGTAAATGTGTTACAACTTGTAAGATCTGCCAATTTACACTGTTAAACATACCTGTTTCTAACTCATCTTCACGTTTTCTCTTTTTATTACACGTATTAGATTTCTCTTTTTTATCATTCTTACTATCAGTTTCTGTCTCTTTAGTCTCTACTTTCTTAGCTTTATTAAATAAATTATTAAAAGCTTTAGGAAGTTTATTCTTTATATCTTTCCTTGGTGCTGTGAGAAAATATAAAACATTAATATCAAAATATTTGAATACAAACATAACACTTCATATATTCAATTTGCTATAAATCAAATGAAACTTTTTTTAAAAAAAAATTCTAGAAAAGATTTAGATTTCTTTTAAATGCTGAGATAGATCAATCAAAATAGAAAACTGCACTCAAAATTGTCATACACCAGACATTTGATCCATGAACCAGTTGAACTATTCAAACTTTCTCAAGGGTACTTCTTCAGAAGTATCAAATGCTGGAAGTGCCATAATTAGAGTTAGCTGGATGAATTCTTCAATAGATTATAAGATGGCATGCCAGGCACATACACCCACTGGCAGCTTTGATTTTGGCAGTGCCGTAACAATCACCAGTATGAAATATTCAACCTTCGGTCATACACTTCTTGTGAACTTTTTGGGGTAATACTGAATAATATTAACAAGATTTGTCAAAATCTGTCAATTTGGACTTTCTAGAGTGTTTACAGGCTTGAACTTGAACGAGCTTTAAGGAACAAGGGCAATAACTCAAACTAAGAATTTTCGATTTTTCTGAATTTCATTAGGGTTCATCCATGGCTGATAACAAACACTCACACCAAGTTTCGTCAAAATCCATCAAGAATTGTGCCTTCTAGAGTATTTACCAGCTTAAAATTGAACGCATTTTGAAGAACAAGGGCAATAACTCATACTAAATATTTTTTTTCGATTCTTCTGATTTTCACTAAGGTTCATCCTTGGGTGATAACCAACACTCAAACTAATTTCGTCAAAATCCTTCATTTCATGTGGGCATATAAATATAAAATACTGAAAGAGCAATAATCATAATCAGTTGAATTACTTACTCAAGGGGCTATCAGTAGAACCAAATACAGGAGGTGCAATACCATCTTTATTTTGAGCTACTTGATGTGACTGAGTTGCTTCTTGTAATCTTGCTAAAATCTTTTTACCATTTCTAGATGATGATGTATTCACTTCAAATACCTTAAGTAGCAAAGTCAAAAATGGATTCTAAGGAATAATTATTATTTTAACCATTATCTAACAGAGATTGTCTAATTTTGGCCTTGTACAAATATTTTGTATAAATGACACACCAGTCATCTTTGAGAAGAATTATCAGAGGTTTTGTCAGAGTTAATATTTACCTTGTATCCTAGTTCTTGAGCTAGAGCATAAACAGTAGCTGTTTTACCAATACCATGCTGTCCTGTTATCAACATTGTATTACAGAGTCTATCATCTTCTTCACTTTCATCACTATCAAAATCACTATCATCTTTATACCATTGACTATCTTGACCTGAAATTGTTATAACTATCATCTTTATACCATTAGCTATCTTGACCTAGAATAATAACTATCATCTTTATACCATTGACTATCTTGACCTAGAATAATAACTATCATCTTTATACCATTGACTATCTTGACCTAGAATAATAACTATCATCTTTATACCATTAACTACCTTGACCTATAATAATAAGTAGCATCTTTATACCATTGACTATCTTGACCTAGAATAATAACTATCATCTTTATACCATTGACTATCTTGACCTAGAATAATAACTATCATCTTTATACCATTAACTACCTTGACCTATAATAATAAGTAGCATCTTTATACCATTGACTATCTTGACCTAGAATAATAACTAGCATCTTTTTACCATTGACTATCTTGACCTAGAATAATAACTAGCATCTTTATGCCATTGACTATCTTGACCTAGAATAATAACTAGCATCTTTTTACCATTGACTATCTTGACCTAGAATAATAACTAGCATCTTTTTACCATTGACTATCTTGACCTAGAATAATAACTAGCATCTTTATACCATTGACTATCTTGACCTAGAATAATAACTAGCATCTTTATGCCATTGACTATCTTGACCTAGAATAATTACTAGCATCTTTATATCACTGACTATCTTGACCTGGAATAATAATTACTATCATCTTTATACCATTAGCTATCTTGACCTACAATAATTACTATCATCTTAATACCATTGACTATCTTGACCTACAATAATTACTATCATCTTTATACCATTAGCTATCTTGACCTACAATAATCACTATCATCTTTATACCATTGACTATCTTGACCTAGAATAGTTATAACTATCATCTTTATACAATTGACTATCTTGACCTGGAATAATAATTACTAACATCTTTATACCATTAGCTATCTTGACCTACAATAATTACTATCATCTTAATACCATTGACTATCTTGACCTACAATAATTACTATCATCTTTATACCATTGACTATCTTGACCTACAATAATTACTATCATCTTAATACCATTGACTATCTTGACCTACAATAATTACTATCATCTTTATACCATTAACTACCTTGACCTACAGTAATTACTATCATCTTTATAACATTGACTATCTTGACCTACAATAATTACTATCATCTTTATACCATTAACTACCTTGACCTATAATAATTACTATCATCTTTATACCATTAACTACCTTGACCTATAATAATTACAATCTTTATAACATTGACTACCTTGACCTAAAAAGTAACAACAAAACTTACTGGAAGACTTTGATGATTTTGATTGTTTTGATAATAGTTTCTTCATCTTTCTAGCATCTTTATGTGTTTTATGTTTCCACTCTAATAACCATGTTTTTAATTTGTTGATATCACTGGTATTACCAATAATATCAGAGGAATGACTGGGTTGATATTTATCTGTCCACAGCAACTCTAAAAAGTGAAGGAAAATTGAAATTGAAAATTTCAAGATGAAACTCAAATTTATATTTTTTAGGCCATACAAAATAAATAGTCTGTCCAAATGCCATATTGTTGCCTTAATATTAAATATACATTAAATTTGTGGTAATAAATGCTTTTGCTCACTCCGATTTATCCTAGTTAAAAATCTAAAAAAGCGCTTATAAATAATAAATAATAAATTCGCCCTCTCGCCCCGATTTTTGAAAAAAAAGGCCTGTAAAACAGACTATTTATTTTGTATGGCCTTATATTATATTGAGCAATATTTTTCACAGTTGATAAATTATTCTTATTATATTTGATTTAATGACTATAGCTCAGTCAGTAGTGTGATAGATTGTAGTCTGCTGGGTGATTAGGTGATGTAGGTCTGAATCCTCCTTAAGGTAAGAAAAATATCTAATGAAAAGGCCAGCATCCTGTCTTAAACTTTCATCAACAATCTGACATAAGTCACAAACATCAAAATCTCAGTTTGACCTAAGACTGCCTGAATTTATCTATGGCTTAATGCCTTGAGATGGATTCCAAATTACCTGATGAAGCATGAAGTGGAGGTTTCTCTGGTTCTGGTTCTTTGATTTCTTCAACTGATTTTCTCTTCTCTTTCTTTCGTTTGAGTTTACTTTTCTTTTTCACTTTGATAACGTCATTATCATCATCTAAGGTAATTACTACTGGTTCTTCTAGTTTAGTATTTACTATTAATATATAGAACAAATTTATTAAATATCACCAAAAACTTGGAGAAAAATCGTAAATGTTATTGGGTTTTAAATTGCATGCTGATGGAGCTCATTTCAGCATTTTTTTCAGAAAAAAATTTTAAGCAGGAAAAGAGCACAATTTTCAAATATGAATAGTGATACATTCAAGTGGCTTGTATTGTTGTTAGCACAGAATATCCAAAGGGATCTTTCAAGATTATTGTCACCTTTTGATAAAAAAAAAACATTTCCTTTGATAACACTGCCTGTTGAGTTATTAATATATTATCAAAAATAGTATATTCATATATCTTGTGCTTCCTTATCTATGCCTATTTCTATATGTCTTGCAGTATAAAAAATAGCTGATAACAAATTTCATACCTGCAGTTTCTTCCAGTTTTAAAGTGTTTAATTCATCTAATCTCTTAGTTTTCAATGATTCATACATAAGTTGTGCTGGGTATACAGGGTTAGTTTCCTTTATTTCCTCCAAAAGTTTCATACAAATATCTTCACTTATAGTTTCATGATGTTTAAAATTCTACAATAAAAACACAACAAATATTAGCAAGCACTCCCAAGAATTTGTATTTGATCTAGGGTAATTTTTATTTCATTTCATGTCCACTTAGTTAAATGTTGTTGTCTTTGGACTATTGAAATATTATTTGGATGCTATGTGAACAAGTATAAGCATAGTTAAGCAAAAATATTTGTGCAAATGCAGGGACTATCTGAAACAAAAACACAAGCAGTCCAACTTTTTTATGTAGCTTAAAAAGTATTTAAATAGGTATCAGATACTTACCGTAAAATAAGAATTAGTAGCACTAGTAATCTGTTTATATAAATTAGTTAACTGTAGTTGTGACCAGGTTATATTACAGCCTGTATATTGAGGTGGTTTTAATAGTTTTATAGATAAATTAGTTATTGTCTGTCTATAACTAGATGATAACTGTTGTATATGACTATCTTTAGGGAAAGGAGGATATTCTGGTAAAGCTATAACTTGGCTAGCTGAAGATTCATGTTGCTTCTTAACTACATCAGGTATACCACTACTAAGAAAAGCTTGACGTTGCTTTACTTTCTCAGGATCTTCTGGTGGTTTAACAATTTCAGGTTCATTCTTATCTTGCTTCTTCTTCACATTGAAGATGGATGCCACTTTACCAGTACCTATAAATAGAAAGAAAAACCCTTTGAATACTGAGTGTAAATAAACAAAATGTTATATACACTGAACTCCCAAGCTATATAATTCAAAAGTTCATGATGATAAAGTTCTGTGACACCACATGAGAATGGCAACTCACCTGTCTCTCGAATACATTAAAGCAGCAACTATTGTCGAAGATGTTAATTAAGTTACCAGTTTCTAATAACTGGGTATTAGATGAGTAATTTATTTATCATTCGTTATGTCTACTTTTCAAACAGTATGAAAATCTTGAAACGCACAATGTACATAATATTGAGATTTTCAGAATTTAAAATTTCCATATTTACCTTTTTTCGGCGTAGCAGTCTTTACAGGAGTACCAATTTTAACTTTGGTTGATTTGACAGGAGTACCGAATTTTGCTTTGGTAGATTTAACTGGAGTACTAACTTGAGGTTTGGTAGATTTTGTAGGTGTATCAGTAGTAGCATTAACTTTACGTGATTTAGCCTTTGTTTTCTTTACTTTTTCTTCTACAATTTCAACATCATCAGTGTCATCATCATCATCATCAATGTCTATGACCTCTTCTAAGGATATGGATGGTTTTGAAGCTAATCTTGGACTAGATCTACGATTAACTAGGTGACTAGTTTTGGGTGTTTTAGCTGTCTTCTTTTCTGTTGTCTTCTTGGTTTTCTGTTTTTTAGCTTTAACCAATATTTCTTGAGCTTTGACAAGAAGCTGGAAAAAAGGAATGCATATATTAATAATTGGAATATTATCGATTAACACAAACTTGGAAAAGGTCTCCTGGTTTCTAAATGAAAAACAATTAACCACTGGTGACATCAACCACAAATCAAAATTTGATGCTTTTTAGCCAATACTGTTTCATCTATTAAGACTTATCCATACCTTTTTAGCACTATCTTTCTTAGAACATTGTTTGCTTGATTTTGGTGTGAATTCATTTTCTTCTAGGCTAGAATTACCACCACCTAGACTCTTTCTACATCTATAATAAACATTACATTAATTAATTAAACAGAAAACAGAAGTATTTCTTGCCATGAATATCTGGGCCTACAGTACTCATTGCCATGCAGATGGCAATCAAATTGAACTATCGATCTTGGTGTTCCAGTAAAACTATACAAGTCAAAATGCTTAAAAAATAACAAGTGAAATGATACTGTATACTTACTTTATCTTCATTTTAATTGGTGTTCTCTTACTGTCATCAAATTGTAATGATGTAACTTTATATTTCCTTTTCTTCTTCTTTGATGTTTCATTATTATTCATTTCATTTAGGAACAGTTTATCATTAATATCAGGTTTTTCTTCAATGACAGCATTAGCTTTTGATTTTTTCATTTTCTTTCGTTTTTGCTTTTTTTCTTCTTGTTCTTTTGCAGAGTCAAATTTCTTGGTTTTCTTTTGTTGTTGATTCTTATCAGTCAAGTTCTCTGATTCTTTGATGTCAGCGTCAATTTTCTTCAACTTCTTTTTACATGGTTTTTGTGATTTCTCTGCTGGTTCTGCAGCAGGAATAGCATCAATATCTGGCATTAGAGGAAGTGGTTCCTTAACTATATTCTTTACATCGGTTTTCAATCCTTTCTCAGTAAAACATAAAGTTGCTTGAGCAGTCTTGGTAGGTGCAACCGTTTTCTCATTGGATTTAAGGAAATCTTCTGATTCTTTAGATATCTGCAGTGGTTTGGGTTTTGGAGATTCTGTTACTTGTACGTCTGCTTTGGTTATTTTTGATCTTGGTTTTGATTGGTCAACTTCTACTTCCTGTATTTCTGAACTGATAAAAACTATTTCATCATCATCTACACTGATATAAGAAGAATTTGGTGAGAGAATAATAGGATTGTCTGATTTCTCTCTTGTTTTCTTCTTATTTGAACCCTTCTTAAATAAATCAAATACACCTTCTTTAGCTGTTGGTTCTTGGTGGACATCAACTGTTATCGTAAGTGAGTTATTAGCTGCCTTCACATTTTCTGGCGAATAAGCATTTTTTCCAAAATATTTTTCGACAGATGGATAATCATCAGGGACAAGGAGCCCTGTATCATCAAAATCAGTAGGTTGGGCTTCAACATCAAAAATATCTGTCGTGGTACTATCCACTGGTAAATCTTTTAAATAATCTTCATAAGAAACAGACTTAGTTTCTATTTCTTCAACAGATTGTGGCTCTTTAGATGATGCAGAAGTTTTGGTTTGTTCTTTTTTGGTAGTAAGTTTTGATTTTTTATTCTTATTCTCAACAACTTCTCCATCAGTACTTCTTTTACGTTTTGATTTGAGAGCTGGTTTATCAACAGAACTGTTCTCTGTAGAGTTTTCATCCCTTGTGTTCACTTTGGATTTTAAATCATTTTTAGTTTCACCACAAGAATTATTTTGAGAATTTTGTTCACTGTTCTTCAAAACCTCTTTAGCTTTGTGTTTCACAGATTTTAAACTAGTTTTACCAACAATACCTTCACATTCTTCACTTTTTAAGTCAGAAATTTTGGATGAATTTTGAATGTTTTCTGATTTTGTCACTGAACTTGCTGAATTGATTAATATATTAACATCATCAGTACTAGTGTCACTTTTCACATGAATAGAATCAAAATGTTGAATAAATTGATCATCCAATGAATCGTTCACTTTCTTGTTTTTCTTCTTTTTCTTAGTTTTAACGCGTCTGGATATACCTGATTTATTAGCAATGTCCTTCCTGTTTGTTGACTCCTCATTTTCCACAACTATTACCTTATTTTCATCTTCCTTTAAAGTCTTTTTCTTTATATTTTCAACAATAGGAGAACCAATCTCCTCACAAAGTGATATATTCTTTTTCTTACTTAATAAATTTGGTTGGACGTTGGTACACTTTTCTTTTGGTGTACTAAAGAATACATGCGATAAATTTTTACTCTTTTGCTTTGAAGGAGGAGATTTGAAAAAATCTGTAATAGATCGTTGAGGACTTTGCAGTTCATCTTCCAAGACTGGTAACTAAAATAATAAAATTAGACACAATAATCATCACTTTCAATATTGGATTGATTTAATTTTCAAGCGAATGTTTGAAATAGATTTTGATTTTTAATATTTTAGTCTTTAGGCCTTTTTCACTAAAATATCAAAAATCAAAATCTATTTTATTTATCATATTTATTTCCATCTGAAAAATGTTATAGATACCAGTAACTGAAAGTGAAAGTGAAAATGAGTTCTATCAGCTGTTTAAACAGATTCAAATATATCAAAGTTATAAGTAATGGGCCAATCAAACAATTCAAAGAATATTTAATACCGTAGATAGTTTATATTTACCTTGTTTAGACTTTCACCTTTATTCAAAACTGAAGCACTTGCCATATTGTTTACATTGATGATTAGGAATCCTGCTGAAAAATTCAAATAACACAAATTATAGAAATATTAAAACAGAAATTGAATCATATATCGATGTATTTTGAAATTTATCAGCCAACAAGTGGATGATTAAATACAAAAACCTTAGCCTACAAACGCTGACTATGTAATTATCATCATATCATTCTTATTGAACGGAGTCTTCAGTCTTTCAGATAGATCTAGAGTGAGATAGTCATAGTATATCTTTCCTGATTTGTAACTGAAGTAACCTACAATAGACATACAAACTCAGAAATGGAATACTCAAAAAAAGATTTAGATATTTTATACCATATCTAATACCATCTAATAATCTCTGAATTTATTTTCATATAATTGGGGTTCCATTTTGTTTGTTATGATTTTATGATGGCGGGAAAGAATACGCTGCAACCTTGACCTTTCTTGATCAATAGTTCATCAAATTATTTTCGTATTCGAGTCCTGAAATTGATTTTTAAAAGTTTTGGAGTAATTCTCTTTGTTGAATATAATCCATAATTCTATATTTTCAAACGTAAATAGAAATATTCGACTATGACGTAAGAAAATGGAATGAAGCTAACCATAAAAGTAAAGGATGGGAAATAACTCAATATTCATCTAGTTACTCAGACAACAAATAACTTTCTAATTTTTTGAATAAAACATGAGTAATGGGAAGTAACTCTTCAAATGAATCCGAAAAGCAGACAACACTTGCCTTAGAATGCAAGTATGACTGGTGAATTTTTATGGCTGGCCGCATTCGAATAAATCTTTCCTAAGTTACAGCTTTCCAAAAGACAAGAGTATTTGTTTTGATTCTGAAAACAATGCTTGTAGTAGAGATATATCATATATAGCCAAAACTTTTTTTTCCCATTTCGGCAAATTTTGCCAGTTATGTAGTAGGGTCAGCTAAGTTGCTTAAAAAATATATATCTGGGTAAATTTTGATCACGAAAGGAAGCTATAATTGGCTTGGGCATACGTCAAATATACAACTTGGCTTAGAATTTGAAAAGTTTTTTCGAGGTTCCAGGGGGGAGTTGATTCTCTCATGATGTAGGCTCCTTGGACGGAACAAATCCTTTTTTGAGAAATTGGAATAAGTGGTCTAGAACTGCTGGGTATTTTGCCCTGTCCAATTGCCCAGAGACAATCTGAAAGGGTAAGAACGAAGGGAAAAACAACCATCCATGTTTACCTATGATGTTGAATCGGATGATCTTATCAAACCTATTGAACTGGTTTTTGATCGTAAGCTATTACATGTAGACTTTGGATATATATTTTTTTAAAAATGGTGAACTTTTATACCTTTCTTTGTTTCTTTTATACATGAAAAAGATTTTGCAGAGCATAAAATAAACCATTACATATAATTTTATTGACCCCAGTAACAGCAAAAAATAACCTTTAGTGTTTAGGCAATATGCGGAAATGTTACAAGAGACGTCAATATAATTAAATATTATTAATTAAAAACAACATAATGATGATTTTTTAACATAAGAAAGAATCAACCATGTTAACCTATGATGTTAAATATAGATAAGAGATCTAAAGAACCAATTAGATCGACCAGTTCACGTCTGATGATTTAATGAGTTGAATTCTGTATCGAACATCCAGCTATTGTGTATGTCTAAATATAGATAAGAACTAATGAAAATTAATTAATATTATTATCCACCTACACCCTGTGTATTATCATATTAATAGTCTTATATCATTGTTTATTGACCAGAATTAAAGGGAATGTGACGAGATCTTGGGTAATATTAAAGGGATTGTGAAGAAGTTTTCTAACATTTTTATGTAATATCGGAAATGAAATGAAATGAATGGAGTTTTACGTCCTACTTTTCTGCAACATGTGGGCTAATGAAGACGGACAACGCCATGCAGGGTGCAATGAGGGTGATTTTGCCAGGACAGCGGCATTAGCCTGCTCTTTTTCGATTTACAACTGTCGAGGGATCTTTAACGTGCACAGCCTGTAGCACACGGGGCCTCGGTTTATTGTCTCATCCGAACGACTAGACGCTTTTTCCATGTCAGCCCCTCTCACCTGCATCACTGACAGGGGGAAACTGGGTTGAAAAATCCGAACGTATTATCTCGACCTATGCCGGGATTGAACCCTGGACCTTCAGGTTAGCGAGTATGTAATATCGGAGACATTGTTATCATCATTGACAATTCCACTTCTGTGGTTCCTACAATTCCACTAAAACTAAATGTTTTATGATGTAACAATCGTAAAAGCTGCTATTGATATACAAGACGACAGTGACGCCATAAAATGCTTAGTTAAGTAGAATTGCAAGAACCACAGACGTCTGCCTGAAGATTGGAATGGTGCACATCGATGCTATCAATGTTATATAAATATTTATTTTAGAAAACTCCTTTACAGTCCCTTTAAGATAGGTTTACAAAATTGAACTTTGATTCAATGTGATGACACCCAATATCCTCCTTAACGACAATAGCATAGCTTAGCATAGCATAGCATAACTAATGCATAGCATAACTAATGCCAAGTTTACAATAAACAAAGTCATGCACCAGTGACTTTCAGTGACACCTTTTGGGAATCTATCTTTAATAACAAATATAGCCAGGTACAAGACTTAGTTGCAGTTATTGATTCATAAAATATGCGGGAATCTATCTATCTATAGCCAACTTCAAGATTCATATTATATGTGGGAATCTATTTTTAATAATAAATATAGTCAAATACAAGTCGAAGTTATTGATCATATTATAATATTTGGGAACCTATCTTTTGATTCATATAATGTGTGGGAATCTATCTTTAATCAAACGTTTAGCCAGGTACAAGTTGTAGTTATTACAATATGGAAATCTTTCGTGATGTGTAATTAAAGGTAAAATCTGCTCTGTGTACAGTGTGTGGGTGGGTGGGTGGGTGGCATCCTAACTTTAAAGATATATATATAGACAGATATTAAATTGTTGAGACATGAGAACTACACCAGCTGATATCATATAATACCGGTAATCTGAACAGATCCTAAACTCTTGTCATTTACACAAGTTAAACAATAGAAACCATTTTATAATGTCAAACCTTTATATATTACAGAAATATTGTCTCTTTAAATAGCATATACTGACATTCGATTGTTTCGTTTACCCATCTAGATCATTTCCTATCGAATACGCATTTATTTCCACTCTACAATATAAAAATAATTTCAAGTGTAACATTTCAGAGGGAAACCCCAACTTTAAGCTTTCCTGAAATTCAAATTAAAGTTTAATTTCAATTGTACAATAATACACGCTTTTTGTATCTAAAATTCCTACTGGGAAGTTCAGTTTTTAGTTTATCCGCTTCCTTAAAATTGGGGTAGCCAAAAACTGTTCGTCTTGGTCTATAATAAGGAAAAACAGTGTATGTCAACGGATATTTTTATTATGACGGAGTCTTGAAAAAGACGAGTCGTCAATGTTATTTTCAAACACGGATGCACATGGCTAAGATAACTAAAATTTCGACTGTAAGCTGTGAACACTTTTACTGGGGGTACAAATAGGGGGCAAACTGACTCAATGATGGGACAACTGTCGAGGCTGAATTCAAAATGCGGCAACTATGTGAAGGCGTCATGTCGGAAGCCCCAAATGGAGCGTCTAAGAGGATTCTAAGAAAATTTTCGAAAATTTGAATAGATTCGATGAATTTTGGTACATTTTTGGGGCAAAAATGCATAAAAATCGAATTTTTGAATTAGAGTGGGGGTACAATTGGGGGTGCAAATCATTTTACTAGAGCCACTGGTGCCGTCACTGCCCGATCCCCTAAAACCAAACTTTACCTTATGCATCGTGGTGTTAATTTCCATCCTATGACTTTTAATTTCTGTCACCTGAGACATGAGGTCAAACAGTGCAGGGTGATCTATAAAAAGAAAGTAACAACACGAGGAAATGTATAGGGTGGACAACATTTTCATTTCAAATGTGACGTACATTACAAGAATAAATTGAATTTACATTAAAGAACGATAACCTTCCATGAAATGCGCAGCGTATCTCCATTCAAATATATTGTATAGGTTCTAATGAGTTTTACCACTTTATAAACGTCGAAAGTAATAAGTTCATTTCTGAAGAATTTATCTAATTGACTAAATGATAAACCGCACCCTACATCTCAATAACATACAGGGTGGTACTATACAGAATCTTCAGTTTATCTTAAGGGCCAAAGTGGCCTTTCATTAACTTAACTGTCTGCAAACAATCGCCAGTTTTAACACTGTGTACTATGACATTTTACACCAATGTTTCAATATAGGTTTAATATATTACCACATTGTTAAAGTCTTTGAAAAAAAGGCCAGGACAAATTGTCAGCAACATGTTTTATTTATAAACTAGGCAAAAGTAGGAAGGTAAATTTTAACACCATGTTCTTATTGGGCGTTTGACATAACATTCATAGGACGAGGCTTTGATGTACCTAACATCTTACAGTCATTTCTTTTGTAAAATGCTAAATGATGACGATTAATGTGAAAAATTCGTTGCTTTTAAATTCCGAGTCCGTAAATAGCAGCACTTCAAATGGAACTTTAAAGGTCTAATTGCAAATCACATTTACGTCTCTTATTTAATGAATACTCCTACACTTTGTGAATAGGTCATCGTTACGAGCTAATATTTGTTTATAAAATCAGTTGGTTAATTAAGTGTTAATTACAAATTGACACAGTAATAATAGCATTCTAAAATATCATTTTTCTACTCAGTTAATGAGTACAACCAATATCGTAATTTTTACACAAGAATATCCCATTTAGTGTCGATAATTTTAATATTTCTATAAAATCCATCCTCTTTTATACCCCCAGATCATCAAAACTATATTAAGATGAAAGAAAAACTGGAAAGATTAAAGAATGTAACCATTAAATCATCTTCACAATGTCAAGCTATTG